AAGAGCCCGCTCAAGGCTTGTTCGGAACTTATTATTAACTGTAACTTTATAATCCGGAGCTGGGCCATAAGGGAGTTCTCCTAGAATTTCCTTTAGGGTATATGCCAAAGAGTTCTATAGTGTGCTATGGTTAGTCGCATTGCGTTCTAGCATTTAAGTACAAAGACAGGGTTCAATAAATACCATTGAAGGTCCAAGGTGAGTAATAAACCTTTCAAACATGTCTGCGGGGGCTTGAACAAACTCTGTAGGTGTATTTGCTGTTTGAGGACGTTCAGGAGAGCGTATTGTTGTAGTTCCAGACGATGGTGACTGGAGGCCATCTGAACGAATAGACATAAGTGGCCTGTCGAGGAGGCGGAGAGGAGATCCATTGTGTAGCAGTCGCAATGTGTCAAAGGTATTTATATCCTGTTGTGGCTGTTGGAATTGGTTCAGGATGTCGAATTGAAGGGCTGCGGCACTTCGAAGTCCGCCGATACTCTGGGATATGTCCTGGATGCAACGGACTAATTTTTTCTCAAGCAGGTATTCTGCCTCAGTTCCAGCAACATAGTGCTCAAACTTAGCTTCTTTAAGAAGTTTTTCCATCTTCGAGTATGCAGCTTTGTTCTTGCATGATGCATCAAGAAAAGGCCGTTGTTCAAGGCTGCTCTCAAGCCCTGATGCTCCATATATAAAACTCTCCGTAATGATCTCCAGCATATCAGAGAGGGAGTCTGTCATATCAACCATATTTTGGCGTAGCTTCTTCTTTGCAGAGATGGGGAATACTATAAAACAGACCATCATTGTAGCCACAACGCCCATAACAACCATTTTGAAGACCTGGATTATTTTAGCAAAAGACAGGTCACCTCGCTGTACAGATCCCTCCTTCGTCATGACAGTGATGATTGCCAGAGAAGCAAGTGAGCATGCGACATTGACCAGTGGGTCACCTCGTCTCTGTTTTACCCATCCAATGAAGCCGAGGCCACCGCCGCAGAAGACGATCAAGATGATAACATGGCCGAGGGGAAGCATGTGGAGCCCTTCCTGAAAGATCACCGAAACACCCATACTGGTAATCGATATAAAGGCAGCATAGCAAAAGGCGATGAAAGCCAGTACGAATGCCTCCATCATGCTACCTTTTGTTCGGGCTGGGTGGAAATATACGGTGACTGTCGCAACAGTATGCTTCCCAGACTGGTCACCGAGAAATCGATAAAGCACTGGGACAAATGTCGCCATCGAACCCAATAAGTACGCGAGACTGCATTTCAAAATGCCTTTTCCTGTCTCTGACTGCATAAACGAACGCAACCTGCCAGCTGTCGCCGTTACCTGGCGCATCCAACCCGCACGCTCCGGGCCGTCATCTTCAGCGCGAGGGCTCCTCTGCAGCAGTGGAGTGTGTTCATCGTCCCCGTCATGTCCGGCTGATAGATTAGGGGTGCCGTGTACACGCTGGCCGGTGCTGGGAACAATATACGTAGCCTGTCGGAGCTATTGTAGATATAACGGTCAGCTAGCGAGCTCTTAGGCCTTAGCATTCATTTAGCACGAAACCCACATTGTGCCGACAAGGCCGGTTATTAGGCGTACAGGTCTGCGGCATGCTCAAGATCCAGGTCCATAGCCCCGGCAGCAGTCTGTCCTTTTTGTTTCTGTCGCTCTGGAGATCCAGTGGTGATGATGAAGATGTCGATGTTTTGAATGTTTTGATGTTTTGGAGGGCGGGAGCTGGAGCTCGAGCCCGACGCGAGTGATTACGTCATAGCTAGTTACCGGCTAGCCACTTTAACCCAACGTCAATTTCAACCTCATTTGTTCTTTGTCGTCCATTTGAAGGACATGTCCATACACAGGCCGTTCCCTCTCTATCGTGTGCATTGCTGCGGTTTGGTGCTAAGAGCCCGGTAGTAATCACGAACGGTCTCAGACATGCAGCCCTGTAAGGAATTTTCCAAGCCCGGAGTTCCAAGCCAGAACTAACGAAGGTCCACGGCCCAAGCAACAGGGATATCAAATTTGTCAGAAATGGACCGAGAAAATTTTCGGGAGATCTCCCCCTAGTTAGCGCAGGATGTCTTGCAAGCCAGACACCCAGCGCCAGTCGCGGTGTCGGTAGACGCCATGAGGTGGTAAAATAGGCGTATGGAGCATATTTTGGTTGCTATGTCCGTCTATATGGCCGTGATTATACCCAAGAGCCCCCCACAAGATGGATTCAGCGCGCCAAGGGTGGAGAACTGTTCTTGAGCCGAGGGCGAAGAGCTCATCAATTTCCTTCATGGCAACCGGCAACCAGCTCATAGGCCACAACTAACACCATACATTCTCCCTCCCGGACTCGGCATCTCTAAGGAGCTGTGGTCAAGGTCTATACCTCGTTCCATAGAAGGGAGCTTTGCCCGGCCTACGCGCGAATAGTACCCCTCCGTTTTTTCTTGGAAAGCCTAAAGAATATTGTTGAATCGCAGGGTATTATCCACGTCAGTATGCCTCGGAGGCCGGAGATGCAGAATTCGACGAGGGAAATCTCTTCTTCAGTAACCATGTCCACAGCTACTGGCAGCAAACGGAATCTGCCTTGCCTTTCAAATTAATACTGTTGCTGAAGAATCAACAATCGAGGGATTATTGCTGCACGTGGACTTGTGATAGACAAGGTCTATCATCAAGGGACCCTAGTCCCTCCATTGGCAGAATGGACCAGCTTGGGAACTATGGAAGTACATATGAGTATATATAGGTCTATCATATCCCGCACTCCTCGGAATGCAGCAGTGAGTTGGCTACCGCATTTTGAGTGTGCTGCCTTCCAGCATCAACCTACTCTATAACTTTTCCTTTTCGGATATCCCCAGACCAGCAGTTCTTCTACAGAATGGCTCCCAACCAACACTCCCGGCGTCGCCCGGGGCTCTTCTCCTGGCCACAGACAGCCGTTGCTGCCGCAGTTGCCATTGTCACCGTGATGGCAGTTTTGCCCCAGGCTCAAGCATCGGAGTCTGTCGGTGAACAGCAGCGCAGGGATATACCAGCCGGGAAGCGAAATGTCATCCTCATGGTTTCCGATGGAATGGGCCTTCAAAGTGTCGATATGGCTCGAGCCTTCCGAAAGTGGCAGACTGGCAACGAGCACGTCCTATACCTAGATGACCACCTGATCGGCCAGTCGCGTACCAGATCCTCCAATAGCCCGATCACCGACTCTGCAGCTGGTGCCACCGCATTTTCTTGTGGAAAGAAGACCTACAACGGTGCTATCGCTGTCCTGCCTGATCACACCCCTTGTGGTACCGTCCTGGAAGGTGCAAAGGCTGCCGGATATAAAACTGGTTTGGTTGCTACTACTAGAATCACCGATGCCACCCCTGCGGTCTTTGCTGCCCATGCCAACTCGCGCTCCTACGAGGATTTGATTGCAGAGCAGGAAATCGGAGAACACCACCCATTGGGCCGCCAACTTGACCTTCTTCTTGGAGGAGGGAGATGCCATTTCCTTCCAGGCAGCAACGGTGGCTGCCGTGACGACAACAAGGACATTATCAAGCTTGCCAAGTCCAAAGGCTTCTCATATGTTGGTGATCGTAGGGGATTTGACGGTTTGAAGGGAGGAGCTGCTGCCAAGCTCCCTCTACTTGGGCTCTTCGCTGATGATAACATCCCCTTTGAGATTGATCGCCGATATCAGAATAGCGTGTACCCTTCCCTTGAGGAGATGACGCGTACTGCGTTGAAAGCATTGAGCGATGCCACTCGTGATAGCAACCAAGGTTTCTTCATCATGATCGAAGGTTCCCGTATTGATCATGCCGGCCACGGAAATGATCCTGCTGCCCAAGTCCATGAGGTTGTTGCCTTTGATAGAGCCTTTGCCGCTGTCTTGGAATTTCTCGAGCAAGATTCTACACCCGGTATCCTGATCAGCACCTCGGACCACGAAACTGGTGGTTTGTCAGCTGGTAGAGCGCGCCCAAATATTCTCAACAACGCTTCCCACTCCGCTGAGTATCTGGGAGAAGCCCTCGAAAACCACGGTGGTGACCACGACGTTGCTCGTCAGCTTGTGGAGGAGGGTCTTGGAATTCACGATGCATCCGATCGTGAAATTGACTCTGTTGTTCGTAACGGAGAGGAGGGTTTTGCTGAATTGATCAGCCAGCGGGCCCAGGTTGGATGGTCGACTGGTGGCCACACTGGTAAGTCCCTTTCCAAGAATTTCTATTATTGTTTAATGTGATCAGCACACTAATATCTGGCAACGCCAGCTGTCAACGTTAATATCTATGCTTCTTCCCGCGAAGATGCCAGCGCTCTTGTAGGCACTCATGAAAATACGGAGATCGGAAACTTCCTAGCGAAATATCTCCGGGTAGATCTCAATGCTATCACAAAGCGCCTAGAGGGCATCAGGACCACACCACGCCGTAGAGCATTGTCAGACTCATCTTGGATGGGTAAACCACTATCTGCCGAGGACCTCGAGCTGAAGCACAGACACGGCAACTATACCACTAAGGCATAATTTCAAATTGGATTCCACAATCTCAGCTTTAATTAACAAATGGAGTATCCGGATACGGACTTCTCACTCCAAGTTTTCTTGTGTTCGATAGCTAGCCGGATAACTAGGTTGCAGACAACAATCGAAAAAGGATGGTGTCTACCTAATGATATCTGATTCTGTGATCCATTTTATGCGGCAACGGACGACTTCTTCAGTCTTCAATACGTGTATGTGTTTTAGTTTGCGTAAAACTAGTCAATGCAAACCACCAATCGGCAGTGTATGGTGCCGCACTCAGTGAACTAGTTATTAAAGTTGATATTCTCGCTCGTCGACCAAATTTGACGTCATAAGCCGCTTTGGATACAATCAATGGATGATACTTTCCTTCCATTTTACAAACATATAAATATCGATGCCGACTTTGCTGAAGCAAATAACCGGAGAACAGATAGCTCAAAGTTACTCGGTAGGGTCACAGGACTGTGAAAGAAGAAACATGTCGCCCTGGACGGGTTCGAAGCTCTTGGTTGGGCTTCCCAAGGGAACACCGCGCATCAAATATATCAATATGAGAGAATTGGAAAGCGCAATTAAGAGCCGTGCGTCAGAATGCTACGAAGATGGCTGCAAAGGCACCTTCCTTGTAGTGACGGCAATACCCTCTACTTTTATCACAGAAGCGGACGAGTTCTACGGTGATAGAAGCCCACGGTTCGCCATCAATATTGACGAAAGCCTTGCAGTCATCGAGACAATGCTTCCTAAGCCACACGAAATCCTGGCCCAGAACCTTGTCATTCACGTAGGGAGTGCCATAGACCAGATGGGGCTACGGAGGGTTTACAACCCCAGTGGCGCGGCAAACATGAACAGCCCAAACCGGGCAAATATAACGTCCACCAAGCAACCAGACGGGAGTTTCTTCATCGAAAGAGAACAATGGCCTACTCTAATAATCGAGATTGGATTATCTGAGAGTATAAGGAAGATGGCCATGGATGCTCATTGGTGGCTAGAGGCTGAAGGGTCTTGCACCCTGATTGTGATTACAGCAAAGATTGACAGGGAAAAGCCATTGATAACATTCCAGCGCTGGGAGCATCACCATCCGCCGCACCGCCCCATCACCCGTCGTTGTTATCCAAATAGCGCGGTGGTACAGGAGGTCCGTGCCGTCCATGAAAACGGCGTGACAAGAGTCACTGGCAACATAATACTACCTTTTGAAAAAATGTTGCGTCGATGCAAGGAGACCAAAAAAGAAAAAGACATCGTTATTGAGCGAGATGTATTAATAGACTTTGCCGAAGCAACGTGGAAAAGCCAGCAGTTTATGTAGAAAGACTGGCTACCCTGCTTTCTCTTGAATCTCAAATTGTTATCAAAAATATAACTGATGGCTTGTAAGCTGCCTTTTTAGCCGAGCCGTCCGGTAACTTTATTTTTTACGTAAAGGCAAAATTGCCGAGAGCTTTTCACGTGATTAAGAAATGGAGACCCAAATTTTAGGTTTATTCCCTGACTGAATTGAAGCTCCTGATTGGTGGAAGAATGAAATCACCTGATATCATTAATCACGTGCACACTATTCACCTGCGGCGCTAGTAAACTTAATTGTGACTGCCGTCGCCGCTGTCGAAGTTTTAAGACTGATTCCATTCGGTTCCCTCCTCCCACGCTACTCCGATCTGATAGTGTACATAACTGATTCAATGATTCCCTACGGCTCAGACTGAACACGCATTTGGCTTTTTGCACACCCAATATCACCTGCTGCGACTTCCAACAAGTTCACCCTCCCCAGAGTGTTTTGGGTATATCGGGAATTGTACTTGACAACCTTCTTGACGGCATTGAAAGTGACCACGTCAAGGGACAGCGGTGCGGCACTAATATACCACGATATCTTGTTGCTGCAGGGAGGAGTTGTGAGTGAGCCTGTGTAGGTGAAGATATCGTTCTTGTGCAAGCTATCAGCCACACTGGAGAAGTCCAGTTTTCTTATTTTGGTGACAGATCCGGGAGTTGATATCTTATGTAGATTCGCAAACACTTGGGTCAACAATGGGGTAGAACGTCCGTACGGCGATAGCTCCACCATAAACCCAACGACGGCGATGGATTTCTCCTTAACTACTAGTGGGTTAGTTGCCAATGCAATCTTGAGATTGAGGGAGTATATTTGTATTCGGTTCCTTACCCCTTTGGAAAACGAAATGAATCTCCATAGGTGAGTATTCCTCGTCAATTCGATGCTCACTTGGCGTGTGGAAATGAAATTGTACAAGGTTATACACCTTGCCTTTGACCGTGAGCTTTCCACTGGCAGGCACCTCGACCGTAGATCCAAGGTTCTCAAAGTCTGCCATTCTGGTGGTTGGAATATCTATTTTGACCGTGCCTTTGCGTGCATATCGGATGGTCTGGGAGTCGATGGCAATGGGGGACTGGGTAGAATCGTAGCCACACTGCCAGTTGGCAGTGGGATTGAGGCCGGTCCAGTGAAGCGGGCCACCTTCACCTGTATAATTGAAGGTAGATACCGGGACGTGTCCAGCACTGCTGGCGGAATAGGGCTCTAGGAAAGTCCGCCAGGAACAGGAAGCAGAGGCAGATGCAATCAAGGCAGCAAAAGCTGCAATCTGGCGAGATAGGATCATGGTCAGTTTGCAGCTTCGAGGTTAGTTAAGCGGTTGCCTTAGGAGGTACGAGCTGAGTCGCTAGGTGAAGAGGGAGACGCTCATATTTCTAGAGACGAGCCCCCCACATGGCTACATTTTGAGCCCTTGACTTATTTTTGGGTCTGCTGGATCTACCATGCAAACAGGTTGTTTGGTGATACTGAAAATGGCTAGTCCAATAGGCCTCGTTGAAGTGTGAATTGTGGCTGCCCAAGAAATTGAACAATCAGATCAGTGGATCTAGAGCAAGAGCTTAACTCAGTGCAACAGCGGAAACTATTAACTAAACTATGGTGACCAAAATGATGTTGATAGGCTGCAATCAATGCGAGCTAATTAGCATAAATGAATATGTTACTGGTGGTTTCATCACATACATGAAGAATCTAGCCACTAGATCTGTCGATGTTTCTCAAGTAACCAATAGCCAGTTTTATATGACATGACTGATTTAGAAACCGTCTAGACTATCCCCTGTATGGTAGCAGCAACTTTTGGGGGGAATATTAGTCTATCATGGTATATCTTTCATGGAAGGCCTATACGGAGTCTTCGTCCACCAGTTTCTTTGGAACTTAATCATCAAGAACATAGGTTGGTGATCTCCTCCATCTCTAGTTTAGAAACAGTACCCGTGCATATCCATCCTTCAGAATTAGACAAGCTGTCATAAGGTGTATAGCCCCCATTAAGAAACTCTGTAACGTTCATATATATGTTGATATACCCGTACGTCATAGGCCAAAAGTGCCAGCACACTGCTTTCCCCTAGCTACTCGGCCAAGAGGTTACCCTTCGGCAAGGGAGCCGGAATCTCAAGCCAGTATTGCGTTGAGAGTTAATCAAAACGTTTGATTAGAATATGAATACTTTTCCCACTTGTCGAGGCAAGGCAAAGGTGTGTGCGAAAGCTTGTTGCAAACATCTCGAGCTCGTCAACCTTGCCGATCTGGCCCCACCATGGTAGAAGAATAGGACAGAGGAAATATCTTTGTTGTGTTATGTTATTTGAAGAGTCCAAACTCACTTACTCCGTATCTGCAGGACGCTCACGATGTCAACGGCCCGCCTGGGGTTAATCCGTCAGTGTTGGAGTATCAAAATCTAATTGTGGCCCGACGCTTGGCAACAATAGCCGCTAAGCTTTTGCCGACAAGGTTAGGGCGGGTTAATAATCAAGCACGTGATATAAGCGCTCGGCAGGTGCGGCTAATTCTTGACCTCTCTCTGTTTGCAACCTTTCTCATCCTCCAAACGACCGGTGGGTTTACCTATCTCGGATACATGACGGCGGCACTTAAACGCCGCACGGACGAACCGGACGACCGTCTATTAGCACTCTCATCTTTGAGAACTTCGAGTCTCTCGCAGAGTGTGGTGATATCGAAAGCTTACCTCGACCGATCAGGCCACTGCCTTCGACGATGGAAATTTTGCCAAAAGGGCAGTGAATCACTGACCCGACATCAGAGGGGATGCCGACCAGGAAACTGGGAACCTCTAGCTCGAGTACCAGCTCTGGCATAGACTAGGACTGCCTTTGGGTGACCGTTACCCCAGGATATACTTTGTATAAGAAGAGATTGCAATCCAACCCTGCTCTATTATCTGTGCTATAATGGAATTCGCTGCATTGTCTTACTATCCAGGGAAATTCGATGTCTACAAACGATCTAATAGAAGCTCCCGTAGCGACGACTGTGATGCTTGCGGGATGGCAGGAAGGGGGTTTACCTGGAGCGAAGAGAAGTTCATAAGAGAGCCGAATACTTTATTAAACCGACCTACCCGGTTGGCACGAGAAGTAGCCCCCGCCTGGCACTCAAAGCGACAGAGACACAATATGCTAGCTGGCAGTTGGACTAGAATGGAAAATAGCTAGAGTATCTACCACCCGAGGCCAATGTTCAAATCGGCTCCGCGTCGGGCCTTCAGTCAAGGAACTTGGTGACCAGCCACGCAAGCCTGTGGGCAATAATTTTGAGGTTCCGGTTATGCCATCCAACCCGAAAGAAGGGCATCATTCTCCCGTTCCCTAACAGCTGCCCCCAAAGCAGGCAGTCATGTATATAATAGTACTGGGAAATGATCCGGCAGTTGATCCACTCCTCATCGAGGTAAGATGTGAACGGGTCGGTTCTATTAACCCTTCTATTAAATACATCATGAGCAAGACGTATAGTTGTCCAGTGAATCTTTCGCCTGATTTCATCAGAATGCACCTCCACTCGAATTGAGGGAGCACCTCGCAATCTACTATAGAATGGCAAAACTAGAATATCGTAGATGTACCAGCCACGGGAATTATATCCTCCATCTGGGTAAGGGACTAACCCATAGCAAGTATCCACCCAGCTTAACATCTTGCGTTTTCTGTACTTCAGTTGCTTCAAGACTTGACGGTTATGTAGATCGTAGCCAGCACAATTGACATATGTATCTTGCAGACTCAACTCCTTTCCCTTCTGCAGTCGAATGACTATAGGCGGGAGCAGTGAAGTATCGAGCAGTTCAAGCGTCCTGATAACATTCCTCCACCTCCAGAAAAATCCATTTTCGTCTTCTGGGTTAGATATATGGATTTCGATAGCGGCTAACTTGCAGAATGGAAAATGGTCGAAGCGGCGCTCTCTGCCTTTGGCCCAGCAATTGAGCGTCCACACCGGACCATCACAGAAGATACCCTTTCGCACGCGCCTCCGAAGGCGCAAAGCACCCCAGAATCGCTTCCCTGAATCTGGAGGGGGGGAGAGATCGATAACCATGCGTGTCTTGGAGAAGATGACGTCCGAGATCTCTTGGTACAGTCTGCTGCTGGCAAGGAGGATTCTGAGATCCATGTATTCCGACAGAGATGGAGTCAATTTGTCCCCGTGGTCTACAGGGAAGAAATCCAGCCAGATGAGTTCGCGGATCTCATAGGGCAGCCTAGAGAAGACTCCCAGGCCAGAAACCAAGGCCATAATTGACTGGCGAGTGGTCGCTTCTATCGCCGTGCATATTTGGTGTTCCTCAGTATCCATGCTTAGATCTGATAACTAGTAATTGGTGGAGCGTAGTATAGGAGTTACAAATTATCAATGATGGATAGGTCGAGAGATGTCATAGTTAAGTGAAAATGGTGAAGATGGCCATAATGATGCCACTTGGGGGGTTTATATGCCTACATGAAGATGATGTCATGATTTCATCCAGGCATCGCCAACTATACGTAACGAGGCAGTCTGGATGGCGAGAAGGCGAAGTGGTAGTATCAAATAGTTAGTGGTTTGCCTGTGTCGTGTGTGCGATAGCTGGCTAGTTACCCCTATCCCAACCAGCTTTGCACTCGTGGCTCATAGCTATTCCGTCAGCTAGTTAGTTCACAAACTACAACGCTGACGTTGCTTTAGCGCTGCGAGTCGTGGTAGCTTTCAACCCTGCAGCAAACAAACGTCTAATCGTCCTTAATTTGCCCCTTAAGATCGGGCTTATCCGCTCGAATGGCCCGGACTCCGGACCCGTCTCAGGCCCCCTGGACTCGCCAGCCAACGAGCAGGCAGTACGAAGGGCCCGTCGAGCCGTGTTGGGCGCTGTGGGAACAAAGAACCCTACCCCGAGCCCAGGGATGCTGGTTATACGAAGCAGAAGCATGGAGTTACGCCCCTCGCTGCCATGCACGCCATGTCAATCTGGAGTTACACCCTTAGATGCGAACGCAAGGCCCGACGAGGCTGGTCGACCGAGTTAGTTATGGTTACGTTCCACCGCGAGAGCAGCAAAGACTGACGGCGAGATGAAAGAGCTTTCGGGCGCTTCGCCGTTTCTCTGGGCCGGACGAGCTGCTCCCCCCCCCCTATAAATACCCTCATCTCTGCCCGCAGGGAACAAAGCAGATCAGTTAACTAACTATCGCCCTCGAGCTAGTTAACTGGTTGGCTGCCTGACTTGTACGCCCTGAGAAGCCCCCCTCTTGAGTAGAAGCCCGCTGTGCGTTCTGTCTACCGTTTGACCACCTATTCCTCCTCCTGCCAGCACCATGGACTCTGCTACTGCGCTCATATCCAAGCTGCAGACCCTCGCTTCGAGGCTCAGCAATGAGGAAGATCGTGATGCGCGAAAGGAGTGCTTGCAGATAAGCAAGGCCCTCACGGCGCAGCTCGAGGAGCCAGAGAATGTAGCCGTCGACATGATCTTTTCTGTATGTATTTGGTGCCCCTGGTATATATATATATGTGCCTTTGCGGAGTACTGACCCGTCATTTACAGCCCATGATTGCCGTCAGTGCTCGAATTGCAGTTGATTTGAACCTTTTTGCTCTCATTGCAAAGGAAGAGCCCGTCACTTCGGCTAAGCTCGCTGAGCTGTCTGGCGCAGAAGAGCTGTTGATAAGTATGGTTGTCTGGTGGCAGCTGTATCAATTGTGATTTCTGACCGTCACTCGTCCAGTACGCATTCTACGGCCTCTCTCTGCCATCCATTTTGTCGAAGAAGTGGCGCCAAAGACATGGAAGGCCACTCGTATCACCCACGCCATGGCTATCGAGGGAATAGCTGCCGGTCATCGAATGATGTTAGTTACTATATACTGTCGGACAAAAGTGACACCTCCCAGCTAATATAGCTATAGTTCGCGATTTGTCGTTATCTCAATGCAAAGTGCGCCGGCCTACCTGAAGAAGCATGGCTATGCCTGTCCAACCGATCCCAAAGATGGGTTAATGCAGTATGCCTTCAACTCCAAGTTGAGTGCTTTTGAGCAGGTGACGTCCGATCCAGCTTTACTCAAGGACTTCAACACCTTCATGGGCAGTACCATGGGTGCTAGGAGGTACTGGGTGGACTGGTACCCCGTCCAAGACCGAATTATCGATGGAGCATCTCCCGACAAGGCCCTACTTGTCGATGTTGGAGCTGGAAAGGGCCATGACTTGCTAGCATTCCAAGAAAAGTTCCCCAATGCAGGCCGGTTGGTTCTGGAAGATCTCGCAGCAGTTACTGAGACTCTGGACTCCTTGGATCCGGCAATTGAGAAAGTTCCGTACGACTTTTACACCGAACAGCCTGTTATTGGTAAGTTGCTACCCCAAGTCCCTCCTCCGTATAGAGTTATATAGTTATATGCAACGCTTGCGCCATCGTCTGCTAAACATTTGTTTAGGTGCCAGAGTCTACTTTTACCATCATATCCTCCACGACTGGTCGGACGCTTGCTGCCTTAAGATCCTCGAGAAGGTCGTCGCAGCTATGACCCCTGGATACTCGAAGCTGCTGCTCCATGAGATGCTTGTTCTTGACCAGGCAGCCCCTCTATTCCAGGCTGAGTTGGACATGACCATGATGGCCTTCAATGGAGGAATGGAGCGGACAAAGGATCAGTGGACTGCGCTGCTCGAGAAGGCTGGTCTCAAAGTAGTCCAGTTCTGGGACCCAGTTGACGAAGGTGGTGATGGCATCGTCGAAGCTATGAAGGCATAAGCGGCTCTCCCACATAGTTAGCTAGTTCGGCTAGTGTCAACAGCCTTTTAACAATACAGTTGCATTGAGCTTGCTGATATCCCAACTGTGTGGTGAAATATATAACACTGAAATGAAATAACTTCCTCTTTTCAACCCGAACTCTTCTCTGGCCTATCCAACAAGTCCACTCTAAACAGATCAAACATTCGCTCTCCAGCCCACCCGTCAAGGTGTTCCCAGTTTGCGCAATAGTGCATATCTTTATCAAAATTTGTCGGGTAAAACTCCGTCGGATCTTCGTGCTGGGCTGTGTTGTTGATCCAGCGGAAGGTGACGAGGGACAGGTCCGGTTGACACATCAGGGACTCTCGAATATATTCCACACAGTGGTCGGCGTGCTTTATTTCACGGGCCATAGACTCTTCGTCCTTGTTGGCGTAATAATGCTCTTTGAACATCATGCGCTTGACTTTTTTCTATGCCACGGATACTTCAGTTAGCACCAACACATATACTACTATCCCACAGTTCGGTTTCCTACATACCAAGCAGTGAAGAGAGTGATATACACTTAGTGATGCGATACCCTCCGAGTGATCTTTGGTATATACTGAAGTCAAGTTCTTCTCCTTCAGATAGCCGATAGGAACACGGATGTTGTCGTCTACTCTCGATCAAAAAACATGAATCAGTTCATGTCCGCAAGCCTTCGAGTTTGATAAATAATAGACTTACTTCGCAGAAACTTGTGCCATGCTTGCTCCATCTCCTCACGAGGAGGCCCAGCAAAGGGGTTGTTCACGATATTTGTTGGGAACCGACGGTACTCCCATTTCAGGCCTTGTCTATCCGGTACTTTCGGCAAGTCAGTAAACGACCGGCTGAGTTGATTGATAGGTAAATGGACTGACGTGGAAGATGTGGTTGATTGCCTTCTTTTCCTTCCTGCAAAACATGTCTCTGGAGCCTGGGTAGGATAATGGCAAAAATAACCAGCGAATATATGACTATTATCGAGCTATGCAACAGCCATGGAAATATCCTCCTCCATATACGTCTCTTCGGTTTCTGGTCAAATCTCGCATACTCGTCTTTGAACTCTTCTTCTGAAGCGCAATTCAGGGCCTCATCACCCCTAAGTAGCGGCTCGACCGCATGCTCTCTTGCCTCCTTTTGCTCCATGCTTCTCCCTGAGAGAGGTTGAACATCTATGATTGAGATACAAACCCCCCCGGTTGGACTTGTTTGCTCTTGAGCTATCAGACATTGGAAGCAACGCCAGTCTGCCTGATTATCGACCCACTCGATCAAGTTGTCGTCCGAGACAGGGGTACCCAGAGGAATTCAATGCAGCAGACAGCCGCTGTACAACATTACAATGCACTCGGTCCGATTATGGGCTATTCAAGCTTGACACTTTTCTTATTCTGCTTTTACAATCAACCTCCCAAAGCTTTATCAAAATTATCCAGATCCTTCTGTATTACACTCTGGATACAGGTATTATATTATCTGTCCAATGAAGCTTGGTAGATCCTTCAGAGGATTTCCCGCTGCCACCCGTCCTGCCCGTATCAGAAAGCTCCAGACCACCATCAAGCCTGAAAACTCAAACGGTGTGACAGCAAATCCAGCCTAATTAACAAACGGCTGCATAAAGGATTAGGAGCCCCAAGGTCTCGCAAAGATCTTCGTCTGCTCGCCGGAGGATTTATGCCTCTTCATTAACTTCTTTATCCTGCCTGCTTGAACGCCTCACAAACGCTGCGAGTCCCCGGATCATGGAGTTATTCAATTTTAAACCTCAATACCAGCCTGTGGCCAGCAACAATTCCCCGCGGCCGGGAATCCTGCCCTTCCTAAGGCAGTATCCGCTAGGCAACTACATACTTTTACTGGCCATCGCTGCGGTGTCTGCCGGGATAGGAGCGTTGATTGGAAGGTCATCTCTTGGCTGTGGGAGCTGTGTCCAGTACTCAAACCGTAAGTACACACCATCGGACCCTACCTTTCATCTACTTCGACTGGCACATGTTGCAAAAGCTCATCCTTCTCTGGCAGCTGAAATCCCGCTGGGCACCATCAAGGAGATCTTTACCTATAATCGGACATTTGGTGAAGACCCACGAATAGATAACGGCACGCTGGCAGCCTGGGACTCCCTTGTTCCAAGTGAGTAATTGCTGACGTCCCAAATATCCGTCAAGTCAAGGAACAGACGCTAATCGAGCATGGTGTTGTCTCCGAGATAACCAGTTGGCCAAGGCACGGTACGTTTTCCTGCAGGGAGCAAGAAGATCTATACCTTGTCTGCCGTGCACCAACTACATTGCCTGGTACGTGCGAATGCCGTTGGCTCTGAATGAACTGAGTAAAAACACGACGATTTAGAAACGTGCTAACCCGACGATGCTGTACGAAGTGGTCTATCCACCAGAGCTATTACAGGGCCTTGCAGTCGCGTCGTCGCGGCGATGAACAGCAGCACAACCACATCGGTCCCCATATGCGGCACTGCTTCGATTACCTGCGCCAGGGGCTGATGTGTGCCGCCGATTCAACCTTGGAGCCTGTCGATACGAGGCTAGGTGGAGTTACTGGATGGGGGAGCGAACGGGTGTGCCGAGACTACACTGCTCTGAAGGATTGGGCCGAACAACGACGAGTGAGCAATAGCAAGGGCTTCTCAGACTAGCGAGCGACCAGCAGGCCAGTAGTCTAGATTGATCTGCCAGGCATGTTTCCAAACTGTCTCGTTAAAAGAAGTCTTGTCAGCTGCGTATAAGGAAATATCTTTTTGGGCATACACTGCGAAAGTCGAGATGTATAAATATAGAACAAGCACCGGGGGTGGTACAATAGGCTTTTTCTGCATACGCCCGCCCTGCAGAGTCGTCCTTTGGAGGCCGGCGAGGAACCCTGCCAGCAAAGTCCCAGAGTCAAGCCCTGCGTCATCCCTTCATCCGATGTGACGTCGCTGCCCTGGCCCCGGTCTTCTCCAGGTCTTCCCTCGCCCTCCATCTTCGCCCGCCAGCCAATGCCCGCGCCACAAAGCGGCCCATCCTGGACCCACCGATCCCCGCGCCCCACCTGAGCTTAAACAAAAAACAACAGTGATTGGCTGGAGAACGGCAACGGATCGACCGGCGCTTGCACCGATAAAGCCAATAAGAGGCCGCCCTTCTCTCAGTCGGCTGTGATCTCTCGATTTCTATTGGTTCCTAGAGTGTGGATCGGCCTCGAGCTGGACCCGCAAGTTCGGGCCGCGCGGGGGCCAGCTGGATCCACCGCCAAGACCCGCGACGGTTTTGGTATGTATAAACAGCATCAGAGAAACCCAGCTTCTTCTTGGAGTCGGATTTGATATCAACGAACGATCCGTGGCGGAGTTCGGAGCAGACTAGCGGGGCATTTTTGTTTGTCGGTAAGAGACATAGGTGCCCTGCTGTGACCGGCAAGTACAGTTATGTACTCCCAGGCCCTGTTGCGCTGCAAGGCTGCTGAAAGCGGCATCCTGGTGATTCGACTGCTCTCGCGCCCTTTTCTATGTAGGACATGGCGTGACAGAACCGCTTATGCTGCCAGAAAATAGGCATAATGCATACTGGTAGGCAGGGATGGCCGAGGTATTAGGAGCACATGACGGTACATATATGTGTATTTCGGCCGGGGGAAGGCAGTACGGCCATACAAATATAGAACGTAATTTAAATCCTACCCAGCGGACAGGGGGGGTTGCTTACACGCAAGGCAAACCCGGGTTGTTGCTGCAGCGGTTGCATGGCTAAGCGGTCAAATACCAGCACAGGGTATTTTAGAGCTGCGATATTCCATCTCCTTCGACGGCCTTTTTTCCCTTTTTTCCCCCTTTTTATATCAGGTCGTCTGAGCGCTGATTTGTGTAGTTGCAAGATCAAAGTCATCATCACTTTTCAACACCACCGAAGATGAAGTTCCAGATCATCCTCCTTTTGGCTGCTGTTGCCAGCGCCGCCCCTCTTGCCAGCGGTATTGACCTCCATGCTTCTCCCTGGCTGTCTTTCCCGATTGCTAACTTTGGCTGATAGGCAAAGTCGCTGACGCCGATGAGGCCGTCGTCTACCCAGCAAAGGTTGACCAGTCCTGGGTTGATGCCGATGTGGCAGCTCGTAAGTGTAATCTCCAGGCCCATTTTGAAGACTGTTTTTCTAAAATCGATATAGGATCTGTACAAGACGCAGACGAAGCCGTTGTCTACCCTGCCAAAGTCGACCAGTCCTGGGTTGATGCAGACAACGCTTAAAGGCTCTCATATTTCCACGTATATATAAGCTATGGACTCTACCACATAATTTGTAGTCCGAGGTGGCACGGTTTTATGAATTTTTTTTTTTTATTTCTTATATCAGTTACGAGAAATTTTTAGCAAATATAGATTGGTCTCTTCAGTGATTTTGAGCATGACTACGCTTAACGTATGTCCACCGAGTAGCACCTAAAATATTCGTAGAATGAGGCTTTCTTGAAATAGTTACATGGGTTCCGGCAAACGGATGCACAAGGCATAATGCTAACACGAAACTTATAAGTGCGGCCAGCCCCCGTCTCACAGGCCAATTCTACGTACTCCTTGATAGCCTCACCGGACATACATGTCAGACGGTCAACAGCAATGTCCGACGACCACAAGAGCTACCACCCTCTGCGGAGGGATTCAACAGAAAACGAGCATGATGGGTCATTGAGAGAATTCAAAACCCCAAGCAACCAGAGACCGGTCATCCTGATACTATCAGCGATTATCGCTGGGTTGGTTTTTCTGAACGCAGCTCTCAGCTTCTACCTATACAGCCAGACTAGGTCATCGAATTCACACTGCGACTGCGGCTCTTATTATGGTATTTCAATACTGAATCCGTACTTTTTCTCTAAATAGCACATGTTACTGACTGCTTCCAGCTGGCCTAGAGAGAAACGTCCCCATACAAATATACCAATCTACCGAGTTTGTCGCCGAAAATGCGAGCGATGTTGCACATCTCTGGGAGAAATTAAGCGGAGATCCAGGGGTCGTCGCTCTGCCGCAGAAATATGTGTCTGAAAAGGGGCTTCCGCATGCTATGCGATTCCCATGGGACGACGATAAAGGGGTGTATCTATTGCAGGGATATCATAACCTGCACTGTCTGGTCAGTCATGACTGTCTCGACCTCCACCGCTTAGCACTCTAGCCCGCATGCTAACCTGTATCATTATTGTACTTCTAGAGGACCATCTTCCGATATACCTGGAATGCTGACCGCGGTATCCCTCAACGAGTCGCATTCAGTCACATTCAGCACTGCCTCGACCAGTTACGCCAGGATGTTATGTGCAATGCAGACGATACGCCAAGATACGCTGGATTTCAGAATCCTCCAGGAACAGGAGCGGGTCAGGTCAGGATGTGTAAGGACTGGAAGAAGCTGGAGCAATGGGCCAGAGAGCGGACGGCTTGTTTCAAGCATGAAGACGAAGTTCCGGGCAAAATGATTGATCGGTTCAAGTTTTGCCCAGACGGAAAGGTGCTGTGGCCGACGGATAAATCCAACTAACTCATGAGAGAGTCCATGATGTATGTGTATTTTTGTTTCCTTGTGATAATGAATAGATGTTATATACCCGATTTTTATGGGATATTAAGATATAGACAGAGTATTACTAGCCATTATTATATTGCTCGCCTGAGGCCAAAACCAACCTTTGAGACCCTGCTTGCAGCCATACTAATGACTGAAGCCGTAAGCAGAGCTCCACACCAGCAAATAAGTCCAACCCAGCCTCCGCGTCCATTGAGAATGGCGCCGGCAATAGGATTGCCTACGAGTACGCCGCATCCTACAACGGCCAGCGTCATCCCTAGCCGAGTGCCTATCTTGCTCTTGTCTGCAGAGAGATTCACCACTCCTGCAGCGGGTAGCCCCATGAACGCACCGGCAGAGAACCCGTAGATGACGCAAAACACCACCAGACCGGCTGCACTTTTGATTGCAATCAGGCAGAATGTCAACAGGGCGCTGATAAAGGCGACGATCGTTTGCACGTTAATGGACCCTATTCTGTCAGCATAAAACCCAGGTATCAGTCGTCCTGCCAGAGAGCTCCCGTTGATAATCACCAGGAGATATGACTCGAGGACGTGTGAGATGTGCGTCTCCTCGAGCGAGTAGAGCTGGATATAGTAAAAGATAATGTAAAGGCCCGTGAAGCCGAAGATGAGGCCCAGATTGAGCAGCATGTAGGGGCTGTCTCTGAACGCGGTCGTATCTACCACGTTGTATCTGGCCCTTTTGGTTGGGACAGACCGGGGCTTCATCAGAAAGACCGGCAGCAGCTGGGTTGCCAGAATGATAAACCCGATCACACGAGTAGCCCAGGGGAAGCCGATCCTGGGCTGAAGACGGCTGAAGATAATAGGATATATGATTCCGCCTGGTTCGAGTATCACAGTCAGATATCAGTCGCAGTTATGTAACTATACAGCCACAGAACGCCCACGTACCGATGGCACTGCCAGCCGAAGACGCCCCCATGGCCAGCGCAGTGCTCTTGTTGAAGTACTGCGACACAACAGCCGGGGCCGGCACGTAGAGACAGCCGAATCCCAGGCCCATGGTGATCGCCTGCGCCAGAAAGACCTGCCAGTACTGCGTGCAGAGGCTGGTCATGAACATCCCCAGCACCGTGAGCAGCGATCCGAGGCCCAGCAGCGTCTTCACGTAGCCTGCATCGACGACGGGCCCCACGACCATCGAGATGATGAACATGAGGAACGCCTGGGTCGAGCCGATCCAGGAGATGTCCGAAGGGGACTTGGACGAGAGCAGGTCGAGTTCATAGTAGGTCTGATATACCCCGAACGCGTTCATGAGGCCCCTGAGTCGACACTTGACCGTCAGTTACACTAACTAAAAAGCTAGCGACGCCCCGATAGTTGGCTCGACTATACATACCATGTATTCAGATTCAGGCAGAATGCGCCCAGGACCTGGAGCCAGGCGAACCAGTCCTCGTCCGGCTGCTGCTTCGACGACGCGCGCTCGACATCCTGCTCGCCCCGGCGCTGTTGCTGCGGCGGCGGTGCGTCTTCCTGAGAATCCGACGGCGGTTTATCGTCCATCGCGCAGGACATCGACCAAAAGCTGCCTCTCCCCAGGGCCGATTTAAGCGAGGAAACACTCCGTCCCAGAGGCAGAGACGCGGCAGGATGGAGCAGTTTAAGAGTTGCCGCGACCTTTTTGATCCCTCCAGGACGGTTTTAGGCCCCTCTTCGATCCGTGGTTTGCATGGTTGGCTTCAAAATATTACGTACCAACCGGCGCATCCCAGCAGCCCAGAAGGCTCCGAAGGGCCCGGCGTCTCCCTGTCTTCGTCTCTCTCCCTTCGGCTGCTTGCTGACGGCGATGCATCGTTGCCAGCGAGTGGCCAGCATCAGCCGCTGATGGCTAATTAGCTGTCATTAACTATTAACCGTCGTGGGTGTCGTTAACTACGAGCTGAAGATCTCCCTTGCATGGCCCGTCAACGCCACCAGCACCCTCCAGAATTTGTCTGCTTGCTCCTTGGGGGGGCTGAGGACTGGCTTGTTCGACCTTCCACATGCTGTGCAGGCTGTTCATGCAAGGATCTTGCCATTCCATGCCTTGTCCGATCCCTCAGGTTGCACCAAGGCCCCCCAAGGCCCGCAGCAGATTGGAGGAGAGGAAGAAGCCTGAAGAAAAAGAAAGCAAACGCCAGCAGTGGAACGTTTGGTCACCGGGATTGCGAGTGAGAAACGAAAAGAAAAGACACAAAAGGACCGTCGTGCTTTTTGTCTATTCTTAGTTGTATCACTCGGTCTGGTTGTATATATATATATAACTCTGCAGAATGGACCCTGCTGGGAGCCGGCACGATATTCTTCACATCTCACTGTTACCCCCCTGACACTAAGAATAAGATAAGGACATATACGAGTGGCATACTCGACCCCCCTGGCCGTCCGGACTTGATCGCCAGGCCACTGAGCAGCTTGTATCTTGACACTTGACATGGATGGATGTTACCGCGTGGTATGTCATGCTCACTCCTCCGGCAGCGATATCCATTTCCCTTGAACCCTTTTTGGGGCCTTTCAGGAGCGGATGCTTACTTACGACTCCCGGACAATGCCTCCTTGCGGATACGCCAGCCTGATCTAAAATGCTACCTTGTGCATAGTTGTACCGCTATATAGGCACTCCTGCGTCGCTGGAACCCGGGGAAGCGCCTCGAGACTGTCCACTATTCATGCGATAGTTAAACTAGCTGCTTTCGTTTGCCCTCGAGATTAACAGATATATTTCGAGTCGCTTCATTCCGTTTGATTTTTTTTTTTTTTTTCATCGGGATCGGGATCTCTCCTTTTCGTTTCGCTCTTTTTGTCTGTCTGTCGTTCGTCAAGGTCAGTCCATAACCGCCCAAGATGGCCATGTCTGGGCCAGATTATCTGGGGACAACCGTCCTGGTTGTTGCCTGGGTGTTTGCTGGCCTCGCCTCGATTGTTGTTGGTACCAGATACTACGTTCGTTGGAGGATCATAGGAAAATTTACCATAGACGACGCCCTCATCTTCGTTGGTTACGTGAGTTAAACTTGGATCGCTTCAAGGGATGGGCATTACTGACCGAGGGGTAAAAAAAAGGCATTTGGAATAGGGAATTCTATTTTTTTGACCATATCTACTCACTGGGGACTGGGAACCCATATGGCAAAGTTGTCGGAAGAAGGGATCATGCACTCCGTGAAATGGGTCTATCTCTGCGAATTCTTCTCCATCATGTCTCCTGGTATAGGGCGGATAGCCTATGCATCTTTACTTCTCGGTCTCCTTCCGCCTATCAAATGGCGCAGCCGCATGCTATGGAGCCTGATATGGATCCAGTTTATTGTTGATATCGCGACGGTGATCATCAGCTTCTCCCAATGCCGGCCTATAAGCAAGTTCTGGAACAATAGTATCCCAGGCAGCTGTTGGCCTCCGAAAGTCCAGCAGAACACCGGTTACTTCCAGGGAGGTGAGTGCATCTTTGATATTCTATTGTAGAGTATGGATACTCACAGCACAGCAGCGGTATGTTCGGCGGTTGATCTTGCCCTTGCGGCCTTTCCCGCTAGTATGTTCTGGAATTTGAACATGGAGTGGAAGAAGAAGGTATCCCTTTCATGTCTTATGGGACTAGGTGTTTTGTATGTCTTACCCAGGCCGCTCCTCAGTAGCAAAGAGACAACAAGCTAACTAGCCCCGATACCAGTGCGATGATCGCGTCAATTATCAAGACAGTCCAGTTAAGAGCAATCACTGCAAAGGCTGATATCACCTACGCCATGGCTCAGCTCGCCATCTGGTGGACACTGGAGGCATACCTGGTCATCATCGCGACCTCGATACCCACTCTCAGGCCAATAATGACGCCTAACAGGGGCGGAACCAGACCAAGAGGCAGCTCGATCAAGAGATCTACCATGATCCACTCCCATCAGTCTAGCTACGGACATAGTAGACAGTTCGAGCGCATAGAAGACTCCCAGCTTCTGGAGAGTGGCTCTCGGACGAGCATCCCTTATGCCGGCGATGCTTATATCATGGAAGAAGGACGCAGTCTGGACCGCAATAACCTGGAAAGACTGGAGGGGATAGAGAAGACAACGACCATCGGCGTTACTTATGCTGATGCCACCAAGTCGGATCCCCAGCTGCGACTTGGAGCTGATTTTCGATGATAAGGCGTGCCTCTCCGTCGGGTAACCGCCTGCCCGCGACAAAATAAATATAATACGGGGAGATAGATGTCTCTGTTTCATGATTAGATGAATCCACGCCAACGACGCTCCCTAGCCGTACAACGAGCTCTACACCCAACCTGCACGGCATACAATATCGAGCGCACTACCGTCCTAACCGACAGAGGAGCTGTGTAATACACTACTCAGTGCCTCTAAATCGGCCACTGATCGATAGCTGTGCCATGAGTTGGGTAATAACATTTTTGATAGGTTAGTCAATGCCTTTGCTTGAGTCTAAAGTAGGCATATAGAAACCGCTAAACTGACACTACAGCTACATCTAGAATTCGATTGCTCCGTCCTGCCTTCTTGATACCCTCTACTAGCTAATATCCCGAAATAATATGATACCCAATAATAAAACCATCAGCGATAAGCGCATGACACCCAAAAAGCTCCTACCGATATCTTTATCAACACGCATAAACTACATGTACATTACCTCTACAATAATGACAAACACTATATTCCTCAGTTGCCAACAGTGTCTCTCAACATAGTCCGTCGGGTAAAGGTTAACTGATTTTTGCGCGACCAGCAGAGGCTCGTGTGCTGCCGGTTGACTTTGATCTGACGACATACAAACCATTTTTGCAAATAACCAGACTATATAAACGACAAAACGTCCACACAATTATATTCCATCGCATACACAGCATTTTCAATAACTGGTTTTCCGAAAACATATGCAACAAAAGATGCCTTCCGTTCCAATAGACCCTCCCCCTCCATATACGCCACGACCAGCACAAAGCCAGCGTCGACCAGAAGCGATCCTCAGAGATGGTTTTAAAACTATAGGGTTTGGAGTTCGAATTAAGTGGGCTGGGATCCTTTCGCCTAGAGGAATATATATATCTCCTGGTGCTGATTATCGTTTCGGTTACATAGTTTGTCTTCTGATGAGAGGAATGTTCTCCTTGAATTTTATCTCATCAAATGTCCAAAACGCGGCGGGTAAGTTGAAGAGCTACCATCTTTATCTCATCTAGTTGATTATGACTACAACGACTCAAAACAGAGTAAGAGATTGATGGAGTTCATAGGGAGTATCATTTCGATACAAAGGTAAAGTTGCACAGGAGAGCAGGCAAGCGCAAGATCTTTCCAGCAACGGTCTATACGATTGAGGGCTGGGTAATAAACCGACGAAGAGTGAAGTGGCCAAGGGCTTGTTGCGAATCCTGCGGCTGTGGTGCTGGTGTCCAGTGCAACCAGTAGTTGCCAGTTAGCTGGTATTATTCAGATAAACCAAGCAACCGCCTTTGCCTCTTTAATGGATTATTCAAGCATAGTTATTTAAACTAGTGGAGACATAACCCAATTTTAGCTGGACACCATCGGCAGATGATCGATGCTTATCCTGACTACACCCGGCAATGTCCAATGTTGACAATATTTACTTTGCATACCCCGGGAAGGCTATGGTGTGCTCCATCTCCAGTGGTGTCCCCTCGATAGACAAGTTGAAGTTGAACATATGTAAATTCGTCATAAGCTATATACAGACGCACTCCTAAACTATGTACATAGAAGAATAAGAGAATGCATTTAGCAGCCTGGTGGGAGCTTGTTGCTGCCAGTGCGGTTGCGGGCATCATATTTGGCACCGTAGCCGAGGCCACGCTTAGCGAAGGCCTTCCAGATGGTGCACTTGTTGGCACTGTTGGTGAGAGCACGGTCGGCGTCGAGGATGGCATCACGGGCCTGGACGAAGTTGGGGTTGCATGGCTGGCTATAGGGATATGTTAGCTGGAGTTATGTAGAAATACAATGGACGTGTGGACTTACAGGGCCATGCCGTCCATGACGAGCTTCATGGTCAGATGGCGACCATCCTGTGGAACGCCGTTGCGGAAGACTGGGTCGGCGGAGTAGGTGCCGCCGTGGGCCTCGATAAGAGCCCACATGAGGTCGTAGAGCATGGAGGCCCAGACGGTACCAATCTGGTGGACCTCACGGAGGCTGTTGACGGAGGTGTACATGTAGGGGTTGGTCTGGAGGTTAGTGGAGTAGAGGTAGGCACGGATACCCTTGGGGTTGTTGGCAGCCCAGGCACCCATGGAGTAGTTGGTGTCCTTGGTGTCACGGGGCTTTAGACGGATGGCAGTGGCGTAGAAGTCACCCCAGCCCTCGCCCATACCACCGGACTCGAGAGCGTTCAAGCAGGCACTGTTGGCGGGACCACCACAGAGACGGTTGGAGACTAGGAGGCGGACGGTATGTCAGCATTGTCAAGTTGTGGTAGTTGAGAAGACAAGGGGGGTTCAATTGAAGAATGGTTAGGGTGCTCAGCAGGCTTTGGGGTATGGGCTACTTACGACCGTGGGTGTATTCGTGGATGACGATACCGGCTTCAAGGCAGCCATCACGGTTGGGACGAGCAGTAGTCCAGTTGTACATTCTCATGCGGCCAGGGCTGCCATCTGGTGGGGTGGCAAAGTTGGCATTGTTGGTACCAGAGCCATCCTGAGCATTGACAATGGCGAAATCGTTGCCCTTACCACCCTTGTTGCCGTTGTTGACCTGGAAGTTACCAGCAGCCTCGTTGAAGCCGAAGGAGTAGAGGAGGTCATGGTATCGGTTGGTGGTGTAGAAGAGCTGAGTGATGGAGAAGTCCTTGTAGGAGGATGGGGGAGTAGCAGTTGGGCTCCATGGGTAGCTGAAGATGAGGTTGGGGCTCTGTGGGCGGTAGTTGTTGATATAGGTGCTGCCGCCAGTTGGGTTGTCCTGGGCAATGGCGTTGTTGCCACGGGTGGTTGGGTACTTGGTCATGCCATCAGAGTTCCAGGTGTAGGGAGAGGCATCAGTCCATGGGTCACGGATAGAGGTTGGGTTTCCCTCGGTGGGATCGTTGAGACCCCAGGCGCTATCTCACCGTTAGAACTTGTCTACCCAAGCATATATATATATATATATATGTACATGTTATATAAGTGGAAAGCGGATGGAAGATAAGTACTTACAAGACCTTGTACTCAGCAGAGGCAACGTAGTCAACAACGTTGTGGACAGTCTCGCTGTTGTGGGCATCGACATAAGTCAAGAGCCAGTTGTCACCAACATCGGTCTCAACTTTCCAGGTCAAGGCGAGGCTTCCGTCTTCCTTCTGGAGGTAGACGAGGTTAGCCTTGGGAGCAGAGAGGGCACCGGTGGTTCCCATGAACTCGAAGGACTCCTTGCCAGCAGCAGTCTTAGCCTTAGCGTTGTCAGACTTGACAGGGAGGTTGAGGGCCTTGACGGCACCCTTCAGGGCCTTGACTGGGTCCGAGAATGCACGCTTGACCATTGGGTTCTCCTTGGGGATCTCTCCGGTGAAGAAGGAGTTTCCGAAGGAGAAGACCTTGCCATCACGGCCGATCTAGATGCATGTTAGCCATAGCCATTCCACACATTCTTTAAATATCAAACTTCTTTTTTTCAATGACAATGTAGCAAAGGACCAAGGTAACTTACGTTGACATTGAAGTCAGAGTTGTCAATGTCAAGACCGTGGGCGGTCTGCTTGAAGTGAACATGGCCAATTCCGTTGGTGCCAATGTAGTGGTCATCAACGACACGGAATGTGGACTTGGGGAATGTGCTCTTGACCAGCTTGGTGGCGGTTGAGACGTAGTCATCGTCCTTGGAGAAGGACATGGCCTGGATCTTCTGGGCGGTGGCATCACTGTCCATGTACTTGGCCTTCAATGGCAGACGGAAGGACTCGATGTCGACGCCACGGCGGCTGAGGACGTTGCTGGCGTGCTGCTCGGCAGGGTGAGCGAGCACATTCATGGGCAGGGCCAGAAGCCCGGCGAGCAAAAGACCGTGCATGATGGCGGTTCACCAGCAAGCAGCAAACAGAAAAGGGCAGAAGAAGGGTATTATGGGGGGTCAGAGAGCGTTGTTCGTCTTGAGGAGCTCTGCTTGAGAGTTCTGGGTATCCTGAGGCGGGCATCCAGAGGGTTTTTATAGAGGAATCCATCACCGTCTCCCCGGCTCTGCCTCCACCCTCCTCCTCCTCCCCCCCATGGCAGCGCTAAAAGTCTTATCATTCGGACGTTTGAATAGCTTCCTGCCCTTGCTCTGGCCGTCCTGGCAGTCTCGTGAGTGCAGACCCGGCCGGGGGAGATGCACGCCTTCGCCTGGCCCCCCTCCCTCCCTGCCTGGGTCTGATATGGATCGAGCTGAGCAGATGTATCCTTCGGGCCGTGTCAAGCCTCATTAAACTGGCCCTTCCTGCCAAGCACGTAGCATCCTGTCACTCTGTGCTATACGGGGTATCTTGTTTTTGTTTCCTTCCGGCCAGCTCGCGGCAGAGCTTCAGCAGATCCGGGTCATGCCCTGGGCTGCAGTCCCTCTGTGCTCCCACACCGGCGCAGCTCTCGCAGCTCCCAACGGGCAGCGGACAGCATCACAACGCCGGCCCGGTGTAACAGGCGAGCTCGAAGCGCGGCCAGGCGGCTGCCCGTGGATCGTGACCTGCCATCCCAACTGCCGTGGCTTGTGGTCAGCTAGTTACATTCTTCGTAACTAGTCGGTGGGCGAGGAGAAAACAAGCGTCGCCAGAGATAACTTAGACCTCGGACCGGGATGGCCCTGGCAGCGAGCAAGCGGCCGCCACGGCTGGACTCGGTCAAGCATCAGCCAGTTCGTGCCTCAGTCCGCCGCCAGAAGAGACGAAGAAGCTGGAGAAGGCGAGCAGAGCAGCGTCCCTGGGCCGGCGGGATGATCACAAGGCCCCGGGAGAGCCAGCAAGGGGCGAAGGCTATCAACTCACATACACACAATCCCAGCCCGCGATAAACAAAACAACAGAGGCCATATGTATCATGATTGATCGAAAGGATAATTACATATTAACCGTGGGCGTCGGCAGCGGTTTTCGGTGCGCATGCTTGCCAGAGAGACCCAGCCTCGGCCGTCTCACGATGTTTTGCTATGGTTAGTTAGCTCTCCAGCGGGCTCCCACGAGTCAGCAAGCCACAGGACAAAAAGCCTTATATCGCCGTCTCACGCTACATCGCGCCAGGGGGACGATGCGGGGGGGCTTCATGCAGCGCCAGACAGGTGTCTACTCGAACAGTTCGCGGGCGTGCAGTCTGGGGAATCTGGCACAGTTCATCGACATGCAGGACTGGCTGGCAACACTGCCCCTGAATCCCTGCCATGCAGGCTATACTTGCACTGGCCTAAGAGCTAGTGGGCTGCTCCACTCTAGTTCGTTAGCGGTCTCAGGGCTCGCTGGCCGATACGAGACTCTAAACTCTTCTGGACCGCCTCGAGGAGACGATCACTTGCGGCCTCGCAGGCAGACGGTGGACTGTTTCGATAGGGGAAGCCCGCCGCCTCTTCCGGTTGCAACCCTCATCAAATACACTCATACACTCGCCTCTACGACTTGGATACTTGTCTAACAAGTTAGCTAGCTAATTGGCGAGCTGGAGATCGCTGCTTTGGATAGCATAGCTGCTTAATCTATTCTGGAATTCCGCTTTCTCTCGGGTTTATATCAATTTCCGAAGCACCCCCAGGTTTTCCTGCCCTTGGCTTCACCCAAGCCATGTCTGCCGCGGGAATCGAGGGCCTGTTTCCCGCTTGCTGCATGAGATAGATCCTTAGCTGGACATATACTCTGCTGAGCAGGATACACTCCCAAAAGCATATGGTCTCCCCGGCCCCCTAGTGGCCCCATTCTTCAGCAACGCTGGTGGTTAAAGCATCAACTATCGACCGAAAGGGAAGGTCATGACAAAACGTTATCTCCAGGCTAAGCATTCGGAAACACCCGATTTTCCCTTGGAAAACCTGGGGAATGCGTTTCATGCATGCAGAGACTGACCAGAATCTGTTGCCTGATGTGCCTCTCTTTTCACACGGCACCCCTCCGCTTGCCTGTCATATTATCCTTTCCCAAAAATAGAATAATGATATCAACACACCCTCACTTTCACCATCTGGAACTGCCGTTCTATGAACGTGCTGATGGCCAGGGTGATGACTCTCCGAAATTACATGGTGCCACCTTTACTCCTGAATACTTGGGCAGTCAAAAAAAATGTCTCGAAGCTGGCCTGAATCCCCCCCGGAAAGTCTTTCTCTGACGTGGCGATCATTTTACGTCCAGTGGACACGGGCAATTTCAAGGACCAAAAAACCAAGAATAACCAACCGGATATTCGATATTAGCCAACCCCAAGTCAATCAAGCCTGGTCCTTGACAGGATGGGTTATGGCTAGCTTAAGGATCCTATCCATGCTGCATTTTGTGCTGCTTCATCAAAAGAACAACACTGCTGGACCCTTGATGTGCGGACACTAGAAGAATCACAGAGAACATGCTAAGCTCTCTCGTGCATGTCAGAAGACCACGGCTTTTATTCCAGAAGTTGATCGCCGACCTAGCGATCAGGTACGAAGCACACATTACGGATCTCCTCCGCACTCCTCCCTTAATTCTCGTATAAAAAAACGGCCCCAATTTCACCACTTCAGGATGACATCCATGCCTCCCGTCGCCAGCCACGGATACCTGATACTTGCGCTATTCTTATTATCCGTAATCACAACCAGTGGCAAACTGAGCGGATAGTTAATGCTGCTGTCAAAGATAGACATCTACAACCGCACAAGCATTTCCCCCGCGTTCTCAGCTGCAGTAGTTACGGAGTATATTGCCATTTGATATATGAAGGGGTCAGTATGAATATCACCATAACCGCTGTTCATCTAGCGAGAATGGCCCTGGTAAATGATGTAGGAGTTGAACGATGTTACTCTACAGCCTTCACATCCTGCAATCAAGCGAAAGTATAACTCATCATCTCTCGAGTCTTGCGAGAGCCGGGAATAACCCCTGGCGATTAACAGAGTAGCACGTTGATTGAATGACCAGTGACTTCAGGGTCCATAACATCAGTCCATCATATTCTCCTATTATCAAGCACTGTCTGGTTGACTCCAGGCTAGTTTCAGACATCACTGTCCAAGATATCTATCGTCTGTCCGGCTCGAGACAAACAGCGCTTGGTAGGCTGCCAACGAACCCCTTTTCCCTCGAGAAACCTCATAGGATACCACTTCACCATCCTCATGAGTTATTACCTGCGGATTTCGCTAACGAAACACCTGCAGTGACGCCGTTTTCTCTCATCTATATCTCGATGAACGATTGACGTTGAAATTCGCTGATGGAGATCAACCTGATCAGCACGATCAACGCGGCTCCGTCAGGGTTCATACACGCGACGATGATCGATGATGGTCGATCTGTTTATCTCCCGTGAACCCGTCACAATGGTTCCCAGAGCGGCTCCACGGGTGTTTGGAAGCTTGTCGGCGCCTGTGGCCTGGTGACGAGGGCGTTGTCTTGTTCGGTAGAGCTCGTCTAGCTACCCTATAACTATATCTTGAGACTGCTGTGAAACACACGCCTATCGGGTGATTTGCTGCACTGCGAGGTAGCTAGCTAGCTGTTTGCCGGGATTACTACCTTGTGGGTGCATTAATTCCAAGCCTAAGGGCAGCCAGTGCTAGCTAAACCACCCATATGTTGTCACCGGATCCTGTATCTACTAGCTGAATACTACATAGTCAGCCTCTACTACGGTCTCATTGCCGTCTGGCAGCTGGAAGTCTACGCTGTGTAACTCGAGCAGAGCCCCATGAATCGGTTAACCACATGGCCTGGCGATACCCATCCTCGAGCCAGTGATACCAGGAGTGCAGTCACTTTCATGCTTTATAGAAGCACTAGGGCCTCAGCCTCATCAACCTTGGTAGAGCAATTGCTTCATATCCCAGCATTCTACCCGCATAGTCCGTGTTCGGCATCTTCCTGGACTTTATGCACGTAAACGCCCTTCTCCCCTGGACCGGACGAAGGGATAGCCGACTAGACTTACCGCCACCCGGACGGCAGTTATGCAGCATATGCCTCGTGGAAAGCCACAATTTCAATCTCACCGGCAACGTTGTGGAGCAGAAAGCCTTGTTCAGCTGTGAACCTTTACGCTTCGGTTATTGAGAACCTAAAGAATCGAGGTGTTCTCTACATTAATTGCTGGTCAATATCCGATGGGTAACTCGCTACTTATACAGCTAATCATGTTTTATCACTGGTTAGCTAGATATCATTATCCATGGCACCATCGCAAAGAGAGAAGAGAAATGATTAGGACCTTCTCTATTATGTTGTCAATTGCGCAGTGGCCAATTGGTTAGTACCTTGGCTGCAGGTATAAATGCCCCAGTTAAAAACCGGGTGTTAAGGTTAGAGGCTGGCGGCCTTTTGATCTAAGCTTATTTTGACGTTTGCCTACAGAACCGTATCATGACGACAGGTTACGTTGATATGAGCTTCAATGGTTCGATGTACCGCCTAAGTCTTCCCTTCTTATACGTAGACTCCATAGAATTCCTCCAAATGCAATATTTAGTCCCAATGGACCAGGAATCCCTTGAGAAACCAAATGAGAATCCATATGATACAATAACATTGCTTATAAAGGGGGCAATAAAAACAACGCAATATTGGATAAGGAGTAAACTGTTCACTCTCTACTCAAGAGTTTCGTCACACTAGGGTTTGATAAGGCATATCTATTCCTGAATTGATTTTAAACACGGGTATCATCTCGAGGATGTTCATAGAGCCATAAAGATTGCTGTCAGACCCACAATCACCAAGCTCACCCAGCTGCCTCGCAAAGTTATCGCTCTGTTCTCCGGGTGCCCCGGCTCCACGTCATACTTCTGCATAGTAATAACCTTCAAGCAAGTCATCTGAGAAGAAGTATGGTCAATGAGGCTGCCGTTTCCACCAACAAATAGAGTCAACACTGGTGTGATCTTATATGCCTCATTCGTATATTCCTCATAAGTGTCCGTTTCATTACCCTGCGTGATGAATAATGGTTAAAAAGGATGCCAACAAGGGGAATGGCAAGTAGTTAAACTTACATAAGACGTAGCCCGTGCAATCTCCAATAACTGGTCCGATTTCTGCTTTGTAGGCCAGCAGTCTGATGAATTTTTCACTGTCGAGAGGGCATCGAGGGACTTGACAGTAAAATTCCCGAGAGATGTTCCCGGGCCGCCAAAACTAGTGCATCCGTCAAAATTCTTCTTCATCTCCCGCTCAAGTTTCTCGCATGTGTTTCCACTGCCCTCCTCTGCCACGTCGCTGGCGTTTTGCAGAATTTTATCAATGCAGCTCTGTTCAATGACATCCGAGCACATCCCAGCAGCAGCACGACTATCCGTCATATTGACAATAACCGAAGTGCCGGCAATTTTTCCTTCCTTCATGGGGTATTTGAACTTTTTGAAAGGGGGGTCATTGAAGACAACAGTACATCCGCGAAGCTTTCCAGTGTCTGCGGTTTCTGGAACAGATAGGTAATATAGCGAGTTGAACGGAAGACCGGGATCTTCATTGGCCTTGTTCGAAACATTGACTCCCTTCACGAGGGAAAATCCTTCCAACGCTGAGGGGGCATTCTGGATTCGGGAAAGTCCCACGCCAATATGGGTGGCATCCTCAACTGTACAGCGGTCGTAGCCATCGATTGTAGGACAGCCAACGGAATTGCATCCAATCAAGTCGGTATCCCCAGCGCCAATAGTGAAGGGAATCAAAAACAGAACAAAGGTGACGCTTGATAGTTTTAAAGGAGGCATTGTTGCTTTGGATATAAAGGAATCAATCACGAAGTTCAGATCAGAAATGATGCTGAAATGGCTTCAAATCGCTTTATATTGGAATTGAGGTCAGTATATCTCGACTTTATATCCCAGTAGATTTGCCGTTAATTGGGAGCTGTCATATTGCATCATATATAACTCCTATCTTATTGTCGTAGTGGAGTATTTTTGTTGTGATTTTCAGCGGACCGCAACCTTGGCTGTTGCTCTTTCACGTCATAATGCATAACCCGGAGTAAAGACATAACTGTTAAACAGCTTCTTTGTCTTACTGTCGTCTTGAGAAGGACCCGCTAAGTTCCAGAGTGAGGAGCTTGGAGGGACAAGGGTCGATGCATGCCTCCGGCGTTATACTTGGCGCCAGAATTATAAGCTCGTATGACTATCAGAGCCCCATATAACACGTACATCATTAATGGTATTGGAAGATTCGGAACATGAATCAACCATGCTCAACTGTCATTATGCATTTTTGCATTATAGATCCTCTTTTGCTTCAATTCATCACAAACGGCTCCATGGGGATCAAAAGTGCTGATGTCGGTGAACCGACAGTCCAAATAAATGGGAATTTGGCCCATTATACTCTGCCATAACAGTGTCCTGCAAATCCACTGCGGATGCTCAATGGCACAGGACAAGGTCGCTTGTCTTGAATATTTTCTCCTCAGCCAACCCGACATTCAACATCGTCAACGGCGCTTAAAGTCAGCGCTTGAAAGTATGTTACTAGTGTATTTTATAATTCATACTAAAATTGCTCGGGTATACTGAATATGGAAAGAATATTACTAGTCTCCGTAATTTGTGTGTTTTATCATTTGAGCCTCCATTAAAATACTCGGATGCTTATTACTAAGCAACTTAGTTTCAAAACATCCATCATTTTATAATTTCGTGGACAACACATTAGGATATTCCATATCCACGGGACGGGACTATTGCATTCATATATGTTGGATGATGTTTATCGATTTTGTTCCGCCCATTATGACGGCGCAAAGAATGCGCCTTATTGTTGGATCTCCTAACTATATCCACAACTAGCAAGAAATGAGGTTATACCCAACGGAGGAGCCGAACACGAACGATGTACAAGGCAATTGAGTGATGCTTCCTTCATTGGCAGAGGTCAATTGAGGATGCAGTTACTAAAGTAGGGCATTATGAAAACAAAATATAGGCATTGCTGTTCGGTAACCAGCTTGAGAACTGTCTATATAACCTGCTCTTTCAACCACGTCAAACGAACTGTCAAGTCAAGACCACAATCCGAACTATCGTGTACATCAAATCTTTCTGTTCGCGCTTGATACTGGTACAAATTTTGTACCTCACTTTTTCCAAATATGGCATTCGTGAATATGCTTGGTGTTATTGCTGGGAGCCTGGGTATCATCTCCTTTGGGCTGGACAGGTTCGGTGGCGAAGGCTCGCACTCCGGCTCGACAATCAAAGTCGCCGTTGCCCTCGACGGTCCGCAATTGTCCAACTCTGCAGGTGACCTTCCCGATGTGTATGTTTTAATTGATATACCTCCTTTGCCAAACTGTGGAATTATGCAGCTAACCCCATTGTAGGCGCGTTTGGAACGAGGTTGGAAAGTTCGTTGGTATTACTGTCGACCCCGGAAGGGTAGAAGCAGGGAACATTGGTGAAATCAAAGTTCAGCATGACAATCAGGGGGTGTATACCTTATTTTCGGCCAACGATGATGCAGTGTGTATTGCCTGGGTGTCAACCACCTGGACAGATGACCGCGGAGGCAACAAGTATGCAGTCACTGGTGACTTCAGCGAGCCCTGTGGTGGTGCCTGGTTCCCAAGCAACTTATACATCAGTGACAAGAAGGACCATCAGCCCAATTGCTTCTGGATCGACAAAAATGGGGACCAGCCGAAGACTGGGTTCCAGGTGCGATGGCCTGCGTATTCTGAAGACCAGTTTGAGGGGAATAGCAAGGATCCAAAGAGACTGTGCAATAACGTTGACTTCGGGCTGCGCGAGGAAAATGATCCCAGTTCAATCAACTACTATCCCAAGAAAAAACGAGACGAACATCCCCGGGCTCGTCGTTCTACCATCCGTCGCCCTGGGTGGGCTAATTCCGAACTCGTTATTAGCGACTCCAAGCATCACTCGGCCAGGCGACTTTGCATGTCCAGCTCATCCATGGGTCCTGACTTTGCACATACCGAAGAGGGTCTCTTCTGCGATATGGATGCTAAGGTATTATATGCCTTCTGCGCAGATATTGAAGAAAAATCTGCCTGCTTTGACCTGAAGCGGCAGAGAATTGTCGCTCATGAAGAAGCAACGGGAGTCAATGCAACTTCTACCAACCATGGTTCAGCCCGATACTCTCGCATTCGCGACTGGCGCACCAACAGCACTGTGGCATAGATATCCTGCCAATGTTTATTTGCTAATTTTGCTTTTATGAAGTATATAGTTGCTAGCCCAATAGTTAGATAGTCGCCTTGTTTTCAATTTTGGGTACTTGGAAAGCAGTACCACTGATATAATATCTTCAAAGATAGGGCTCACCATAATTCATATCCAGATATTATCCACTTGTCCATTGTAAAAGGAGCCTGTAGCCTATAAACATTCCATAATACAAATACCATGTGAATTCACTAGCAATTAATAGCAGGTGACCATGGATTAAATTGGCAGTAGAGAAATTTTTTTATATTTTTCCTACTTAGAATGATCATTCTTAACTGTTTACTTCGCAAGCTCAACGTTCCAGGTCTTTACAGAACCGTCAGCGCCTCCGGATGCGACCTTGGACCCATCGGCTATCCAAGTAACAACATTGACACCTTCCTGGTGAGCGTTCTTCATCTGCAGTCTCTCGCCAGGGCGAGCAAGATTCCATACAAAGATATTAGTGTCCAAGGATCCGCTCACTAGATGAGAAGCTTCCTTGTTCCATGAAAGAGAGGTGATTCGGCTGGTGTGCGCCGTCCAACGGTCGGTAACTTTGCTACCATCTGCGGTCTTGTAAACAATGATTCTACCGCTCGAATCACCGGCGGCTAGGATGGATTCATCAGAGGAAAAGGCCAATGCGGTAATTCGGTTCCTCAACAGTTTGGTCTCGATGCTAATGCTGATTCCGGTACCATTGACGTCGAGTTTGCCAATTCGAATTGAAGCATCTTCACCACCAATCGCTACCGAGGAACCAGTAGCAGCAACGGCAGTTATTTGTGATTTAGAGTCGAATTTTCCAGTGAGTTGTCCCTTAGAAAAGATCTCAACACAATCGGAACTGGCGGCGAGGATATATTCCCCCGCTGTAGCGATGCCCTTTGGCTGTGCAGTGAGTTTGGTATCAAGCTCGCTATAAGTGTTTGACCCCAGATCAATTGATCTTAGCTTATCATCCCACCCAACGCTATATATTTGTCCTGAGCTTCCCTCGCTAGTAGCCGAAAATCCTGCAACGTAGCTGTTGTGTCCTGGGCCCTTTGCCGTTTGTGCCGATCCATCTGATATATTCCACTGGCAGACTCTTCCATCATAGCTTCCAGTCCAGAATGTATCGCTTGGGCATGACTCACGAGAGGATAATGTGGTTATGTTCTTCTGATGGCCCTCCACTCGTCTTGTTGGCTTTTCGGTCCCTTCAACCAGATAATTAAGAGTCCCGGAGAGTGACAAGCTTATGGTCAAACCGTCTGTTCTTCCACTAGGCCATACGACTCCAACCTGTTGGTCTGCCACGCCAGCAGCACCATCCTCTCCGAGGGTCCAGTTCTGGACCACCTTGCTCTGTTCGACGTCCCACAGCTTAACTGTTCGGTCTGCACTGGCAGTGACAAATCTTCGAGAATCACTTGACCAGGAGACACCGAAGATGCTGCCCTTGTGCTCACCTTCCCCAACCTGGCCTTTGGCCTCTCCAGTCTTCCCATCGTAGAGCCAAATTCTCCTGTCACCACCTACACTGACTAGGTTGTCACCGTTCGGGCTAAACGCAACACCGTAGATGTAATTGTTGTGCTTTTCCCGGATTCCGGTATTGTATTTGAATGGAGCACCATGGTAAAACACTAAGGTCCTGTCGTCTCCAGCTGTTGCGGCGCGTAACGGCCTCTGCTGCCTGATTGACACAGAGTTGATAACCTGACTATGCCCCGTTATTTCACCAACAGTATTGCCACTATCCGCCGTTATGCAGTGCCCAAATCGCTGGTTACCTTTACCGACAGCAATTATGCGCTGCGAATCGCCATCCCAGGCCAGGTCGTTGATTCTCCCGCTCACAATGGAATATTCTCCTTTCGTGACACCCTCTCCGACGCAGTCCCACACACGCACAATACCAGATGTGTCTCCGCTAGCAACGTAGTATCCGGAGGGTGAAAATCGGGCAACGGTCGTCTCTGCAGTGTGGGCTGTGTACTGAGTTGAAACCGAAGGGTTGTCTATCGAGCGAAGGAATATGGACCTGTTGGACTGTTAAACCGCAGATAGTCAGATTATAGCTGTTCCAATCGCGCAATCACACCGGAGACACAGTTTAAAGATATCCTTACCGCGTAGGCTAGCCGTTCTCCTTTTGGGTCAGACGAGAGCTGGGTTGGCTGCCCTCGGGTTGTCGACGGGCAGGCAGCCCATGTAGAATCTAACGGCTTGTCAGCTACCGGTAGCGAAAAGGGAGCCCGAATCTTGATCATACCGCTTTTGATGCTCATCTTGAATCTAGAAATTATGTTGCTTGTGTTCGTCTATTTTCTATAGAGGTGCGCTGTCTAGTAGTCGAGTAGTTGGAGAGAACAAAAGTATCCGGGCGGGGCAGCCAGCATTTGATGCTGAATAAGGCGATATAAAACCACGACGTTAACTATAGATGAATATCAGGGTCAAAGGAGGCATGAAAAAGGGGCCATGTTTGCTGAAACAGCCGGCTAATGGTAGTGAAATCGTCTTTTATACAGTCGGGTAGATAGAAAACAGTCGAGTCTAGTGCGTAGTATACATCTGGTAATCATCTCAAACACCACAGGGCATGCGGGAAAATAGTGACAGTGCAGGCTTAGAGCTTCTTTTCGAGCATGAGAATTTCCGGATGCCGGTGAACGCTAGGCATCAGCCCCATGCTGACAGCTCTCCTAATAGCTTTGGAGAGCTTCCTTTGGTTAATTCGTCGTAGGCCGGTATCCCTCGCTGACTTGATCCGGCCTGTCTCGGTCACGTATTCAGACATAACGGCGATGTTCTAACATGCAGCGCAAAGCTATTAGTACTGAAGTTTTTTGGTTTACGCGGTAGATTGATGGAGAAAAATCCTCGCAAATACCTTGTACATGTGTAGAGGGTTCAGCGATAGAGCATCGAAAATATCAGTCGTAGGATTGCGTCGTTTCTTCCATTTCTTCATCTCTGCCGGGCTCAAATCACGCGGGGAGTACACGTCGCCGGGTTGCCATGTTCTGGTCTGCTGTTTCTGTAGGTCGAAGGCTCGCTGTTCCCGGGCTCTCTCTGCCTCGAATTGTTGGTTCTGAAGCTGTCTCCGTCGGATACCGCGGAGTCTGGCGTCTATAAATTTGCAAAAGAGTTAGATCAAGTAACTCCCAAAGAAAGCCTATAACGACCTCGTAAACAGTTGTAGGGCTTACCTGTCGCTGGATTCAAGGTGATTCCTCCAAAGCCTGAGTTAGACCGACAGGAGACCCGGGGGGTGAAGCCCGTCAGCTGGCAGAGGATCGGACGGCAGGTGGTCAATTTGGTAGCCATTGCGGGTCTGGGCAATAAGAATATCTCTGTTATATGCCCAAGAAATGGTATGTGACGGCCTGATCTGCTGCCTCGAAACGTCCTTCGTCGTTGTCTAGCAAGAGATTTTTTTTATATGGCTTAGCTTGGTCAAAAATGCCAAGCCTTGACACCCGCGCGTTTCTTCAAAGCTTCAAGAAGCATAAAAAAACCTCCAGCTTGACCAGACGGCGTGAAGGGACTAACAGGACATGATTACACCGAGCATCGCCGGTTCAATTGAAGATAGTCAGGTATTTACTATGACTCCGGATCGATAGAATGCATATCCAGTAAGTTATACCCACAAGCCAGCAAGATCTGAGTATTTTTAACCAGCTTCAACCCAGCTCTGAAACCGGACAATCACACCAACTCGGCGCCTCAACATGGCCGGAATGTTCAATACTTTTCTCACAAACAAGCCATTTGTAGCTTCAAGATGCTACAAGTACTTTCTTTCTTCCACGAGGTCACGCTCCCACTCGTTTCGCCCCCTCCTCTCCAGCCAGAGGAGACATATATTCAGCTTCCCATCCATTCGGCGAGTGACAGAGACCAACACTGGGAAACATAATGACGCCTCGGAATATGGATCAAAACCTATGGTGCAGCTGGTACATGCTCTGGAGCAGCAGTCGCGGCCTCCGCCTCCTTTCATTCTCGCGACGGGATTCATGCGGTTTATAGATAAACGACTCGGTCAAGTTACTTTGACACGTTATCAGGCGGAGCTCCTTCTGCGCACCTTTCAGCATCTTTTGAGTGTCCCTTCAAAGGATCCCCAGGGTTCTTTACGAGAATTTCTGGAACTGGAAAACTTTGAATATACGTTAGAAGCACTGGCACGAGCAGATTTCACTCCAGATGCTGCCGAGCTGGTTAATGACTTGGCAAGGATTGCCATGGGCCACATACGTAGAATACGTGAGAGGACACCAGAGTTAACACCGGAGCCTGATTTCGAGGTGTTCAAGTCGTACATCACAGTTCTCTCATCCACCGGATTTTCTGCCGATGCATTAAAGCTCACCATTACCTACTGGAAAACCACGCCGGATCTGAGCAATGGATTGTCACTTTGGGCTAATATCATGAAAGGATTTGCGAAAGAAGGCAGGCGTCTAGGTGCTGAGCAAAATACCCCGTCAAAAGTCACAATGGTGTTGGAAAAAATGAAGGAGTGCGGTATCACATTGGATACGCAGCGACAGGAGCAGTTGATCTCCATGCTAGCAGACAGCAACTATTTCCACGCGATTAAGACTGTGGCTGAACTCCCTATTGAAAAGTCAACGGCTACAAACGTACATTTGCTCAAGTTCGCGCTGCGGCATGCTATGTACTCGTGGGCAGCAACGATAGTGGGCTCATTTCCGTCATACCCAACCCCAGAAACCAGAGACGCACTACTCCTCTTTTCCTTCTTGAGGGGACGCTCTTCAGATTCAGTCTGTAAACAGCTTGATGAAATGACTGCAAAAAACCCAGAGATACGAACTACCATGTCAATTGACATGATCAACATGATAATCGAATATGCAAACCTGCACAAACAGGCAATTATTGCCCAGCAAGCTATCCAAGTGGCACAGATTTGGAATTTAACTCCTAACGCTCGAACATTTGTTCTACAGATACACTCACTGGTCTATTCTGGACAAATTAACGAAGCTGCAGAATTGTTCCAATCACTCAGTCCGGACGTGGAATTTGATCTATCCGACGTTGATTTCTTGAACGACTTTATCAAACAACTCTGTTTGGTGGAGAATTCCTCAATCGATTTTGATACCGTCAACACGCTTGTGGATATATTGCAGGGTGTGGGCGGCCGGTTTGACCCAATGACCCTCAGCACTCTTTGCAAATCACTGCTTCACCGAGGTGACTTAGAGGGTGTGTCAACTTTACTCCGACCAATAATTGATACTTTCGATCCCTTGGAGCTTCAAAAGATCAGATTGCCTTTCCTTGACTATATCAAAGATATGGATCAAACCGTGGACAGTGCATGGGAGGTATATGAACTTTTGAACCTAGCTATACCAACAACGCCTGTTTCGACAAGGACGATGATCATGAATATCTTTTTCGAGCGCCAGAGACCTGACCTTGCCTGTCTAGTCTTCGGTCATATGCGACAAAAGGGTGACCCTAATATCCGACCAAATTCTTACACCTATGCCCGCTGCTTCCAAGGAATTGCAAAGTGCGCGGACTCAGCCAGTTTACAATTAGTTCACAATATGCTAAAACTTGATCTCCAAGTTGCTCCAACAACCAAAATCCGCAACAGTTTGATGCTGGCCTATGCTGCATGCGGGCTAGCAGATCAAGCAATGAGAATTTTCAGGGACATACTTCACTCAGAAGAAGGTCCTTCCGAACGAACACTAGTTATATTTTTCAGGGTCTGCGAATCATACGGCAACGGTCGTGAAGAGGCGACTAAAATGATGGAGAAACTGAAATCCATGGATATATTAATCAATGATGAAGTTTATAATGCATACGTTGGTGCTCTTGGCGGCCATTGTGAGCTGGAACTCGCAGTCCAAGCCATCAAGCAAATGGAGTCACAGACTGGCTCCGCACCAACTACACTCACGTATGCTAAGTACCTTTACTGTCATTCGTGTTCTACATTACTAACTATCAAACGTTCACAGGCTTGTAAATCTCTACAACTCATTACCATACCAATTCTGGAAAGATCAGGCCGAAGAGTGGGCGCAAGTCGCGTATCCTGAACTATGGAAAACAATAGGACAATCCGGGCGAACAACAGACGAAGACGGTATACAATATCTGAATATAGATAGGTCGGTTAAAGCTTAGCCGTGTATTATTAAATCCAACCAGTCTTTCAGTTCACTTGCAATTTTTCCTTGCACCTAGAGCAACTACTACACTCACCCTGTCTCAGCCACATAGAGGCCTGCCATCCGATCAAAATACAGGAACATCGATGCTTCCACCATCGCTCGAAAATCCAGACCAGCCAAAAGCCAAAATTTTAAACATGGATGATCCCTCCAGTGGGATTCAAGCAGATGTTTTGGCTTCACGGCTATGATGCACGCGGGAAAGCCCCTCCGCCAGAGGCGTCTGCAGGCACGTTGAGAGCTAACACGTAAACAGGCGAACGGGAACGATGCCAAAAAAAAAAAAAAAAAAAAAAAAAAAAAAAAAAAAAAAAAAAAAAAAAAAAAAAAAAGGTTCTAACGTATATATTAATCATAGGTCTATATACATATTTCATCGATTAAAAAAAAGGCTATTTTGAAACTTGAACAACGGACGACGATTTAAACACCCATAATTCCGCCAAAACTCCGCTTTTCATTGCTATATACCCTCTGTATAGCCATTGTCTACAAAGTCAATAAAGTCGTGTGGTCCGAAAATCTAATCTGGTCATATCGTCGCTCCATCGTCGGAACGTTGGTGCTGTATCCCATATCTGGATATCCCACTACCCCATTATGGAGGAGAGATATCATATCGTTTGAAACCCATGGCTCATAGCCAAAGTTGCCATTGAGTGGTGGATCCACAAATGATGGCGTACACATCTCTGCCTGCGGTGATGTGACGGTGTAATATGAATAAGGAGACATACTTGTTGGCTCGCAAGGGCGGATTGGATCAATCAAAGGAGTGTGCGGAATAGGCACGGGACTCGGTGAGCTTGTGAGGCTCGGGACCTGTTGATAAGAGGGGACTGCTGTCAAAGGCGATTGGGTATCGTTTGTAGGCCATACCTCAGGGACCGTTACTTTCGGGGGAGCTGGGAGCCGGGCTTGCTGACTCTGGGTATGATCTGGGACATGCCAGAGGAGTTTAGGCATTATCGTTTGACAAGGAGCTCGAGTCTCTTCAACGCGTGTCACTGGACTGGTGGTCGGTTTCACCATCGGGCTTTTCTTTTTGGTGGCATTCCCGGAAGGCTTCGGTACTGTCCCATCGGTTTTATTGCTACCAAAGCGTTGCGTATATCTAACAACCAGAGCCATGTTAGGGAAAGAACCTCATTTGAAGGGGCAACGAAATTTATGTGACTGAGTACAACGAACCTATTTTTTGCTGCAATCGGCGTTCTGTTGGGGAAATATCTATCCACAATCTCGGTCCACCTCCTACCATAGATCTCTACAGCCTCCCTCAATATCTCGTCTTCCAGGAGTGACCATCTGTCATTATTTATTTCTGGGTTTAACGATTCATGCCACCTCCTTGAACATTCTACTCAGAAATAAAGTTAATGACTCAATTTCAGATTGCAGATGTAGGTTCAACTTACGATCGGGCTGCCTAGATCCGACAACTTGTGAAACGAGAGCCCAGCTGAAAATTTTGTATTAGCGGACGAGAATAGCTCAGAGACAAGATGAAAAGGCCAGTGGTCTGCTTACCGGAAACCGTGTTTCTGGATGCCTTGCAATAACTTTTCGTCTTCCGTTTTGTTCCACGCTCCTTTGTTCAAGGAAGGAGCTAGAATATAGACCCATCGTTTCCGGCAGTCCTTGTTGTTTCGATCTGGGATGTTCGAGGCTATGCGATGCCAGTTGATATCACCACCTCTAGCCACTGGAAAAAAGAATGATCAGCTCCCGTCAAATCCGCTGGGTACTACCATCAGAACTTACTGCTTTCATTGACGGCTTTCCGCAGGAGAGCATCCTCCTCCTTCGTCCAAAGCCGTCGTGCCCTTACTTTCATCATCGTGGGATCTGAGCAAAAAGGCTCGGGCCGGGAGAAGGGTATTGGCAGAATAAAACGTGCACCACTGAGAAGTATAAGAAGAGGTGGCGATACCCGTCTGTCAGTGATGAGAGCTAACCTTTTCTGAAGCAGGGAGGTTGGAGAGGAGTGCAGCAGTTGACAAAAGAATCCAGAGACGAGGCATGAATGGTCGAGATGCTGCTGGGTATAAATCTTACCACAGGGAGGACAATCGGCTTCTTATTCTGTCTTCCAGTGCATCCGACAAGCGTCAAGTATACGACAGGCGCCAAGGGGCATTCCCAGAGGGGAAGATGGTATAAACAGGCAAGGTTCGTGGGCCCAGCCTGATGTCCCAATCTGGTGCCATATATGGCCCATGTCTAACATGTACCACATCTCATGTACGATGGCGGAGCGAAATTTTGATCTGCAAGGCTCATGCATGAGTGGACCGTATACCTCTTTACTCTGCATATAAGCTTTAGCTTGTTTGCAAATACTACGTCGGCAGTCTTATCATGCATGGAACAGTTGAAATACCGGATCTGGTCTAGGTCAAACAGAAATAAAAGGTCCTTTGACGCCTTTCAACTGCTTGTGCTCCCTGGTTTGAAAGCTATATCATACGAAGATGAATTTTCTACCCGCGGCCCGGTTACTCGGTTACTTTCAAATACCGTTCCCAGCGACACCCTGAGCTTAATCTCTCGTACGAAATGGAGAATTATGGAAAAGAAAAATGAAATGTTCGGTACCAGGTCCCTGAAACTTCCGCAGAGGAATATATACAACGTTCAGAGCAATCTAGTCCAACACTATTGGTTGGATTGAGGGTATTATGCCCCCCCAGCAAACTCAAGGTAAACTGGCATCCGTAACATTGATACATATACATACTATGTATGCAACGACAAGGAAATATATGGCGATACAGTTTCCAACAGCAGGAATTCATAGGCCGATTAGCGCTATTATCCATCGGGACGAATCTTGACGTAAGTCACTCGAGCATCTCAAATCTCCACGGTACCCTGTCAAGTGCAGGCAAGGTCGTATTCAAGGTCTACACGTGGGATAGGATCTCCTCGAAAGCAGTGTTGTGATAAAAGAAAAGAAACAAGTGGCGGGCGGGCACATCTATCTTATTTCATGCTGGCCTGGCTTGACAATGGGACGCCATCCTCCAATAATCGGCGCTATCCCAACACATTGGCCATCATGATTCGAGGGCAAATGTCAAGCTCATTCCTGTGGCGCCTCGGTTCATCTCATTCAAGGGGGAGCATCGCAGATGTTCAGGCACTTTCTTAAACTCTTCGCTGCGGCTTCAACCGATTTAGGTTCCCTTTTCCTCCGTATTCTAATTCTTCCTCCCTGCCCACTTGGGCCAAGAGATGGCCCTGGTTGACTTCGAGTTCTGCCTTACACGCCAAAATCTTCTTCCTCCGCACCAGAAGACCCCCGGTGCTGAATCCCATGGGCCTTGCGAAGGGCTAGAAAGACGTTTCTCTTGCAGAGTCGCCAAAACGCCTCGCCATGCAAATCCGAGCATTAAGGTTGATCAATCAACAAGCTGTCTTCGGCAAATTACCCCATTTATTTTTCCTATTTACCGGGTTTTCCGCTGGGAATCCTCGTTCTCATTTCTTTTCTATGATGGGAATGGGAGGAGAGTTCTGTCAGTCATAATACTGATGATTATCCTATCCACATTCGCCGCAGAAAAAGGTCCATTTTTTTCCCAGCCAGTCTCTTCACTCTCACGGCGACATTTCACGATCTCCCACCCTCGCGTGCATACTGCTCCATATACCGTGTGGGGAAACAGATGCGGATGGACAAGACCTGGTGGAGACGACGCTTGGGGGGGGCTGGCTCGTTCACAAAGATGCCTGTCCTTGGTACACCTTAAGATGTCCAAATATATTTATGATTTGGCCATGCATTGGCTGTCGGCAACCGCAGGGGAGGAGTATCCTCTACATCCCTATTCCTTTGGCCTTATTCAACACACACACTCACTTACTTGCTAGCTTATGCACATAATACATATTAGGCTTCTTTCCTCGTTAGCATTTACTCAAGAAGCAAAGGATGCGCTCGCCGTTGCGCATATCATCTGTGTTAGCCTTGCGCGGCTGAAACATCCGAGGAACTCACAAGAAATGATCTTCAGCGACCTAAACAAGCGTCTTCGTTGTATGCTGCCAAATGGTGTATTTCTTCCCAACCCAAGTATTGCGCTTAAAGAGGCTTCTGTGTACTCCGTACTTACAGGATAGTCGATAGGACTCGCTTCCGTTTACTTTCTATTTTTGTTTCTCGAAACCATAGCCAATACGAAGGTTTATTTCGGCAGGTTCGCTGATGCGCCAGTGGGTTTATACGGGCTTCACCAAGAAGTGGTGCCCGTATTGATCTTTTTTTATCCAGCAGCGAGGAGAAATTTACAGCGGTCTCCATTCCACTACTGACAGGTTTCCCCCATTCTCGTCACTCTCTCTTCTCACGCCCCTATCATCCAGCTCTTGCCACGTCGGTGGAGAACAAATATGCACGTAGCGTGTGCGTGCAGTGTAGCATGAAGCATGTTGCAGAAGACTCCATCAAGCACACGGATTATCCTCCCGAACCCGCGCGAGGTTCTGGGTGGCTTCGCTTGTTTAATCCTTGTTCTGCTTCATACGTGCGTTGGGGCTGGAGGAATTGAGCCAGCAAACCAAAAGCATCATCCCGGGATTGAGCGTATCGAGTGGCTTGAATAGGCCAATTCCCCTCTGAAACCAAAGGAAATGCAGCAAAGAAGGAAAAAGAAGCCCGGGATTTAGACCTTCCCGCCATGTGGTTGTTTCATTTGTCCCGGCTATATACTAACGACGAGTCAAACGATTAAGCATAACTGCCGACTGCCATATTGAGTCATGAACTGGACCACCGTTGTCTTTGGCGAGCTCCCACGAGATATACTCATGCAGAAAATCTTGACAACTAACTCGCGAAATGTGAGCTCTCGCTCTACCTTGACCATTAGGATTCCATGCCGGTCCAACACCGAGAAACATGGGTTTCTATTTGTCCAAAACAAACGAATTTGACTTTCAAAGAACCGAGAAGCACCGAGATGGAAGGTCGAAAAAGAAGCAGAAGCAAAGCCCTGTCTCCCTCCCCTGTTGTCCTCTAAATCTCCCTTCCTCTCTCCAACCCGCGTCTTTGCTCATCTCTCCCGCTGCTATTAATAATAATATACTTATAGCTTTCATTTCCCCCAAGCTAAGGGCGAGTGGAGGCTGGGTACGCCACGAGGAAACGGATAAGAATTCCCCCCTGGCCCGCCTGATTCTTGCTCCCGAACCTTAAGCAGGCTAAAAATCAATGCCAGAAAACAAGCAGAACTTACTGGTGACCGAAACTGTCAGCCGAGGGTGTTGCTTTGAGCAAACTGACACGGGATCTCAGGGTCGTGTTAGCAGTGGCCCTTCGTCCCCGAGCCATCCCTTCAACAGAATCGAATCTCCAGGAGACGGGATACTAAAACACCAATGTTACGGAGTTCCTCATGCTCCATAATAATCCATTACTACTTCATGCAGAGAGATTGGTGAGTGGAGCTGAAGTGAATGTAACCCCTGGCTAGCCATCAGCATCAACGCTAAACACGGCTCTGTGTTGCTATTATTACAACCACGTTGCCTTGTCCAGGCAGAAAGTTGCTTGTGGCCTGCGGATCGCAAATACGGGCATGCTCCATACATGATACTTGATACTTAAGAAAGTGTAGCCACTTTTCTAAAGTTGGTTCTTCTATTCTATCCAAGTATAGACGAATCTCGCCCTGAAGGTCTTCTTCGTCAAAGCTCAGATGTTATCCCGGCTTCTGGAGATGGCGAACGATACAGACACTCGGACAGCCGGCCCGGCAATCAGTACGTGGCGCGCGCACAGCGACTGCATAGGGCAATGTGCTTTGTAATGGCCTCGCAGAATACTGAAATATATATTTGAATATATATACTTCTATACATACGCCATTAATGAAGTTCCAGTTCCAGTTTGGAATATACTATACGGCGAAACATTGCAGCGATGGCTTCTGAGATGACTCCAGCAGCCTGTCCATTAACAAGAAGGTTTTCCCAGGGTAAATGACATGGGTTTACCCAAGTCATTTCATCTTGTTCCCGCAAGAAGACTCCTGGTTCTTGGGAAATCCCGCACTTTTCCCCACGTTAACCCCGAGGGTGCCATGTGGAGGCGCAGTGTCTTTCCAGCCTTCATGTCAGATACATTGGCATGGGGGAAATTGAAATGCAAATTGTGATCACCAAAGCCTAATTACATAAAGAAAACGTGAGGGCTATATCATGTCAAGTTGACGACAAGGATGGCCGGGAAAGTGCGTAAACTGCCACTTCGTCCTGTCCTGTTCCATAACTAGTAAGGGGCTTCGAACAGATATAATAATGACAGGCAGCAAACCCCTTACAGACAACTTGATGGTGACATTGAATATACCGTAGGCTCTGTTACCTTCCAGGTACCTACAATAACTATAGAACCAGGGGTGAGTGAGGTTCCATGTGAAATTTGAGAGGATATCTCCAGCCGTCTTCTTGTACGATGTTGTACGCTGGAGCCTTGACCTGTTCTAAATCCAGCTCACTATTAACTACAACACTTGCAACCCTGCGACCCAGTGAGAGATGCCCGTGCCCATGGTGTGTTTATTATGGCAACGTTCGATACTCCCTTCTACAGCAAGTCACTAAGACGAGCATTTACTCTTTTGGAGCATAGAAGGGCGCGAGCTGACAACAGAAAATGACCATGAAAAGGAATATCAAGGTAGAGCTCGTACTTCAGGCAGCTACATATTTAACACTGTGCTGGTGTTTGCCTCTAGGGCAGTGCTGCTGATGGCTGAAGTCTTATCCTGGACTAGCGACATACAGAGTGTTTGGAGCGTTGTATTCTGAGTATACAGCCACCCTTTCCAGGCGTCACATGGCTCTGCAAATTGCCTTACCTGGTTCTTTGGTCGGATAATGAAGATATTGGCCTGGTTTACACAGTCCACTGGAGGCACAATGTGCCTATCCATCACAAACGACACGAACGTTAAACGATATCCCATTAGTGATGTTCTCCACGTTGCCGAATTTGCCAACAGGCTGCCAAGCAGGCCGTACTAATAGGCTGGCCATTGACCGCGGGGTGGGATAGAACATACTGAACGGGTATCTATCAGGACGGGTGCTGGCCATCGAGGAACGAACATCTCACAATATCCGTAGGCTATTTTCAACAGCATACCCTCGACCAAGGAATATATGCAATCACATGCAGATTCAGCCAAACCCATTGATTGAGCAAACGGTGGTGAATTCCATTTGCAGAAATCAGCCGTCAGGCAGCTTGCGGATAACCAATATCTAGAAATATTCCCTGCCAGTGCTAGTGGAGATTAACGGTAGGAGAATTGTTGATATCTTCGTGCATAGCTGCAAGAGAGACACTTAAATTACATTGATATCGACGTTGAGTCTAGGGTTATTGTGTCGTGTTTGGGTGTCATGATCATGGAAGCGATAGGATCCAACACGATCCTGTAACAGGTCTCAAATCAGCCAAATCTATCCTTCAGTTTCAGGATCCAGTACTTGGCTACATTGTGCCTAATTCTCATAAATGTTCGCAAGTTGAATCCTGCTGACGGGGGAACCCTGGTTTCTCTTCCTGTGTTTGCCATTCAACTATTAAAATTATACTCCATACATATATGTTATTCCCCGAGAGGCAGACCCATCGTTCAAAAACACTTGGCAACGGTCAAGCACGTCCAGTATTTACCACAGGCTCCAGATTGTTCTCCTCATTTGCAGGCCAGGCCACTGCCATGAAATCCGTCGAGTGCTTTCAGCTCCGCATCCTTCGCTCCCAACCCATCGTTGGTGGTAATCTATCAATTAAATCCCACATATCCTCCTTGGAGTTTATGCCAGAAAATCGGCCCGTCACACCGAAAAGTAATAGAAAAAAAAAGCCTTTAATTATGCATCTAGAATAAATCCCACACCAGATGTACATGGAGATTGCATACTTGACAACCATCCTCCTCGAGAGGTTGGACAACAACTTGTATCATGTCAGCTCCTTTCCTTGTATAGCTGAGTTATTACATTATACCCCATATATTAATATCAAGGATATTTATTAGGTTCCATGTCCTTCTACGTACTAAACTTATGGGCTGCAAAATTTCACGGCATCAGAAGGCATATGTCTTCTCTAGCTTATCTTACTGCCTACTCGTTATCAAGGAGGATTTTAATCTAAACGACCCGGTTTCCTGCGTGACCTTTCTCGCAGCCCCGTTGCAAAATACCTGATGGGAACGCAGCGAACGAGGTCATTTTGAGATATTTTAAATCATCGTATAAACTCCAATCAATAAGTACAATAGCTGTGACGTCCTCGATGTTAGTAGTATTATAGAGCCCAATATGACTGTGTGGAACCTCAGCTAGTTATGATGTTTTCTAGATAACTTCACTGCGATAGTATATTGGCTGCGGTCAATAAACTGTTCCTAAACTCCGATTCGGCCGTAGTTGTACAGACAATTTCAGTGTTGCGTGTAGATTATCATTATGATACGGCGTTATTCAAGGCAGATGAGGGTATCTTTACCAGCTATGGAAAACAGCATTCCCCAGTCTCCGTTCAACATGGCACTCTGCTTGCTTTAGGATGCTTTCTCAAGCCTTCCGGCTAGCCACCTGTAATTGCAGAGTAGTTATTATTACCGACTGATCTATCTTCCTTCCACCCGCTAACTCTGGGACTCCCTTCTATCGAGTCGAGAGAGCTCGGTTCTCTCAAGCTTCTTCCCGCCCGGCTTGGCATCCGTCCCTTCACCCGCCGGGCCAATCACATGGCTTGCCGTCGAAATTAAGCCCGCTAAGCTCCTCCGCGGCGGAAACTTTAAAGCCTTCTCCATCCGCTCTCCCACACCCACACAATGGTAACCTGTATCACCAATTGAACCGTGTCCTTGTTATGTCGGCAAATGCCCGTCGACATACCATGGGACTATGGGAATCCACATTTATCATCATTCAGAACCCGGCTCATGGGCGGAGAATACTTTATCCAAGGCATCACAAAAGTGGGCCGGAGATTATTCACTCGGAAGCGAGAGATGCTAAAAAAAGCATCCAAGAAAGCAAGGAGGAAAATAATATAATTTATATTTCCGAAGGCATAATATTATCGAGAAATATGTATTAGGTGGAATCAATTCACACCTTGTCGGGCTCCCGTTTTGGTGGTGCGGAGAGAAGATCAGCAGCATTTTAGCTGTTGACTCACTTTAAGAGCCTTGTCTTTCTGAGCCCATCCACGACACTTATACCCATAAAAGCGAATACTTACGGAGTAGCTACGGATGCTCTATTCATGCTCGCAATATTTCCTGCCGAGTAACTACCTTCGCAAAGCTTGCTCCCTGAATTTGTATTTCGTCCCGACACTGCAATGGGCAGTCTTGTGAAGCTCCCGAAGAGGCTGGCTGCCATCCCCAATGGAGCTGAGGAAGCCCGGCCAAACCTAATCCTACTCGTGGTTTGCTCCGCTATGTTCCTTGACCGTGAGTTCGAAGATAATAATACGGCTGCTCCGGCTCCCTTGACTCACCAAGGCTTATCAAATCTCTAGTCTCGAATCTGTCAGCTGTGACAATCGCCCTACCTACCATTGGCGAGCAGCTGCATACCGACCAGGCAAAGCTACAGTGGGTCATATCGGCTTATGCGCTGACGGTACGCCTTCTTCATATATCACTCTGATTTATACATAGAATACGAAAGCTGACAGGTCCTAGTTTGGGAGTTTTCTCATCCTTGGAGGGCGGGGTGGTGACATCTTTGGCCACCGTCGTGTCCTCCTTTTTGGCTCTTACGTCTTCTCGCTCTTTACGCTTGTTTCTGCTCTCGCACCCACTTTCACGGCCCTGGTCATCGCCCGCGCTTTCCAGGGAATCGGCGCTGGGTTCACCATTCCTTCCGCGCAAGCTCATGTCGCCATATACTTTCCCTCACCCGTGGAGCGGGCAAAAGCTCTCGGATTCTGGGCTGCAGCTGGCAGCGTGGGATTCATTGTTGGCCTTACCTTGGGCGGTGTGCTGACGGCCCTTATCAGCTGGCGCTGGATATTCTGGATTTCGCTTATTCTCTCTGCTATTGTTGTGCCAACGGCCCATGTCTTCCTTCCTCGAGCTAAGACGGCTCGCTCAGCCGCTGCTCGGGAGATTACAAATGAAGAACGAGAAGAGAAGAAGTTTTTCCGGTCCATAAAGGCACATCTGATCCGTTTTGACGTACTTGGGATCTGCCTGGGAGTCCCCAGCCTGCTTCTATTGACTTATGCGCTTACCTCAGCCAATACGGCAGGCTGGGGCTCACCGTCTATCATCTCCACCTTGGCGATTTCGAGCCTGTTACTTCTCCTGTTTGCGTTGCACGAATCTCGAGCACCCCAGGCTTTGATCAACCCACGCCTTTTTCGTCTAAGTTTCACGCTCACCCTCATCCTAGCTGTGGCAACATATGCCGTCCGTCAGGCATGCTCATACTTCCTTACTCTCCAGATCCAATCATATGGATCGTCGCCGCTACACACATCTCTCCTATTCCTACCGGTTGGTATATCTGCTTTGGTCACCAACACAATTGCAGGCCGTTTGGTCCACTTGCTCGGTGCCCGAGCCATGTTCGTCATTGGCTGGACACTTTGCATTCCCGGTGTGGTACTGTTCAGCTTTATCACCCCTCAGACGTCATACTGGCACTTCACTTTCCCGGGTATGATATTATACATTGCCGGCCTGGGTGTGGTGTACATTACTGCAAATTTTGTTGTAATATCCAGTGCAAGCAAGAGTGACCAGGGTGTGGTAGCTGGTGTATTCAATGTTGCTCTCCAGGTCGGAGGAAGTGTACTGGGTCTCGCGGTGCTCACAGCCGTTGCTGATGGTATTAACAAAAAGTACGGTGACAGCAAGGCAGGAGTTCTCAGCCTGGTCGGCTATCAGAGTGTGTACTACTCATGCACCATACTGTGCGCAGTAGCTTTGGTGCTGAGCTTGGTCATTGAGGTTCCAGATGCAATGAAGGGGAGCATATGGAATAAGCCGGAACAAGAGCCGACGACGCAGCAGGTAAGCACAATGGATGGGATGAAGCCACAACAGCAGGCTGAGACCGCTATTGAGATGAAGTAATCGGGTCCAAAGTGGTTGATCACAAAATTCCACTAAAGATATATGGAAAGGATTGTATAATATAGAATTTTTAGACCCTAGCAAGTAAGTATGTCTTGGGCATCCCAGATTGCTCCCGTGGTATATACGTGTGCGCACATAAGCCTACACCGATTCGACAACAGGTCTTATGTTTTACCCTGTAACTAAAGAGTCAAACACTTGTGAGACCACCAGTAACTAGGCAGTTATGCCTGGGTATTAGATAGAATCAAGAAAGTGCATGAAGCTGGCGCAGTATATCGAGGCCTCAAGGTAAAACTGCAAGGGGTCTATATTCGTATGTCAATTTCGCCATTCCATAGTGATGGTTTCTGGGAGTAACAAGTCTGCCCTTCAAACCTCGTATCTCCACCAACTCACTTTTTCCAGAGAAAATACAGGCGAATCACACCAACAGGACATAATATTATTAAACCCACCACAGCCCCGTTTCACATATACCCTGAGCAATGAGCCATTTATCTCACCGAAAGTCATTCTCGTATCTGCCTCACCCATTACTCCAGTTTGCGGGCAGACGGGAAGAGTATGGCTTACGACAAAGCATGATATTATTTCGCAGAGTTCAGGTCTCTCATGGGCCCGGTTCGTTAGTAACTTCGCTGTTCTATCATGGAACTCGCATGGAACAAACTATAACACAAACCTGTTGGGATATACGCTGGGAGGGCTCCCATAGTTGCTATTTCTGGATTATTAAGGTTGAGTTTCGGAAAAGGGGCAAATGCTGAGTTTTTCCTATTATGACGTCAGATTAGTCAATAGCCGAATTGCTATTTATAATTAGTTGTTTCGGGACGGGAAGTTTAGCAGCAAGAAAATTTCTGCAAATGTTTCCCCTCTTGATCTCCGTGGGAAGCAGAGGGGCAAAAATCTTGCTCGTAGGAGCTTTTTATTCACATATCTCTAAGTATCGTACGTAGCACTGTTCTATCGTCTAGTTATATTCTCCTGGGCTTTTTTTTTTTTGGGTCCTGGTTCGTTTGGCGCATGTGGTTGAGCATAGCTGTCGTGTATATCGTCGAATCCAGGGAGAAGGCAAAAAGGTAAATTCAAACAAATGTCAACATGTACATTTCTTTTGTATAGAAAGAAAAATAAAAAACCAAAGGCTTAATCTTTTTCCTGGTTTGCTTTCTTGATTGATTGATTGCTTTTTTATGTTTTCGGGGATTGATTCTAGTTTCGATTCGGTCGTGATAAGGAGTGGCAGGGCGGGACGGGGATCGTTAAAGGGAAGAGAAAAATGGAAGAAAAAACACATCAAGGTTCTTTTTTTATTTGGTCTTGGTACATTTATCCAAAAAGGAAGCGGAGGGGTCGGACCGCGCCCCTGTGCCGTGCCGTGTTGGGAGCGAGACAGTCTAGATCTCCTCCTTTGGCATACGCTTGCCCATGCTAGAAAGGATATTAGCATACGGTCTATGCATGCGCTTATGTTGCAGGTTGGGGTTTAAACTTACAAGTCGAAGAAGGCAAACTGGCTGGGGTTGGGGCCGTATTCATACACGAAGCGGCTAGCAAGGTAGCTGCCGAAGATGGATCTGAGGTAGTTGTCGGGAATCTAAACAAGAGATGATTAGCAACATTCAAGTGACAATCAGCCGCTAGAAGAAGTCACTTACACGCTCCAAAAGAGTCTCCAAACCAATCTTCTCAATGAGAAGCTTGGGAAGAGCATCCTTGAGAGTAGCCTTGCGGAGAGGAATGTTATCCCAGAGCTCAGACTTCTGCAATTCCTCATCAAGCTGGGTGATGGCTACACTGAGAGTGTCACTGAGCACACTGCGGGGAACGCCGGTGCGCTCGTTCTCCCTCCAGATAGCTTCGAACTCCAAGCGAGCATTGCGCTTAATGGTCTCCTGGACCTCGCGGACGTAGGCGTCGTAGAATGGTGGTGGGGTTCCATCCTTTGCGACACACATGTGTTCTGTGAAGCCGGCGTCATCGAAGGAGAGGGAAGCAAGGACTTCGAGGGAGGAGGAGGTGACACCACCCTTGTTGGAGGAAGCGTCCTTGTAGATGACACATCCAGCCTTCTCGAGACGGATCTTAGAGTCCTGGGTGACGAAAAGGTTGGCGCCCTCAACGATGAATGGAACAACGGACTTGCCATCAACAATGAGGCTAGAAACGTTGTTGAGATTGATGGACTCCGGACGACCACCGCAGGGAACGAAGATGTCGTAATTACCTGGGCGAAGGTGGTAAGTGTTGCGGAATGCGGTACCGTTGTTAACGACCTCGCCGGATGGGAGAGTGACGTTGCTGTCGTCGCAAAGAACACGATATCCGTCCTTGGACAGCTTAGAAACGTCGTACTCGCAAATCATCTTCCTGCTGCGAGCAAGGCGAGTGAGCTCCTCACGGTCGAGGCCGTTAGGATCAGCGAGAACACCAGATCCATCAACAATGGCAACGTATTGCTCCTTTCCGAGCAAGATACCGTTGGAGCCAAGATCTCCGTCAGGGCCACCAGTCTGGAACATACGGACCTTGGTCTGGTCAATGCCCATCTTGCGGTAGATACCCTCAACGTTTTCACGCACAGACAAGGTGGTCATAGCGAAACGGTCGTGGGGGATACCACCAAGCTTAGGGCTCTTTCCAGTAAAGAAGGACTTCCACCATGGAGCACCACGCTTGCGAGCGTGCTCGGTGGCCCAGTTGACAAGAGGAGCAGAGTTCTCGTCGGGGCCCATGAAAAGGATCTCGTCCTGACCGTGGAGGTCGACGATGGGATCCTTGATTCCAGGGCTGGCTGGGGGAAGGAGGAGATCAAGGATACTGTCGATGTACTTGTGGAAAGCGACGGCCACCTTGTCCTGGTGGTTGACATCTAGAAGCAGGACACCCTTGGCACCGCCTTCTGGGATATCCTTGTTCTTGCGCTGCTGAGTGTTGGCGAGGTTGTAGTTCTCATCGAACAAGGAGCGGGCGTTGATGGCATAAGCCTCCTTGTCGCGGGACTTGACGATACGGATACCACCACGGGCGATATCTCGGAATCTGAGGTGGAAGCCACGGAACTCGGAGCTGATGATGATGAACATGCCATACAGAGGGTCTGGGTATTCGTGCTTGGGGAGGAAGTCCGCGCTGAGACGGAAGCTGAGAGCGACCTTGGTGGGGGTGTAGAAGTTGGTCTTAAGAACGGCGGCATTAAAGGTGAGGAAGGACTGCATGACCATTCTGTCGTTCTCGCTGACGACGGTCTTGGAGACGAGGTCCTTGAGCTGCTCGGCGTTAAGAACCTCGTCGACCTGCAGACGAAGGTAACTGAGGGTTGGGAGGAAATCATCCTGAGCCTCGCCTCTGGTCTGGACGTAGTGAGTGTTGGCGAAGTTGAGGTAGAGTCTGTGAATGAGATCGGGATACTTCTGGATGATCTCGAGGATGTAGTCGGAGGTGAAAGTCTCGGAACGGAGACGTTTCTTAAGCTTGGAAAGCAGCTCGGCGTGAGCACTGTTGTTCGAGTCCAAAATGGCGGCAAGCGAAGTGTACTCTGAGCCAAGACGGTTGAGGAACTGCTGTACGAAGACCCAGACGCAGTGAGCATAGATGGTCTCCTGCAAGCTCAGACGGCCGCTGATGAAGTGGCCCTGGAACTTGTTCTGGGGGATACAGTAGAGGAGGGAGATTTCCTTGAGGATCTGGTGGACAGCAGCCTCAATTGGGGGGTGTCTGCTAGAGTTCTCGTAGCCAGGAGTGGGGCGGAGGTAGAGAGACACAATAGTAATGCCGTTGGAGAAATTCTCGAGGTATTTGCGGGAGCTGGTGAGGCGGTAGTAGTGGTACAGATCCGAGAGGGCAGAGAAGAAGCCCATAGCAGAGCCCTGGCGGTAAGCAATGACGAGTCTCTTCTCGCGGCTGCCTTCAATCTCGAACATCTTGATGACGGGGCCGGAGCGAGCAACGGCATTGATAAGGAGTTCCTGGTAGATCGCCTTGGTGTTTTCAGTAGCCTTCTGCAGGAAGAGCTTGTCACCGACGATCTCAATGTTGGTCTCCTCAGGATCGGGGTTGGGGTTGGCGAATTGACACTTGTAGACAAAGTAGCAACGCAGCTGCTGCTCGCTGTTGTCTGGAAGTGGGCTGGAAGAGCGGAAGGTCTCGACACGGAAGCTGTCGGTAGCCGTGGCTCCGTTGATGTACTTCTCGTCGATACGCTGCTCGTAGCGGGGGCCGTCAGTGGTAGTAACGCCGGGCCTGCTGGTGTCGATGTAGACGGCGTGGTCCTCGGCCTCCTTGTCGAGTCTGATCTCTAGCCGCTTGTCGTCACGGGCGTAGGCAGCCACTTTGGCAGCATAAAGGGAGAGGATGTGGCTGGCAATAACTTCGACGGTCTCGGTCTGGAAGTACATGTCGTCGATTCCGAGCAGGTTGTAGAACCAATTTGTCTCGGAGGCGACGAATTCGTATGGAATGAAGCCATTGTTCTCCAATTGCTCGGACACTATATATCAAAATCATATCAATTAGTCCTCTTCGGCCAAATGTGCAGTTAATTAGTTGCGACCAATTGTGCAGCTTTGTCGTCACGTACCAGCAACCATCTGTGCCTCTTTGCCTTCGAACTTGGCTGCCACGTAGCCGGGGCCTTGCTCGGCCAGGACACGGTGAGTGCCTCCCGGGATACCGAGATGGGTGGGCTGGGGGGACGGCTGGCGGCCTGGAGTGCGCACAACGCTATCCAGCTGCTTGTTCAGGGGACGCTGGAAGCCCGTTGGCGTGCCAACGCCCGAATCAGTTGCCGGCTTGGGGTGGGAGGGCAGCCCGCCGTTCTGAGGGGAGTCCGACATGGTTGCGGTTCGGTTTTCTGGGAGCTTCGTAAAACAAAACGGTCTGGGGTTCTATATATCGTCAAAAAAAAAGGGTCTAATGGAAGCGAATTGCAGCTATAGGAGCAGCGAGAGGAGAGGCTGTGTAGAGCACGCAGCCATGGGACAGCTGCAGGAGTGAAGATGAACAGGCGAAGTCGTGAGGTTGACGTCGAGATAGAGTCGGCGAGGAGGAGGAAGGAGGAGGAGGGGCAGAAAAAAGGGCAGGAGCAACAGGCGGTAGAGCTCGCCTTAATAAGCAGTTTCGCGTGGGGCGGCTAGCGGAGGCAACAGCGAAGCGCCGGCGGCGGAAAGACGGAAAGCGTCGGGAAAAGCGGAGAGCACCTGACCTAAGCCATGGTGACTAAGCAGTCATGTGTCGTGAAAAAAATCAGCGCCCCGTGACTTTTCCTGGCTTAGCTAAGCATCTAGACTTTGCGCCTTTTTGCTTTTTGCGACGTCGCGGCATCAAAAGCGACGCAGCGAAACAGCACGCAACAGCAGCGCAACAGGAGGGACTGCGAGACGGCGGAGGTGAGGACGCTGCGTTGCTCTCAAACTCGCCTTGTCGTGGTAATTCTCCGACCGGCTCGCCTCCAGACCCGATGACACTGTAATCACCACTACTCCGTACACTACATACATACTTACAATGGAGCAAGGCATGGATATTGCTACTTACTCCTGCTACTTACTACAGCTAACTACTAGACAGCTGCGGAGACGGTGAGCCCACGAACAAGCAGGATCCTCCGCAGCTGACTGCAAGAGGCAACTCTAGACCTCCTCGCTTCGACGGCGGCGGGCTGGTTTGGTTTGGCTGTCGTCCGTCTTCTTCGTCAGCCGGGAACTCGCCTGGCTGGCAGTCTGCTGATCTGTTTCACCAGGGGCTCACCGTTCGAAAGTGTATGTATAGCCCAAACCATCCTCAACAAAGACCGCCCGACAGGGCCTCTCGGGCGATCCAGACAGACAGTGACTTACCGATCAGAGACAACGAGACCACAGCGCAGGCGGGCTGGCCAGCTTACGGATGGCGACCTGTTCCAGGCCTTGTCTCGTTTGTTTTCTCCCCCCCCTTTTTTTACTGTTGTTGGTCTGCCGTTGGACGGATTGGCCGTTCGTTTGTCTAGACGGGGACGGGCATATAATTCAGAGCTCCCAACATTATTTTTTTGCTCGTTTCCCTGTCACACCGTCAACGCCTTTCTTCATTATTCCTCCCGATGGATGCACCCCCAGAGAAGTCCTTCTTTATTCATCAACTCCGCAAGTAGATCACTCCGGGGTAGCAGCTCATCTATCTCGACTATTGAAAATCCAGGCTGGCTCGTTGCCTTCGATGCCTAATAGTACGGATTCAAAAGAGAGTGCTTTGGTCTTCACTTCTTCTTTTCCGCAGAACAACATTATTTAGTTGCAGAGCGGCAGAGCCCATTATTCTCAACAAGATTTTACACCTTATTTGCCGTCAAATCGTACCTTGATCGCCCAGCTTGGAGCCTGGCCCGCGGAAGTTAAGCGTACATACGCATATGCAGCCCGCATCACCAGTCGGTCATTTTTTTTTCTTCCTTCTGCCATGTACGGGTACATGCACGATAGACTACACAGGGCGTATCCTGCCCATCCTCCCCCTCCATCACGCAATTGCTGCTCTGTGACAATCCCAGCGGCGCTCCTGCTTCCATCTTCATATCGAGCATGAAGACAGAAGACAGAAGACAGACAAACAGACGGACAGCAAGGCTGCCTGCCTTTCTGCCCAAACCTCTCCTTTTCCCTCCAACCCCCTTTCTCCCTTTCCCCCGTCAAAACTCCATCTCCTTTTCACCCCCTGGATGATGATGTAACCAGCGCCTCCTCATAACAAAAGGGTGAAAACTGGGGAAACCCCAGCAACCGGTTGGCACAGCCGTCCATCTATCGTCTTCCTTTCTTTTCTTCCACCCATCGCTCGTCTCTTCTAGTCCTGTCTTGTCCTTTTCTCCCTTCTCCTTCGCCCCCCTCCTCCCCATCCCTGACACCACGTTCGGACCGGTCGACAGGCTGACAGGCTGACGGGCTGACGGGAGCTGGACTTGGTAGCCAACCGGATACTGCGCAGCCCAATCCAGCCTCTCCGACCATCTTCCATTTACAACTGCACTGCTACGCTCTGCATCCATCCACTCAATCCATACACTCTCCAGCAGACCTCGCAGGCGCAAGATAATTTAAAATCCTCGTATCTTCAACCCTCAGCCAGTCATGGGAAAGGCGTGCTGGGCGGACCAGCCGGACTTGGTCACATCCTCCGTTTGAATCGTAGTTTTTATTATTCACTGTTATTACTTTCGGATTTCCCAGCGCCCTTGGGGACCTTGTCTGCTGCCCTGGTCTAGTCAAGCACATCTGAGAGCTAGCAGCCATGGCTAGCTACTTGGATGGCAAACTCCATATACCTTGTTGACTCGCTAGTTCACCAAGTATCCGACTCTAGAAAAGTCCATGGACGGAGCAGCCTGCCGTGTTTCATCTTTTTCCTTTTTTTTCCCTCTTCTCTTTCGCTCTCTTGGTTTTTTTATTTTTATTTTTTTTTTTTTATTTTTATTTTCATTTCTTGATGGATGCCTTACCAAGGTTACTCCTGCGAGGAAACGAGAGAAGCGCTTCTTGCGACGGACCTTGATCGTTGGTTCTGCCTCTTCCGTCCCCCTTTTTTTGATTGTTGCAATTATTACCTTGCAGCTCTATTTTTTCCTTTCCCTGGCTTTATTTCTTTCTTTCAGCTTCGGTATTTAAAAGCTTTGTCTCTTCCGCTTCCCTGGGAATTTCTTCTTTTCTTCTTCTCTTTCTTTTCCCCAGACTTTTCCTTCTCCGCATTTTCTGACGTTGAACAAGGACTCAAAAGGCACAGTTATATAGCCTCTCCTAGCCAGCCAGCTATTGAAACAAGCAATACCAGACAGCTATCAGTCCAATCTATCAATCAATATATTCGTCAGCTCGTTTGATCGTCAAGAACCTTCATTTGCAAGACGTGTCATTTCTATCAACCAATATCAACGGGGCAGGATCCCTTCCATCTACCAAATATCTTCAGCCAATACCACGACCACCACCAAAAAATACACATCGACAATGGCTTCAACCATGACCCGGTCTGCTCATTCCTCGTTGCCGCATACCATGCATCCTTTCCCGAGCACTGGTGCCGACTCAACTAGCCCATCCACCAAACAGCTCTCGGTCTCAACACTCAGCCTCGACATCCAGCGAGCCATGCAATCATCCTCCAGCCAGCCAAAATACATCTCTGCCGGCAACAATGACTTCGAGCACCCACCTCCACCGCCTCCATCTCCAGTCGGTTTTCCCTCCGGCTCGACTAGCTGGAGGTAGACTCCTTCCGACCACATAACCCTGACAAAATCATACTCCTGTCCTGATGTCCCGCCCCGGATACACGGTCAACGAGCCAACGTCCAAAATCTTCAGCTGCTTTTTCGTCCTTTTTCTTTTCGCAATTATAATCTTAATTTGCATTCGGGTCGGGATAGAACGGAGTTGTTTTCATAGATGGCTTCCAGCTTCTTTTCTTCTTCTTTCTTTCTTTTTCTTCTCTTCTTGATATCCCTGTCCAACGAGCTGGTTTCTTCAGGTGTTTCCCATACTGTTTTCTCAGCGAGATATTGTTTCCTATGTCGGTTTTGCTTCTTCAACCCAATACTCAGCCACACAACAGTGGTCTGCTTGCTTCTTTTCTTCCTCTGTTTGCCGGAACACATGTCCTCCTGACTGGGTATGTTGTATCCGTGACACCGATGAGAGATTTTTTTTTCTTTTCTTTCTGTATCAATCATCCTCAAATAACCGTCTTTTTCCAAGTTCCAAAATGGGCTCGTAGTTGGCTACAGAAATCAATGCCTAACGTAGTCGAACGGTCATGAGACTGTCGGGGAAATATTTCTCTCAATCCAACAAGGCCTCCTCAGGAGCCTGCAGGTTCGCTAGCCGTAGGCGTTGTAGATCCCGTCTGCACCCCAGACCCACGACTACCCTGGTTGGAAACCTGGCCGCTGCCGCTCCGCTCGGCGTACATCTGCTCCAATGCACGCATCGCATCCCCATCACCCTCCAGGGCCAATTTATTCAACCTCTCAGCCTCCGCGACAGCCGCTTCAACCCTATTCCATCCCGCAATTTTCTCTTCCTGAATCTGGCTCTTTTTTAACGGAAACACAGTCCTGACAGCATCGGTTTCGCCCCTGGAATGTTTCGCCTTCGCCAGCCGCGCCAGGAATCGTGCCTGGTTGCTCATTGCAATCCTGGATGCATCGCCCATGTCCTCCCCAAACACGCTTTGGCTCTGACCGCCCGAGCTGGATATTAAATTGGCCTTTTGGCCTACGATCCTCACTCGGTTGGCGCACAGGAGCTCGCTGCTGTCCTCTTCATTTCTCCAAAGCGGAGGAGTTGAGTTTGGCTGTCTCTCAGATGAGCGAGTGAACATCAACTCCGTCCCAATCATGTCGGCCCAGGAACAGCTGAATATCTGGTTACCATATGAAATTATCGGATTAGGGGAGTGAAGGTCCATTATCTGGACTCGGCTTTGCGACTCTTGCTCTTGGTCATTGTGATCTTGCCCTGCGTCACCGTCAAGCGAAGGTGTCATGGAAGGGTCAATTGGAGAGTGGATTGGAGTCGAAGTAGATGATCGCTTTCTTGGAGGTCGTATGGGCCCGTTAACCGAGGATAGCTCGAGGTTGATATAAGCTGTCTATATGTAGCTCTGGTTAGCACCCGGTCGATTGTAAGCCGCGACCTCACGTACCTCTGTTTCAAACGGATCATACTCATATTCGTAATCTGAATCATTGCCATCCACGTCCATAACAATAGCCTCAGGCCGATCCATGGCTGTGAATAACAGCACCCGTCCTGTGTGATCTTTAGATCTTCGCATAGACACCCTTAACAATGCATGAAGCATGTCAAAAAGTCGCTTGTTGAGCCGCAGCCGACTTTTCAGCGCCAAATTACGTCATCAATATGATGATACCAATTTAAATGAACACACTCGAATACTGTGACTGGTCTAGGTGTTGATTCAGCTTTATGGACGAATCCTAGATACCTTAATCGCCTTACTCTATTGAGATACTTTATCATATTGAACAACTATGCTTCCTAACCAAAAAGTCAACTTTTCAAATCATCTGCAACTCTGCTGCTCCATATGTATCGAAGCTTGGAAATCTGGTATAAGCTGCGTAGAGTGCAAACGAACCAACAATTACCGGTGCTGATCTCCAAGTGAAACCGATCAAATATGTAATTTCAGATATACAGTCATCACTTATATAAAGCCAATGGGAACTCCATTGTCTTAAACAAATCACACCACAAAGAATTTGAAGATCCGTAGAGTGTAAAAACAAGAAAATATCAAGAATCAATAAAAAATTCCAACGAGCGAAGGAGGAAGGGACCTCGGTGAAGAAATGACAGGACGCAGATGCAAGCTAGACAAAAGAAAGACAAAGTGATATGCATGAACTTTATGTACTCGGGACGAAAGAACTGGGTTATTTGCTAAGGAACGAGAGGGATAGGTAGCGAGAAAGCGAGAAAGAGAGTCAAGGGTCAGGAGTCAGGTATCGGTGGGAAGGCTTGGTTTGGGGACGGGCGGCGCCTAGGCTGTGTATGCAAGATGAGAATTTTTGCCCCAGAGAGAAAGAAATATGCAGAGATGCACGGAAGAAAGGGAAACCTTTAGGGAAATGTATATAATATGACGCCTTAATGCAGCAAAGACCGATTCTGTTGATGAGTATTGTTCGTAAAGGATATGTCGCTGCCGGCACTCCTTGGCCTCTCGGGGCTTCCGCCTCGATGCTGGACTAGTCGGTCTGTGCTCTCGCTGTAGCCATGCCTTGGCTTGGATGGCGGTGAGTCGTGGTACGGCTCGTAGCGGGAGATATGGTTCAGCTTGCCAACTTCTTCGTCGTGCATGTACCCGTGGGATTTGGGCCTGAGCAGAATTGAACCCCGAGGATCGAGTGGAGTTAGGTTGTCTAGATCTCTGTCGAAATTTTCTGTGAAAATACAAGTTAGCCGTGGGGAACGGGAATGGTAAGAGTGAAGTACGAGAGCATGCTTACGTTTCTCCTTGTGACGCTCCTCGTGCGGATTTTTGCCAAACAGTGTCATTATACCGTTGATCAAGATGAGTATGCCCAAAATGGCCGCAAGACTAGTCTGGACGGCAAGGAGAGCAACACCAGTCACAGTCTTTGTTGTCTTCGAGATACCAAACTCGTCAACAAAGACGATAATGCATGCAACAGAAAGTACTCGGACAACCTGGATGGAGATATTAATCCATCGACCAGATTTGGTTTCGAAAGGACGAGTCCATAATAGAAGAATGAGCATGAGGCCTTCAACAACAAACTGACCAGCAGATTGAGCGAGGCCATGCCCATCTGCGCCAGCAATCACGCAGCCACGGGCAAAAAGGTACACGATAACAGGCACAAAAATCCACCAGTAATCCTTCTTATAGTGGTCGTAAAAGAGACTGTACTTGCGCCAAGCTTCCTTGTCCTCAAACAGAGCTGAAGCAGTTCCCTCCGTCTTCTTGAGGCGTTGGGCAAGGGACCAGATGCGGAAAGTGAAGTATCCAAGAACACCTGTGAACAGCGCCAGGGTGACTGCAGCAAGAGTTTTAGCGGCCCACGAGTCACCACGAGTGAACTGGAAAATGCAGTAGAGAGTCCAAATTCCGTAAAGCAGAAGAATCAAGTTGGTGATGGTCCTAGCAAGGAAACCCCAGTAATGTTGTCGGAAGTTTGACAAACGCTCTGGGAACGTGGAGTACAGAGCCCAGACTTCCAACACGACCTTCCCTAGTAATATGCCTGCGGCAATGACAGCGATGACAATGGCAAAGATAAGTAAAACAGTCATGAAAGTATTGGCCGCTGGAATAGAGAGTTCTTCAACGCCCTTTTTGATGCCGCTAAGTCGGTTGTTGACTTCCTCCTGTATATCACGGGCCAGGAGCTGGACATGGCGGGATGTGAGGTCAAGCGAGCGCTTCTCAGCAGTGCCATTTGTGCCATTTTTTTGTACTTGCAGACTCCGAAGATAGTTGACGCTGTTTTCCGTGAGGTTTCCGCCAGTCGCATTCCGAAAGTTATCGATGGATTGCTGTAGGTTTGTCCAGGGGAAAAGGCCCAGGCTGAAGCTAAAGTTTTTGGTAAAGCTCCTATAGACGGGAGGATAATCCACACTACACAATCCGTTCAATGCAATGGCCTGAAAAACACCCATAACTTGAATGAAAGATGGACTTGCGCCAGGTGCTCCAGGGTGAGCGGTACCGCCTACAGCACCAGCGCCAGAGAAGACCAGGGCAGCACCAGAGATCCCAGCGGCAGCGTACGATACCATCGGGGTGTTTAGGGAGTGTCCATTGCCAACAGTTGACTTGATGCAGGAGAGTTCATTTTTGTCGTCTTTTTGATTCAGCTTCAGTGTAGCTTCGGCGTCTAAATCTGGCACCATGAAGGCAATACTCGGTATTCTGGATCCAAACTCTTCCGAGATCGGTTGCTGACCTTTGGCAGTGAAACGGCCGGCAGGCACTAAAGTAACCGTCAGTACTCCTGGCTGGTGTCTCCCGTATTGAGTTGAAAGCAATATATACATACCAGGGCAAAGTTGGTCTATAAACGTGTCTGACGAACATGGATCAAGATTCTGTGTGAACGTCTGTCCGTATGCAAGGATGGTAATGGTGGCAGTGACATTTTGTGTTTTGATGTTCATCCCAACGAAATTGTAGGTGACTGTCTTGCTTGCGCGGTTAAGGATGAAATCCAGCTCCTTAATCTCGATATCACTGTTCTGAAGGCAAGAATTAAACCCATTGTTCTTGAGCACGTCTCCAGCAAGCGTAAGCCCAGCGTTTAGGGACATGAAAGCCCACGCAACGGTGGTAAGGGATATGAACTTCATTTTGCCGAAGGACGAGTCGAAGTTGTATGGGCTTCCGAAAGGGGTAGTGACCGGGCCTGACAGGCCACTTTCTTTGGAGGGAGACTGTAACCGAGCGACGGACAAGATATGCGTATGTGAAATTCAAAGCGGATAAAAAAACGAGAGTCGAGAAAGGTACGGAAATGCAAGAGAACGACGGAAATGCGTTTGCTAAAAGACAGTATGACTAGCAGGGTCAACCCGCATAGTACGATGCAAAAGACGGTCAAAAAGGAACAATGCTGATTCTATTCTTGCACGCGGAGAACATGAGGAAATAAAGGAAAATGATAGAAGGAAAGGAAGGCGGCAAGACGAAGGCCGTTCAGCATTGACGTCCCTCAGGGGCTAAGCGATTGGCCGACTCTCCATAACCGTGCTAAAAACGAAGGATAAAAAAAAAAGATGGGCGGTTGGTGATATCGAGAAAAACGGCTGCCCAGATAAAACCGATAAACGCAAAGACGACACAAGCGAAGGTTAAGGACAGACGGAGATAAACAAGGGAGGGACTTTTTGCTGTCGCAAGAAAAAGTATGTGGTATGGTGATATTGTTTCAAGAGTGCCTTTGCAGAGGCCCTTTGGGGGAGGAGATGAGCAGCCGCCGGTGATTGGAGACGACGCACCTGGATGGCAACATGTCGTTTCTCCGGACCATAAGATTTAGCGGGCCAATGCAAGGGTGTAGCCACTCGTAGGCCACCGTTGCTCCCCTTTCGCTGGCAAACCAAGACATTCACGGCGTAATTATGGAGCTAAGGGGGACATCTTTCGCGCTGACCTTCAGTCATGCATCCGCCACGTATCCACCGAGGCACAAGCACATCGCTGCTAGTGGTATGGAGCATGACTTATCTGTCGCTCATTGATTGTGGTCCGCAGCTGTTTCAATCCAACATGGCATATATTCAGCCATGCATTCCATAGAAGGCTGTGTGAACAGAAGGGTTGCAAGCAAAGGAAGAGAAGGCGAGCTGCAGAACATTCGAGCAGGATAGTGGGCCAGGGTAGGCTCAAATTTAAGAATTAAGGATTAAGAAACGTCAGGAAACCCCTGGGCAATTGGCGGGTCTGATCCACCGTAGGGCAGGCGGGAAGCTAGACCATAAGCCACAGCCACGGCCAAGACGGTTCTGGCCTGGACTCTTGGTTGAACTGTTGAAGGCTGAAAAGAACGAGTCGGCTGGCGTTCTTTCGAGTCGTTTGTTCGCTTCAAAAAGGAGCTCTTTTCCGGAGTATGCCTTCGTGGCATACCATAAATAACTCCAATAGCCTTTAGTTAAGGGTGTCAAGCCGCCCTCTGCTGCCTGTCCCGCATAGATAAGGGCTTGGAAAAGTTGACGTGTAGAAAATTGCATCTCCAGTTATCTCCAGGAGTTTATGAATTCGAGGACCAGAATGGGGCATGGGGACTCCATTTTTAATCAAGTCTGGAATACTCCGTACATACATTTATTCGGACATCTTGGGCACTCCGATAGAGCAGGGTTGTAGTACATGCTGCTGGCTTCGTTGATAGAGAGTCCACTCCTCCCCTCGTCTCTTCCATGTCACCTCGTTTTGTCCGGGGAGCAATATATTTCGGAGAACGCAAGCCAGCAAGCTACTTCTGAGCCTTGTTCTGCTGCTCTCGCATGGCTGCTCTGGCACTACGACTTCCCCCGAGTTTCGGTCCACGTGGTGCGTCTGCCTTGGAAGTTTTAGTGTTCCGGGTACGGGCTCCGCGTCTTCTCGAGTGAATGGCGTCAAGGAAATCTCTACGGAACTGATCTGCTATTCGATCATCTGCGGCCTGATCGTCCTCATCTGCGTGGCTCTGGGGCTCTTCATAGACATCGACTGATCAACCCAGTAATGTTAGCATAATACCCTCCAGCTAGTGTGCAGGATGGGCAAAGGCGAACGCCGCACTGGAAAAAAGGAAGTAAAACCAAGGTGACAAAACTTACGTTTACTTTCGCGCAAAACTTCTTCTACGAGCCGATCTCGCATTATATCTTCACTATTACGCCTTCTCCTCCCGCTGCGAGTTTGTTTGCCTTTGTTCACCGTTTCCTCATCTTCGGGTGCCGCGGAATCACCCTTGGCAAGGTTCCTGGTGGCAGCCTCTGTCCTTGCAATGTTCTGGAGCTTCGAGTCTGGTCCGAGGTCTATCTCGTGTAATTTGCCTAGAGTTGCAGGCTGTCTCTGTGGAAGCTGCAGGTCGGCAGCAGACGTATGTTCCGCCGCCTGCCGCGACTGGTTCTGGCCATCTGCAGGATTGGTAGGATCGCTGTTTTCCGACGGTAACGTCCCATGGCGACGTTTAGCCATCTCAGCTTCTATAAACGCCATCCTTATCACGTTAGTTGTTGCACCTGTAATGTGCTGACAAGACGGACGAAAGAAAACATGGGTGAAAGGTCTGCGTACATATGCTTATCAACGTCGACTTTCTGGCCTGAGTGTCCAACAAACCGATCTGATATACCACTTAACCGGCCTTCGGCCGTGGTCTCAGCAGCTGGCACGAGAGCATCACTCCGCGACGAACGAGACGTCGAGAACTCGATGCCGCCTTTCCTGGCCTTGTTCTTGCGAAGTCGCAATATATCAGCGACTCCCATCTCGTCTGTTTCCACGCCATCTGGAGCCGATGATGCCGGTGTATCAGGCGCAGTTGGTGTTGATGCCTTCGCTTCCACTTCGTCTTCGGGTCTCGTATCGTCAGCTCGTCGGCGCATGAACTTCCGTCTCTTCGCAGGGTTGAATAGGGGCGCATCGACATCCATGATGAGTATCAGCAGGGGAGTATCTCCTCGTCTGGCGGTGTTTTTGCTGAGCTGAAGTTGATTGAACTGAAGTCGATTTGATTTCTTTTCGCCTTCGCCGGTAGGTTTCTGGATTATGTAATATAAACTTACATAATCTAGAACTTTCGTTGCATTAGTTTGGGAACACATAAAAGGTAAAAAGTAACGATGACAACAAGAAGGACAAACAAGACGCGATGGATGGATGGGCGTGGATGAGAAGTGGAAGAGATGAATGTGCATGGTAAGTATAGTCGTCAAGCTATGTACAAATTGATAATTAATAACGAAAACCGCAGCAGCCTGCCACCCGTTTTTAAAAAGCACCAGCAAATATATACGCCTGTCCCAGATTCAATAATGCAAGAGAAGATCGATCAGCTCAAGGCCACCTTAGCACCATATTTGCTAGAACAAGTGACGGTAAGCAGCTCGGTCCATGGATGTGGGTCTCTTGACTCGATGTTCTTGAAGGTCTGCATGATTCTGACTGTAGTGTAGGAAGCTTCGGTAAGAGCAAATTGTTCTAAGACATAGCCATTATTAGTATGCGAGCGGAGAAATGGTAGGGAATAGAAAAGAGACATACGGCCGAGGCAGATTCTGGGACCACCATTGAACGGCAGATAGCCCCAGCCAGGACGGATGGTCTCCCATCGCTCAGGCTTGAACTCGAGAGCATCCGGGCCGTAGATGTCGGTACGACGATGCATGGAGTATGCACTATATATGACCGACGTTCCCTTGGGTACGAAGACGGGAGATTGGCCGTCTGGGCCACCGCCGCGAGGGAGAATGGTGTCCCGGATGGCACTGCGGGAGTTGCCTGGCACAACGGGGTATAGTCGAAGAACTACATCATTTGTTAGGGTGATCCAATAGCTGATGGGGGGAAGGGGGAAAGGGAGGGGAGTGAAGAACGCACCCTCATTCAAGGTATAGCGGAGATACTTCATGTTCTTGATCTCTTCAAAAGAGGGAGCGCGGCCGTCGAGTGTCTGAACCTCAGCCTGGAGTTTCTCCCAGACATCCTGGCGTTTCGATAGGGTGTTCCATAGCACACTGAGCAGACTGGCAGTGGTATCACGGCCGGCAAGCAGGATGTTCATAAGTTCCGACCTCAGCACCAGCGGATCCTGTGTCTCCTTGACCAGCTCGTCCAAAAAGACATATCGGCCAGACTCATCGGCTACGTCTCCAATCTTCTCCCGCGAGTTGTACCGTTCGATTCCTTTCCTGACATAATGGTCCGCAAAGGCATGTACATCCTTGACTCCCTGCCTGTACTGCTTGTTCCCCCAGCTGGACGGCAGCCCAAACCTGAAACGCTTCCCAATGTAGCCTGTGCAGTAGTCGAACGATTGGCCGAAGATGTCGCCTTTGGGGGCGGTGCTGCGGTGGCCGGACAGAGTGCTGGCGGACTCTCCGAAGAGGAATTCGGTAGCAGAGTCGAGTGTCATACCAAAGAAGAGCTTCTGCAGGTCGACCGTCGAGCCGTCGGTGGGGATCAGCTCGATAAGCTCGCGGACGTGACGCTCGAACATATTCAGGTCTGCGATCTGGGAGCGCGAGAAGTTGGGACGCAGCATCGCCCTGGAGTGTTCCCAGTCGCTGCCATCGTTGGTGAAGACTCCGTTGCCGAAGAGCTCGCGGAAGCCGGCTTTGCGGCGTGGCGGCAGTTGGTAGTCGTTGAACTTTACGGCCAGCACTGTCTTGACGTTCTCCGGTTCACAGGTCGTTATTACTGCAACTGTTAGAACTTGGGCGCTCTTCGGCTATAGCTAAAGGGGAGGGAGGAGGGCGAATATGACACATACTCGGCAGGCCGGTGAGCTTGCTGGTGAAAGTGTTGCCGTACTTGAGGTAGCGCTTCCGGACGTCCTCGAGGAAAGTGTCGTGCTTGTTGCTCTTGATGGCCTCGAAAAAGAGCCCCAGGCCGAAGATGGGTTCGAAATCGGGATATGCTGGCGCTGCCTTGCAGCCATGCTCCTTTGCAGCACGACGGCGGGCGAGCGCAGTCTGGATGTACAGGGCAAACCTGTAGAGGACGAAACTACCGAGCAGCAACCAGCCGAGCGACAGAGAAAGCATCTCGATCGCTCGAATATATATATATATATATATATATATATTAACTTATATATAAACTGAGACGCCCACCGGAAAAAGGACGAATATATATATATATAATTTATTTTATATGAAAATAAGACGGCGGATATCGATGAAGATCTCGGAAGGTCAAGCAAGACAAGAGAAACCAGGCTCCAGACGAGCGGGCGTTGCGGTATATAGAGACGGCCAGACAGAATAGCTAGCTCATCCCCGCCGATTCCCCCAAAGTTCAACAAGGCCACGGCATTTCTCTGCGTCTTCTTTACTTTCCACTCCACAAAAGTCTCTCGGCTGTCGGTTGGACTTCACATGGAACACGATAGGCTGGCTGAAAAACGAGGAAGCGGTACAAGAGCTGAAAGACACGGAGCAACAAGCAGGCCGTCTTGTCCCGCGGTGTCTGCTCGTCCTGGCACAAACTCGCTGCACAACCAGGCATAACTCGCTGATCAACCTGCCAAATTCGCCCGGCATGTCCGTCTATTTAACGAGCATCTCAATTCGCTGGACAAGCCCGGTACAAGACAGCCACGTACGCCAGTTGGGCACGGTCATACGGAGTGGTGGGAGGAGAGAAGATAGCAGCTACAGCTGTGCGATGGCAGATCGGCTCCGACACCGATACCGACACCGACATCACGACATGGTCACCAGAGGATGATTTCACCACGACGCGGAATGATGGACATCTTTCTCCGAGAGATTGGTCGATGGTGTTCGTGATTCGCCAGGCACTGAGTATGGAGCAAGTAACCTCCATGGCAGTGCTTAAACTCGCATGAGGCGCACTGGATCCTGCATACTCTTTCTTACTGTGTAGGAGCGATCTACACCCCGTTTCAGGGCTTATATGGGAAATGGACGTCGTCAGAGGTGCTCTTTTTCTGGTTTCCCGCACGGATGAATGTCCATTTCCAGCGGTCACCGCTCTCGGCTTTGGCCGTTGCGATATGGGCCAGGTAGCATGCAGTATGCGGAGCGACCGGGCCAGTTAACAGATACAGATACATCTCCTTATATGCGTCCGATGACAGTCTACGTATATCCAGGATATAGGGTCAATCAGATAGAGCCTGTCTACGGAGTATACTCCTGAGGGATACCTGATAACCAGGAACAGCCCGGTAATTATCCGTGAGGCGAGCAAAAAAAAAAAAAAAAGAAGGGCTGGGAGTTTTATCGCTGCTTGCTTTGCTGGCTACGGTGTATCTCGCACCACTGAGCTTGTCCGTCTCTCATGTCTAAGATACATGGCAGGGTTGCAAGGCTCCATATCTCAGCGCAAGACAAGGGGCTACTGTGGTTCCTGGGTTCAGAGGAAGGCAATTTAAGATATAATCGAGACTCCTCAGGGAGGATCCAAACCAAGGAATAACTAATGGTTATATCGTCATTTCGGGATGGAGCAAGCTATTGACAGAGCTCTGATTGGTCCGTAATAACTCCGAGTAACGTGACATGAATATACCCGACCCACCGAAGGTGAACCCCTTTTTGCATTTCGACCTTGCAGCCCGCCGGCGAGAGGAATCCAACGCACCCAAACATGTCTCTAGGTGTGATTGTTGTAGAGCTGCAGGGCAGTGTTGGTAGGTAACAGGAAGAGCAAGGAGTTTATTGGGAATTCTCGATCGGCCAGCAAGCTTGATGTCTGCCGCGCGCTTATCTCACGTGAGCGCCAGTTAGCTTTGGAAAGTGGACACGCGATTCATAGCCGCGAGCCGAGGTAAACAATATCAACATCGAGTTATAGTAAATAGAAAGTAGAAAGTCATAAGAGAGAAAGAAAGTAAAGAGAAAGAGAGAGAGAGAGAGATGGTGATGACATAGATTCGTTTTGGCTATTTAACATTCGCATGCATGCATGCCTCGACCCGTGCCCTGCACCTAGGCACTGTAATACGTACTTACTAGACAGTTAACAGATATATGAACATGATGAATAAACGATACTATGAATTTGAAAAAGACCCTGTCCGCCGCGAATGGAAAGAGAGTGAGAAAGAAGAAAAAAAAATAAAGTCAAACGCCGCCTGCTGGAAGACTCGAGAAGACTGAACTCCGCGCCAAGGAAAGCAAAGGATGGTATGTATGTAATGTATGTATGGGTCATCAAGGAGTGAGATGGTGAAGGACCGGTCGTAGAAGGGTTGTGGAAGGATTGTAGATAGAGAGAGAGAGAGAGATGTCTAGGAAGAAGGTGACGAGGGGAGAGCAACGGCCACTGCCACGGCGGCGCCAAAGATGCCGCTCTCTGGCGCAGGGTCAAGGGATATCATCGGCTTGTCTGACTCGGTCTCAGTGGCGCTGTCTGAACCTGAATCTGCAGAATCGGCAGTGGAGTTGGAGCTGGAGTTGGAGTTGGAGTTGGCGTGGGAAGTGAGGCTGTTGAGGTAGGCCTGGCAGGTACTTCGGAAGCCCGGGTACTTGTTGATGACTGTCCCGTCACAGGCAATGGTGACTGCTTGGCCGATCTCGAGGTCAGCTGTTGTGCTGAGGCCCTTGGTGAGCAGGAGGTCGTCTCGGGTGTGTTCGGGCGAGGAGGAGGCAGGGGACTCGCTCTCGTTGCTTAGACGCCAGAGGGAGTATATGGCCGTGGCGAGGTATGCGGCCCCTCGTCTGGAGACGCACTTGCAGACAGTCTGCAGAAACTGCATGTCTGCCGTCGAGGGGGCCACGGCAAATGCATGGCTGGCGGTCAACATGGCTGCCGACTTGTCGAGGGTGGACGAAGTGTCTGCCTCGATGCAGGCCACGATGGCTGTGTCGAGGGAGTACGGCAGACGTAAGGATGCCGGCAGTTCACCCGCAAACAGGCCCGCGACGGCCACGGCCTCGACGACGATGAGACGCACGATCTCGCCGATGTACCGGCCGGTGACCAGGTACTCGAGGGGCTGGTAGTCGGGCTTGATGTGGGCGCGGTTGAGGTCGTCGTCCCAGCGAGTCATGGGCAGCACGCCGCCGCCGCCAAACATGCTCATCTCGGTGTTGATGATGACATGGCTGGCCTTATCGAACCAGGCCGCGGGCCTGTCGCCGAACTTCTCGCGCCCAATGGCCCGGGTCGGGTAGTGGATGGCGACGTTTGTGCCGGTGCCGAGGATGAGGGACATGCGGGTGGACGGGTCGATGTAGGCGCGCGAGAGCAAGGTGGCCGAGCTGTCGTTGACGATGGCCTCGATGCGGACGTTGAGCTGGTGTTTCCGGCACGCGGCCATGATCAGGTCGCCCAGGTCCTCGCCGACGGTGCCGTTGGAGCAGAGGAAGCCCTTGCCCATGCTGAGCACGAGGCCAGAGCGGATGGAGGTCTGGTCGATGGGGAACGACCAGGAGAGGCCCATGGGCAGCGGCGAGGAAGAGTCCCGCCCGTAGCCCTCGTCGCCGGCCCGCAGCATGTCGAGGATGCGCAGGGCGATCCAGTCGAAGAAGGCCCGGCCCTCGAGCAGCTTGACGGGCTCGTCGATGGCGGAGGAGGCGATGCGGCGGATGTGCATGGCGCCGTGGCCGGCGAGCTCGACGAGGGCGACTCTGAAGGTCGAGCCCCCGACGTCGAGGGCCAGGAAGGTCCCGCGCTCGCAGCCGGAGGGTAAGGCATGGTTGAAGGAGGGCAGCATGCAGACGGGCGAGGACTTTGCACAGCGGTCGAGCTGCAGGCGGATGCCGGCGGCCATGGCGGCGAGGCGGGCGGTCGACAGGTGGGAGGTGAACTGGCGCTGGACGTCGGCGGCGAGGTCATCGAGGGAGCGTCTGCACCGCAGGGACGACGGCCGTTTCTCGCATGTCTTTGAGGGTGTCTTTGAGGGTGTCGTCGCTGTCGTCGCTGTCGTCTTTTGCTTCTGGGAGAGGCGGAGGAGGCGCTGCAGGACGGAGAGCAAGCTGTCGAAGAGCTGGCGGAGGCGCAGGGCGACCTGCTCGAGGGTGCCTTTGCCCATTTTTTTTTTTTTTTTTTTTTTGATACTGCAGGCTGGACAGGCTGAGGATAGACGAGAACAAGCTGCGATAGACCGGGGAAGAGTGGTGAAGAAGACGAAGACGATGGTATCTATATAGCAGGCTATGCTGTGTGCTATGCTGTGCTATGCGGTGGTGCAGGGGACGAGCGGGTGTAACTGGCCGCGCTCATGGTGAAAGACGAAGACGCCAGCAAGGACGGCAGAGACGGCGATAAAATAATAAGCAGACGACAAGACGAAGCAGCAGGAAGAAGAATCGTAAAACAAGAGCAAAAGGACAGCGCAGACGAAAAGCAACGAGAGTGGAGGCCGCAGGGTGACATCGAGAGCTGCGATGCGGGCGTTGCGAGAGACATACAACATCACCCCCCAGCACATAGACATACATACACACCATACATACTACTAAGAGCACAGCAGCAGCCATGATTAACCTCGCACGGCAGCTCCATAGACGCAGGCGAGTAGCATTGCAAGGTTGGCCTTAGTAAGGATGTAACATGGGCGAGCCAGAGTCGCAGTCGCAGCGTTAGTGTTGCCTAGTGTCGCAGCGGGCGGCTTTCAGGGGGTGGCAGGCAGAGAGAACAGAGATCGATATTAGCTAGTTATTTGATATGTACAGAAGAGAAGCGAAGAAGAAGAGGAAAATAAGAGAAAGACGGGGCCAATGCTATGATTCAAAGTAGACTTTGCTCCGGCGGGCGGCCAGCGCCTTTGCATCGCCGGCCAGCGCGGTGTGGTGCACGACGTGCGGCCGGTAGACGGCGTCCACGGGCGCCTGCCACTCCTCCAGCGCCAGCGGGAAGTACTCGTACAGCACGTCGGCCCTGTCCTCCGCCTCGCCCATGATAGCCGGCAGCTGGTGGTTCTGGTGGTGGTTCTGGTGGTGGTTACTTTGGGGTTGATGTTGGTGTTGATGTTGGTGTTGATGTTGATGTTGATTCAGGGGGTGGTGTTGGTGATGATGATTCAAGGAACCGTCGTAATGGGATGTAGATCTCTTCCGCCCGGGCTGCTCCAGCTGCTGCTCCAGCTCGGGGATAGGGAGCGAGTGCGGCGAGCTGGCCTCCTCGTCGTTGAAGGTCAGCGTGATGGGCGGGATCCCGGAGCTCATCCGCCGTCGCTTGCTCGACCGGCTCTCCTCCTCCTCCTCCTCCTCCGCCGCCGCCGCCGCTGCTGAGGGATCAGATATAACAGCAGCTGCCGCCCTCTCCTCCGTCTTGACCGGCGAGTTTCTCTTCCCGCCGCCTGCTGGTACACTGCCGGCGGGATTGGCTGGAGGACCTCCTGCGTTGGCCCTGGCCAGAGCTGCGGCCTGCGTGTTCTTCCTCGAGGCCGCCGCGCTGCCGCTCAGGGGCACATCCTTTCTGGACTGGAAGTTGCGCGGACTGCGGCCTCGCACGATGATCGGGCCCGACTGGCTCTCGCATATCGAGATCTTCGCCCCCGTCGACAGCGTCGCCACGATCTTCAGCCTCAGCACGAAATGCTGCTGCAGCTCCCGCCGCCGCCCGTTGTTGGCGGTTGCTATCCGGAACTGCAGCCGCTTCCACGCGATCGAGAAGGTAGCAAAGTCCGCGTCTGCGTCCTGGCCGCCCATGGTGTCCAGCACGACCGGCGCAGGCTCCTTTTCCGTCTTGTCTTCCACCATTCCTCCACCGCCAGCACCACCACCAGCACTACCAGCACTACCGCCGCCACTGCCACCGCCAGCAGCACTCCCCGATGCATTGGCGGAAGAAGAACCACCCGCCGGAGTCTTCCATGGCACCGAGATGATTTTGACCGGGTTGCCTTCCACCGACTCCGTGGCAGAGACCGTCAGCTCCTGCGCCAGGATGGGTATGCGGTCGCCCTGCTCCGTCATGATATACCGGAGTGTCCGCGGCAGCGTCACCGAGCCTGTGATCTGGAACAGATTCCGCCGGTAGCAGGTCAGCTCGGCCGGCCCAACGCCTACTCCTACTCCCACGCCCACGCCCACGCCCACTCCCATGCCCATTCCTACTGCGGGTGCGCCTGTGTTGACGGCCACCGGTGTGTCGCCGCCGGGAGAGGCCGACCAGCTCGACTCGGCCAGGAAGAACATCCCGTGTAGCTGCGCCGTCATGTTCAGCGAGGTCCGTCGTAGCGAGTAGTCCAGTAGAGTAAAGTTGTAGGCCGGCACCGAGAAGGACAGCAGCTTGTGGCCGTGGTCTATCGAGTCCTCCTCCGTCCCTTGTCCTTGTCCTTGTTGTTGTTGTGGTTGAAGTTGTTGTTGTTGTTGATGCTGCTGCTGCTGCTGCTGCTGTATATGCTGATGCGGCGGTTGTATCTGCTGCTGATGCGGTACCTGATGCTGCTGCTGATGCTGCTGCTGCTGCTGCATGTCGACATCAAAGAGCGTCGCGGGAATCATGTCTGCGATCTCAGGGAAGGGCTCCTCGAACTGGCTGCTCGAGAACCGCCGCATCATCGGCTGCTGCGAGTAGCTCATCTCGTCCGCACTACACACATTAGACCACTACACCGACATAGACATAGACATCGCAATAGACAGATAGAAGTAAATACCTAGGGAACGTCTCGTCGTAGGGCGAGGGCTGCGGCATCTCCATGGGCGCCATCGGGGCCATGAAGTCGCCGTGCGAGATCGCGGGCATCGGCGAGCCCATGTACGGCAGCGCCATCGCATCGTAGCCGTCCATATATGGCCATTTTTCTTTTCGTCTATCCTCTCTCCGTCTGTTCGTCTTATATAGTCCTGTGCGCCGTCTGTCGCAGTGTAGAAGAGTGGCGGCCGAGGCGGAGGCCAGCCAGGATAAGCGAGCTCTCCCTGTCACTAACTATTCCAGCCGGATCTTCGTCTTCTTCGTCGTCCTCGTCGTCGTCCTGGCCTCCGTCTTAATCTCTATCGTGTCGTCGTCGTCGTCGTCCTCGTCGTCTTCTCTTGTCACGGCCGTCTCGTCGTCCTCGTTGTTATCTGGGGTAAAGCGCAGGAAGAAGAAAAAGGAGATCTTCCGGCCTAAACTTGCTTAGCCTCCAGCTAAGGGCTTTAACTCTTCGACTAACTTAGCCTCGTTTACGGCGATGCGACTCGAAGATACACACTTGAAAAAGAGGGACGCAGAAAAAGGACGGACGAGATAGCGCGAGATAGAGAGAAAGACGCTGAGATAGATGCGTGGAGCAGCTGGAGAGCCAGGTCCGTGGTGGTGGATAGCCATGTCGCATCCCGGCCATCACTCACATACATATACATATACATATATACCATCCATACATACATCCATAACATATATCATCATCGGCCTCCCTCCCCCCCCCCCCCCCCCTACCGATCCCCTACGATCCCCAGCGGCCAACCCTGCTCTCGACAGCTGGACTCGCTGGACTCGCTCGCTAGTCTGATCGGACTGACCGGCTGGCTCTCTTTTTCATCTGCCATCCTCTCGCCCGCCCGCCTGGCTCTTCTAGAAGCTTTCCCTAGTCCCTTTTCTCCATCTTAGCAGCCTCCTCTTATAGCCCTCGCCGGTCAGGGGCCGTCGGCTCGAGAGAGCAGCAGAGCCAGAAGCGTCGAGGTCGAAAATCCCCGCTGCCGGCTAAACTCGATCAAGCAGGTGAATAGCTGCAGGCATTCAAAGTAAGTACTTAAGTCCTCAAGTATATGGTGGAATGGGTGGTCGATATGCGGAGCTCGCCGTCTCCCCCTTTTGCAGTGTTGTATAAGTAAAATAATAGTAAACGCCAAAAAAGAAAAATAATAATAGTAATAAAAAAAAAAAGAAGAAGAACAGAGAAGAACTCCCTTGGTGATGCTAACAAACAAGCAAGGAAACAGGGAAGCGACTGGCCGAGGTAAGTAAAAGGTCAGCGTCCCCAGGCGGCGGCGTCACAGGTCAGTTCCTCGAAGCTGTGTAGCACAGAGAAGCCCATCGCCGTCAGGCTGTCAGAGTTGCCATCGCCGTCAACCTAAAAAGTAGTGCAAGTTACTTTCGTCAGTCAAGAAGCCATGGCTTTAATCATCATCAGTAATCAGACGCCAGGCTACTGGCCAAGCGGTGCAAGAAGTGCAAGAAGTGCAGAGAGTGCTAAGTATAGCGCGGGCTAGAAAGAAGTATCCTTGTAGCCAGACCGGGTCGTCCTCGTACTCTGACGCACCCTGATTCGACGGAACAGGGATGCGATGGAGTCGACAAGGCAGATCGAGATACAAGAATAATATAATGAAAGAATACAAGTCAAAGCGGGTTGAAGAAGAAGAAGAAGAAGAAGAAGTAAAAAGAGGGTAACTCACGCAGTCGAGGATCACTGTGTTGCCGCCCTGCTTGCGGATCTCCTTGATGCCCAGCACGATCAGCCCTTGGACCAGCATGGCATATTCTCCGACAGACGGAGATATCACTGGCGACGAGATGCCGCCAGCACGCACTCGAGCCTCCCTGACCGCCGGCACCAGTCGAGCCAGCGACGACCGCGCATTGTACACCACCACGCTGCCCACCAGCGTCTCATTGCTGTGGCCGTGGCCGTGGCCGTGGCCATGACCATGGAGTTGGTCGTGGAGTTGGTCGTCCGCCTCCAGGCCCAGCTGCAGCCCGTCAATCATCATCTCCCCGTCTCCATCTTCTTCGGAACCTGCGTTGACGACATCATTATTATTATTGGCAGACGCAGCATTCCCGTTTGCATTAGCATTAGCAGGAGCAGGAGCAGCACCAGAGGTTATGCTTGTTTCCCCAGCTTTCTTCGCCCGTATGATGCCGCAGTGTGGCCCTCCAGCCAGCGCTGTCCGGTACACCTCCGCCACCCCCTGCCTGGAGCTCGTCCGCACATGCTCGATCACCGCATCTGTGTACTCCTCGCCAAACACAAGGTCATACTCTACCTCGCCGCCGCCAATGACGCTGCTGCTGCTCCTGCTGCTCCCGCTCCTGCTCCCGCCCTTCAGCCCGTCTGGCTGCACCCAGCTCTGCACGTCCCGCAGCACCATCGAGCACAGCGGCCGCGAGAGCGCCATCGACCATCCCAATTTGGCAAACCAGCGCCGAAGCCTCCTCCGCTCGACCGGGTCAGTCCTGGGAATGCCAAGGTAGACCCCGGGCAGGCGAGATCCCAGCTGCAGCTGCTTGATGTCCGGGTGTTGCCTGAGTGTTTGGATCGCTCGACTGTGGAGTGAGCTGCCGATGCCCAAGCGGCGCCGCGCTGGATCGACTAGTATCGCGCCTATCACCCCGGTCCCCGTCGAGCGGAAGAAGTACGTTGCGCAGAAGCCGTTGATCGCGTGCGTGCTGCTGTTGCGCACCACCAGGTGGCATTCCTGCACATCCGCACTCTTCAGCAGGAAGGTATCCGCTCTCACGTTTGCCAGGATGCTGCTGGTGCTGCTCGTGCTGCTGCTGTCGATGCTGCTGCTGCTGGGCCCCATCTCGTTGTTGTGCGTGTTGCTGCCCGTACTACTATTAATACCGCTCTCGCTCTCTCGTATCGACGTCAGCAGGGTGTCCAGCGCTGCAGAGTCTCGCTCCTCGTTCCATGTCTCGACCAGCCATTGCTGCCGGGGCTGGCTCGTTCGTCGTGCCGTGCTCTTGCTCAGCGTCCCCGGCATCCGTCCGGTAGGTGATACCTCCCCATAAAGCACCCTCACCAGCGCCTGTAGAGCTGCATCTGTAAAGTCGTAGGTACACACATACGTCCCGATCGTCGGGTCTTTGGCAAAGTCGTACGGCGAGCTCACTGCTACCACCACGACCGCCTTGGGTCGCTGGTAGCCCGCTGAGTTCCGTCTCGCACTGTTGTTGTGTGTGCTGTTATTGCTGGTACTGTTGTTCATGCAGCTGCTGTTGCAGATGAGTGAGACGTGCTTGGTGAAGCCGTGCTGGTATAGGTTCCGGTTCGAGTCTGCAGTAACTATGATCACCGCACTGGCCCGGTTAATCAGGTTCTCGTGGATAGGTCGAACGCCGCTGGCACTGTACGATGTGTGAAGAACCCTTCCGTTCCTCCGTCGGGCCAGGGACCGTCCCAGTTCGCGAAACACGGCCTCACCACTCTTCATATTGGACGACATCGAGCTCGAGGAGGCGTCGATCGAGTTTGTCGACTCTCGGCTGCGCTCACCACCAGCATGCCCTGCTGCCGCTGCTGTTGCTGCCGCTGTTGCTGCCGCCGCAGACGCCGGTAAAGGCTTGACCAACGGTGTTAGGAGTAGCAGTTCTTCATCCGGTTCGAGTATGCTGGACAACGGTAGGAGGTTGCCCCTATCCCTGACCACCGTTATCGAGCTGTTGTATGCTTGCATTGATAGGTTTGTATGCGAAGGCCGTAGTCTCGATAGCAGGCTGATTCCCGGCGGGTTCAAGGCCTGTTCCCAGTTCGTTCTCCTGGCTTTCATCGCGGATACCCTGGCCAGGGACTGCCGTATCCTCTCCTTGCTTATCATCCCGTTCTCGACTCCCAGCCTCAGCCCGCTGATGGCCTCCTGCTGCACCGTAAACGACCTGCACAGCAGCACCAAATCACATCCGGCCTTGAGGGCCATAACCGTCCCGCCTCCAACGCCAATATTGCTGCTCAATGCTTCCATCTCTAAACAGTCGGAGACCACCACCCCCTGAAAACCTAGATCGGACCGTAGTAGGTCCTCAATAACCTCTTCAGACAGACAGGCATGCATCACGTTCATCCCCTGAGATATCATCGAACAGCCGCCCACAATCATCGAGTCCAGCCCTTGAGAGATTGCGCTGCGGAAGGGGATAAGTGCGCTGAGCCGGAGCTGATCAACCGTGTCTGTGATGACTGGGACATCCGACTGCGATACCATCACCTCCAAATTCCCATATGAGGGGAAATGCTTCCCACACGTAGCTACTCCTCCATCTTGATACCCTTTCATCGACTCAACTCCGTACGTAGCAACTTCTTGCGGATCGTCTCCTACGCTGCGCACTCCCAGCGGTTGGTTTTTGCCATCTGTCAGCACGTCCAGCACCGGTCCCAGGATCCAGTTTACCCCAACAGCTCGAAGTTCCTGTGCCGTCGCCTTAGCTACCTCTCTAGCTAGCTTTGTCGAGCCCGTGGCCGCGACCCCCATGGCGCTGGGGAACTGGCGTATATACGTATCATCGAACAGACTGTTGACGCCGCCGTTCTCCTGGTCCAGTCCGATGAGTAGCGGCAACTGATGGCCGGCCTGCCGGGCGATAGTCTGAAGCTCCAGAACGAGCTTTGCCGTTTCATCTGCGGCTATCCGGGAGTTAGTTTTTGTTTTGTACCTTACAGCAAGGTAGCTAATTTATTATACGACGGTTGTAATGGGAGCGCAAAAAAGTTATGCGGAAGTAACGGGAGTAAATGAGAATGTGGGCAAAGAAAAGAAAAAAGTAAATCAAATCTCGAGAGAAGGGATGATTGTACACTTCAGGTTCTTGGCTGACAGTAAGATGGCTCCGAGATGGTAGTCTTCAATCAGCGAGCGGATCTGGGGGTCGACGGTGGTACCATCGAATCCCATGACAAAAAGCTGTCCCATTTGCCTGTATCCGATATCCAGCAGCATCGTGATGATGCCGGAAGCTTCAAGTCAGCCAATGTACCCCTCTCTGTAGTGTGTTCGTCGCATCCACGGCGCATTCGACGGCGCACGCAGTTGAATATGCTCTGGTTTGGAAGGACATAGCTGGAAAGCTTTTTGAGCCAGCCCGTAGCACCGTAGCAATGGCAGGCACAAGCCGGTATAAAGCTCCCAACAGCCCAAAGCGCAACCAGGCCAAAGCAAAAAGGTACAAAGCAAGGGCCGTCGAACGAACCTGAGGTTTGCATCCCACTCAGGGGCTGCCATGTCTGCTCTGGCCGCCATGGCAGGCCAGGCATCCCGTGCCTCTCCCCCCACGCCACCAGCGATGCGACTGTGCGTCGTAGCGTGTGTATATCAATTGCAGCGAGCTTGTGTGTGTATCGTCCGCGCGTGTCTGGCGCCCTGGAGAGACGGTGCGATCGATCGATCGATGGGACGGGCGAGTGAGACGGCGGGAGTGGGTAACTAGGTAACTCGGGGGCCGGACGGAGCTGGCGACCAGGGGAGCCCAACGCAACCCTCGGGGGAGACCTGTCACAGGCCCTGGTCGGCTGTCACGGTCGCAGTGCAGGTCGACGGCGTCCAGCATGCACGTAAGCGCGTCGAGGCCGCCTTTTTAGCCGCAAAATGAGGCTACAAGTCGCATAGAATAACAGCAAAAGCTGGAGTTGAAGTCGAGAAAGCGACAAAAGCAAGAAGAGAAGCTCAAAGAAGGTTGCTTAGTAAAAGATTAGTAAGGCTGATTAAGCAGATGACTAAATGATAAGATGAGTAATAATAATAAGATGAGTAATGTATGACTAAGATTATTACTAAGTTCTGACTAAGATTTCCTCTTTCGTCTCTCCTGCTTCTTCTTCTGCATCAACTTCAACTTCAAACGTCGAACTTCTTCCTTCTAGAGATCAACAGTCACGGCCAACATTACCGATGGCACAGACAGTCAAGTACAACAACGGGAAGTCTTCAACACTCTTTGACTCATCGACTCGATAAATGCGACGTTGCAGTGTAAGCCCCGCGTATTTACATTACGGTGTAATCTTGGATACCGCCCCGATACAGCCGATACTAGCTCTAACTTACCGCAGTTCATCTACTTCGTCGGCCTCGACTTGATACTTCGAGATGCATAAACTTGCAGGATGACTGCAGCAACGATGACAACAGTATGGTGATGGCAAGAAAAGCAGATCGCCGGTGATATGGAGAGTGGTCCAGAGAAGTCTGGAGTCGGGGTCAAGGCACCAACCTTGATCCCCCGCCCGATAGAAAACGCAGCATGAGTCTCCTCTGGAGTATACATTTGAGTTGTCAATGTATACGGCGTAGCATCACGCGCTCAGGAAAGATGTTACCTTTGGTTCAGGTTACAGTGCAAAGCAAACTATGATCCAGGACCGAGAAATGCTGGCTCCGGAGGGATGACGTTGGGTTGTGGTCAAATTGGTAAAACTTATATGAGCACTCATCGCTGCTTCGTTCTGGCCGATATCCTCTCCTTCAAGCCCAACCTCTACCATAGACTCCTTTTTTTCAGCTGAAAGAGTCTAGTCGAGTCAATATGTGGGTTTCACCCCCTGATTATTCGCTGGGTGCTATATACTGACGGCAACTAGGAGAGTGATCATCAGAAAGGACCCGGTGGCTGTGTCTGAATACATAGCAGACTACATCGTCAGTATGTTGTCCTCTGCCAATTCTTCCTACTCTTCTTGGCAGGAACCTCTCTAATATATTCATCATAGGCCGCATCAATGCGTTCGCACCATCGACTGCCAGGCCGTTTGTGCTTGGGTTGCCGACTGGAAGCAGTCCCGAGATCGTATATAGGATCCTAGTCCAGCGGTACAAAGCTGGCCAGATATCCTTCAAAAATGTGGTGACTTTCAACATGGTATGTTTACTCGTCTCTACTACATAGAAAAAGATCTAAACTAAAGTGTTAGGATGAATATGTTGGACTGCCCCGGGACCATCCGCAGAGCTATCACAGCTTTATGTACAACAATCTCTTTGCCCATATCGACATACCACCCCGAAACATCCACATTCTAGACGGCAATGCTCCTGATCTTACCAAAGAATGCCAAAACTTTGAGGCAAAGATCGCCAAAGCCGGCGGCATAGATCTCTTCCTGGGTGGAGTTGGTCCAGACGGCCACATTGCCTTCAACGAACCTGGATCCAGTCTCAGTTCACGCACCAGAGTCAAGACCCTGGCCTACGACACCATCCTTGCCAACTCCCGTTTCTTCAACAATGATCTTTCCCAGGTGCCTCGCACTGCACTTACAGTCGGCATCAAAACCATCATGGATGCGCGAGAGGTTGTTATCGTCGTGACTGGCGTGCACAAGGCTAAGGCCCTGCAAAAGGGCATCGAAGGAGGCGTTAACCACATGTGGACCCTCTCCGCTCTCCAGCTACACCAGCACCCTCTCATCGTAGCTGATGAAGATGCAACTCTCGAGCTAAAGGTGAAAACAGTCAAGGTATGCTCGCCTACTCTCACCTTATATAAATACAACCTAACAATATGGATAGTACTTTGAAAGCATCGAGCTCTCCGGCACGGACGCACGCACTCAGGGCCCTCCCCTTGTTCAATTCACAAAGCCATACGTGCCCGTGGCTCCACCGGCAGACCTCGGCACCCCCGTCAGCTCGAGAAAGGGCCTCAAAATCGACACTGCTTTCAATGCCAAAGATAGCGATCCGGACGAACTCACGCCCGACAGCATGTCTTCGCGCATCGTCGACTCTGCTATTGCGGGCCTGGACGAAACCATGACCCGTGGCGGAGATCTGATTTTCGACCGCATGGGTTCTCGAATTCCCACACAGGGATGAGATTGATGATTTGAATGCATGATGGGACGAAAGTGAAGTATTGGCTGGTCTCTTTATCTTTCTTCTCGGTCATTTTAACATAGCATTGTAGTATTTATCATTACATCCAAATTAGTCTGTACCTGGGTTGTCTATTAGTCTTTGTGTGTGTTTGGAGTGGTTTACGTGTGATGTTTGATGTATATTATGTGTTTTGCATGTGTTTAGCGTTCCGTCCAGCGTTCCGTTTGCACATATTTTTTTTTATTTCAGCATTTGCAACAGAAAGGAGCCTTAGAAATTGGTCACTTTTATCTGCCTTTTACTATTTACCACTATTTACCACTTTTGCAGTCATTTTTTAAACTATATTCATTGAATTAAATATTGAGCGGTGTGCTAGTCTGTTTACTCCAGCCAGCCGTCTCCCGCCTATAAGCCAGGTATATCGCCGAGTCAACCAACTGGATCAGCAAGCAGCATCCGGGTAGTTAAGACTAGCTAGGGAGCTACAGCTTCGTAAAGCTGGTCGCTACCACACCGCTCATATCAACCAGGGTGCTCTTTGTCCTGACCCAAGCCTCGATCCCGCGTCGACCGTTCTCAACGCCAACGCCGCTCTGCTTCCATCCGCCCACGCTCATCTCAGCCGGGGACTCCCCCCACGAGTTGATCCATGTGATGCCGGCCTCGAGCTGGTCAATTACCCGATGAGCAAGGTTGATGTTCTGTGTAAAGACGCCAGCGGCAAGACCAAGAGGTGTCTCGTTTGCTCGCCTGACCACCTCGTCGACCGTCTCGTAGTACAGAATCGACATGACGGGGCCGAATATCTCTTCCTGGACGATTTTCATCTCGTCCCGGCAGTCGGTGAAGATGGTGGGTGTGATCCAGTACCCCTTGTCAAACGATGCAGAAGGTGAACTGGCCTTGGGCTTCTCGAGCCCGCCGTACAATAACTTGGCCTTGTCCTGCTCGATGCCGTGTCTGATGTAGTCCGTCACCTTTTTGTAGTGAACATCCGACACCAAGGGACCGAAATTGGTAGCTGGGTCCATCACGTCGCCGGCCCGGACGTACTGCATCTTCTTGAGCAGCAGGCTTTCAAAGTCCGCTTTCAGGCTCGAGGGAACGAACACTCGAGTCCCGTTCGTGCAGACCTGGCCTGTACTAAAGAAGTTTGCTAGGATGGCCCCGTCAACGGCACTGTCTAGATCGGCGTCTGGCAGCACGATGAAGGGACTCTTCCCGCCCAGCTCCATGGTGACGTACTTCATGCCTCCGGCCGCAGAGCCAGCGACCTTCTTGCCGGTGGCCACCTGGCCGGTGAACGAGACCTTTGCGATCGCCGGGTGTGCGGTGAGATAGGCGCCGACGTCTCCTGCGCCGTGGACAACGTTGAACACGCCTGCTGGGAGGCCGGCCTGCGTGTACAGGTCTGCGAGGATCTCGCCGTGCAGCGGAGTGAACTCGCTGGGCTTGTAGACCATCGTGTTGCCCGCAGCCAGGCAGGGGGCCGACTTCCACAGCGCTCTATATACATCAGCCAGGTAGTCAGCGACAGGATGAAATATGGTAAGCAGAGCCAGCTCACATCTGTATGGGATAGTTCCATGCTCCAATGCCGGCACACACGCCCAGGGGCGCCTTTTTCGTGTAGACCCAGGCGTCGTCTCGTAGCTGCACCGTCTCGCCGTTGAGCCCGCCGCCGGCCACCATGCTGGCAAAGTACTCCAGCACATCCGCGCCCGTCGTCACGTCGACCGTGCTCGTCTCCGAGAAGGGCTTGCCCGTGTCCGCCGTCTCGACCCGGGCGATCTCGTCGTTCCTCTCGCGCAGCAGCTGGACGGCCTTGAGCAGGATGCGGGCGCGGGCAACATGCGGCGTCCTCGACCACGCCGGAAACGCCTTCTGCGCTGCCTTCACGGCCTGGTCGACATCAGCGCTCGAGGCCACGCCGACGTCAGCGAGCACTTCCTCTGTCGCCGGGTTGACGCTCTGGAACGTCTTGTTCGAGGTGCTGGCCTGCGGCTGGCCGTCGTAGTAGAGACGCTGCGGCTTGAACGACATCTCGACTTCTGCAACAACTGCAACAACTTCAACGATAGCAACAGCCAGCAATGCGGACGAGCAGCAACACCGCTTAAGATCGAGCAAAAGCCGAAGAGCCCCTCACGGTGATGTCACTCTGCATGCGAGCAGCTTCCTTTTCGTCTTGGCCGCGAGGAAATTAAGCAGAAGCGAAAAAAGGGCCATCTCCGAGGTCTCGGTTTCAGCGCAACCCTAGGGGACAGGCCCATATATCGCCCGGGCAGATCTGGCGACACCGTCATCCCACCCAGCGGAACAAGTGGAGGAGGCGCAAAAGTCAGAAACAGACGAAAACGAAGGGCGGAAGAGGGTCCCCTAACGGCCTCCCCCGTACCGCTGCCTCGACGGCCTTCAGTAGTGGTCGGTGGTCAATTGGGGGCAGTCTACGGAATCCCTGTGCTAGATCGCTGCCGACCCCAGCATCGACTCCGGACAATTGCTGGCCATACGAAGCGCCGTTTGACCCAGCTCGATGCCATGATTTGCGCACTCGAAGGCCCCATGTCCAGCCCGGTGCAAGCTCTCGCAGCGAGCGATGGCGCGGAAGCATGTCCAGAGACTCCGGTGGCCAGGGATTCGATCTCCAACTCGCCGCCTGTGGAGACGCTGCAAGATGGCCGTGATTGGTGCCGCAGGGACAGGTCGATGGAGAAAACGAGCTGGAAGTTATCCAGAGTTCGTTTCTCGGCGAGCAGTTTATCTTTTTTTTGCCCTACCCTTCCGTCGTGGACGGGGGCGGGCGAAGGAATCAGGTCATTTATAGGACTCTATATATATCAGGGGAGCCGCCGCCTCAGGGTCCTCTTCTCCTGGTGCCTGTTCCCATCCCTCCTGATACTAAAGTCATTGCCGCCAGGGGCTTGCTCGCACCGCTCTTTTGGATAACTACAACTGCCGACTTCGCAAACTCGGAGTACGCTTAGTGTTTCCCTTTGCCTACCCAGATTCGACGATACACCTGTTTGAAATGGCCAGCCCAGTCACTCACATTGCCCCGGCAGATGCCGACAGCTTCGACTATGTCATTGTTGGCGGTGGCACGGCCGGCTGTGTGATTGCTAGCAGGCTGGCAGAGTATCTTCCACGGAAGAAGATCCTGCTCATCGAGGCCGGCCCTAGCGACTACATGGACGACCGTGTTTTGAAGCTGAAGGACTGGCTGGGCTTGCTGGGCGGTGAATTCGACTATGACTATGGCACGACCGAACAGCCCATGGGTGAGTTTTGCAGGCATTGACTCGAAGTAACTTGTTTAACGAGCGGGAAGAAGCTGACATTCATATGTGCAGGTAACAGCCACATTCGCCATTCTCGGGCAAAGGTGCTGGGAGGCTGCTCAAGCCACAACACCCTAATTTCCTTCCGTCCGTTTGAATACGACTGCAAAGTGTGGGAGAGCAAAGGCTGCAAGGGCTGGAGCTTCGACACCTTCACTCGTGTGATCGATAATCTCCGCAACACCGTGCAGCCCATCCACGCCAGGCACCGCAACCAGCTCTGCAAGGACTGGGTGCAGGCCTGCTCGACCTCGCTCAATGTCCCTATTATTCCCGACTTTAACAGAGCCATTCGCTCCGAGGGCAGACTGACCAAGGGAACCGGCTTCTTCTCGGTGTCTTATAACCCGGATGACGGCCGCCGCAGCAGCGCCAGCGTTGCCTACATCCACCCCGTCTTCAGCGGAGCGGAGAAGAAGCCCAACCTCACCGTCCTGACTCACGCCTGGGTGTCCAAGGTTAATGTCAGCGGAGACACCGTGACCGGAGTTAACGTCACTCTCCAGTCAGGCTCCAAACTGACCCTTTGCCCCAAGCGGGAGACCATCCTCTGCGCCGGCGCAATCGACACCCCCCGTCTCCTCCTGCTCTCCGGCATTGGACCACGCGAGCAGCTCTCCGCGCTCTCCATCCCCGTCGTCAAGGACGTACCTGGTGTGGGAGAGAACTTGGTCGACCACCCCGAAAGCATCATCATGTGGGAGCTCAACCAGCCCGTTCCACCAAACCAAACCACCATGGACTCCGATGCAGGTGTCTTCCTTCGCCGCGAGCCCATCAACGCAGCCGGATTCGACGGTGACTGCGCCGATATCATGATGCACTGCTACCAAATCCCATTCGGCATCCACACCGGCCGTCTGGGCTATGACGTCCCCGCCAACGCCTTCTGCGTCACCCCCAACATCCCCCGCCCTCGCTCCAGAGGCAGACTCTATCTCACCTCTGCCGACCCAACCGTCAAGCCAGCCCTTGACTTCCGCTACTTCACCGACCCAGAGGGTTACGACGCTGCTACCATCGTAGCTGGTCTCAAGGCAGCCCGTAAGATCGCTGAGGAAGAGCCATTCAAGAAATGGATCAAGCGTGAAGTCGCCCCGGGCCCAGCCACCACCACAGACGAGGAATTGAGCGCCTACGGCCGATCAGTCCATCACACCGTCTACCATCCTGCTGGCACCACTAAGATGGGTGACGTCCAGAACGATCCTATGGCCGTTGTCGACCCAACTCTCAAGATCCGTGGACTCAAGAATGTCAGAATCGCAGACGCCGGCGTCTTCCCTGACATGCCTAGCATCAACCCCATGCTTACTGTCCTGGGCGTTGGTGAGCGCGCAGCTGAGCTGATTGCCGAGGAAGCAGGATGGCGCCCATCTTCCTCTCGTCTGTAAACCACTGTTCACGACGAAAACCATCCAATTTTAACGAGTTCGGATGATCTAAAACGGTTCTGGTGTCTTTTCCCATTTTTGAATATATATATACCATCCGGGCAGCATGTTTTTCCTTTCCTTTAACATTTTTCCCTGGCTTTGGGATCCAGAATTAGATCCTCGATATATAGAGAAGCAATAACGAATGTTATGTCTATACAATTTCATCCTTTGCAGTATCAAGTGAAGGCTCACATGCCAACAAGTTGATAGATGGTAATGATGGATAGATAGATGGTAATACACTGGTAACTCTTAAGAATTTCGATGTACTACGTTACAAAAAAAATACGTTGATTTGCCTCGTCTTATCCGGAATTAGGTTATAAAAAGACCCACTTTTGTTATCGATAAAGAAAAATCCGTCTTCGGACCTGGCCGTGTTCTCAATATGGTTAGACTGAAAATATTTTCCTCCTTTTGTCCCATGGGAGCACCTGGCGCTAACTACTTTCGGCATTGACTTTGCCGCTTCTGGAACAGCACTTCTTTGGGACTAGCGGACAGTGCTGTACAAGCTAGTCCCAATCAGGCTAGACGGTATATAAAAGTGACCTTATTTTGACGCCGAATTCAACGTATTTACGGGAAGGAAAGATGCAATGCTGTTGCTGAATATCATCTATTATTATACACTTTTGTCATCTATCATAACCTCATAATCAAGTTTAGATGTAAACTGTAGCTATTTAACATGCGTTCATGCCGGAAAACACAAATCAATGCAAGCGAGTGTCAATGCAAAATGAAATACAAGGGTAGACACCAGATCTTCGAGCCTTCCTTCAAGCCTTCTCCTTATCAAATACCTTGACACCGAACTTCCACACCTGGTCAACGGTCAGGGTGCCCATACCTCCATCAGCAGGTCTGTCTTCTCCAAGTACCACAAGGTCTGCATCTGCTCCCGGGGCCAAGGTACCCTTTCTATCAATTATACCCAACATCTTCGCCGGAGTCTCGGTAACGGCAGCAATCGCCTCGACGGTCTTGGCTCCAGCCCATCGGCGGAAGTTGTTCACACACTCGATCAAAGTGGCTGAACTTCCGGCCAGCTTATCTGATCCCTCCAGAGTGAGCATGGCGCCTTTCTTCACGATTCGGTCTCCGTTGGTCCACTCGTAGACACCGTCAGGCATACCGCATAGCTTCATTGCATCCGTCACAAGGATCATGCCGGCCGGATGGGCGTTGTATGCTATCTGGATGCTGGTGGGATGCAAGTGGATTCCATCCGCAATGATACCATAGAACGGACGATGTTGTTCAAACTGGCCCAGAAGACCGAAGATACCTGGATGACGGTGGTAGAAGGGTCTCATGGCGTTAAACATGTGTGTGATCATGGTTGCTCCCTTTGAAACTGCCGCCATGGCTTGTTCGTATGTTGCATCCGAGTGGCCAATCGAGTAGAGGATGTTCTGTGACTGGATTGTCGGGATAAGAGATAACATGTTGCCCACCTCGGGAGCGGCGGTTATCATCTTAATAGGCATGCGGTCTGGAGGAGTTTGGTTCTTGCAGAAGTTCTCTAGCCCGTAGCACTGGATGAGGTCGTTGACGTCGTTTGCAGCGATGAGGACTTCGGGATTATGTATGCCATTCTTTCCTGGGCTGAGGAACGGACCTTCAACGTGGGCGCCGAGGGACTCTGCGCCATCTTCTGCCCGACGGCGATGACCAGATGGTCCTAGAGATGGTAGGACCTTGTCCAATGTTAGTCAACGTTATACCCAGTTAAACGGAGGACGACCTACCTTTGGATATACTTCTTTACTCTGGCTGGTGACCGTGGGTAGGTATGATGTCACTCCCATCTTCACCAATGCCTGCGCAGCATCCCTCAGCCCATCATCAAACATCTTTTTCGTCGGCTGAGGGACCGAGAAATCAAACCCGTTTGCCCCGTTTATCTGCACGTCGATAAAGCCTGGGGCAAGGATACGTCCACCCAGATCAATGACCTGATCAGGACACACCTTATCTTCATAAAAGGCATGTTGGCCCTGCATGATCTTGCCAGAAACAGAGTCAACCCAGAGATCTTGTTCGATAAGCTTCTGCCCGTTGGGTACACGGCAGTTCGTAAACTTGGTGACCCGGGGAGCAAGGACTTCTCTGGTAATCGACGGCATGGCGTCGATATATCTTATACCAGCAGAGATGCGCGACCCTTTATGAAGAAGAAGGCAGGCAGAGGGTCAAGATATTTTTGATTTGAAAGTGTGTGGTGGTAGTCGGAAGACCGAACTACGACAAAGCTCTTGAACCCCATGGGACGAATGTACGAGATTATATGTCTCTGGTATTGTTTGCCTTCCCGGAGTTCCCTTCATTGGCCCCCATCTTCCTCCAATAGGCGGCTTACCTTGGAGCAGATGTTGTCGCCGTCCTAGGTTGGGCCATCCTCTGTTCCATCTGGCAGAGAGCCTCGAAGTTGCCGTCGCATCCAAACAGCCCTCTGCCTGTTCAAGCAATGAAGTCATAAATGCGACATAAGAACCTTATTTCCTCGCCGTTTTGGGTGGAGTCCATACGCGAAACACAGACAATACGGTTTTAAAGACGGTATCGTATGGTAACTCCGCAGAATCAAAAATACGATAAATACCACGGTATCCCAGGTTTCTGACTCAGCGATCACATGACACCTGATGCAACCAAAGACGGAAAAAGGAAGTTTGACGTCGCAGAACGAGACGGCGAGGGCGGGCAAGGGGCAAGATGGATGGGATGGGAGGATATCACCCCAGACGCTCTGCAACCCAAAGGAGAAGCTGGTGGTGTAGGCGTGTAGACGAGGATATGTGGTGGGGGGATGATCCTGGAGCGATAACCATTATGGAGGGCGGATGGTACCATAGCAGGCGGACGTTACTGTCGCTGATATACCCCAAGCAGGCGTTCCCATACTTCCCAATAAATTATTATTATTCCGAGAACGAGGTTGTTCTTTGTGGAGTTGAAGGCAAGCTTTGATACCCCAGATAACCGCGGGCGCTAGGCCAGGGGTTGGCCCGAGCCAGGCGCGCTTGCTGCTGACTTAGACGCGCGGATAACCACTTGATACCAAGTGCCATTTCAATATATGCATTGGCATGCATATATCTTCTGGTATATAGCCATCTATCTATAACTCATATAGATACTGGGATATTTCCTGTATAGTCTGAAGTTGCTTGATACCCTCGATATCTTCCGTCTATCTTGACTTGAAGTTGATGGCAACGTCCACAGTAAATGTAGGGAGAAAGTGAATATCATCAATATGGTAACCAAGAGCACTACCATAGAGGAACTGCCACTCTTTAATGATATACCCTAGATATCAGATGTCTTATGGAACATTCTAGCTGTCCTGGTAGAATGATGTGAGCTGCTTTACATGACACTCTCACCTTCCTCTCTGTCCTGTTGCTATAGAAATGGCGCTAAGGACAGAGCCCAGCCCCCATTTTCCAAAGTGAGGTGAGGAACCATGTAGAATGCACTCTATAGCCTGCTTTTTGGCGCTATTTTCCTCGCATTCCTATGTGTATCCTCTACTTTGAGCTCTCACTTCTTCGCTTACTGCTTTTGCCCTCTCTTTTCTGTCCTCCTCTCTCACCTTCTACCACACACTCCCACCTCTTTATTTGAATCTCTTTAACCATCAACTTCTTCTTCCTTTCTTCCTTTTTCCTTTCTCCTTCAGCCACCTTCTTCTTTCTCTACACCCCGTCTATCATCCTTTCTGCTCTACTAAACGCGTCGTTCACGGCTCTACAACTTCTCTACACAAGGTAAACAATCTATTCTAATCCCATAAGGTCCGGACTGATGCTGATATCACCTTCCTTTGATTATTAGCACGCATATACAGTCTCCTGTGAAGATGACTTCTGTAGCCTCTGGTCCGGATGCAGCCATTCCCGTGGGAACCTACCAGCATAATGGTCCCAGATGGATGTATCGACAGCTGAAAATTGGCCGTTTCTATACCCCATGGTTTGCATCTCCTGTGGCACAGCTTATCTTGGTGTCCTTGGTCTGCTTCCTTTGCCCTGGCATGTTCAATGCTGTTAGTGGCCTTGGTGCAGGTGGTCTTGTTAACCCTCAGGATATCGATAAAGCCAATGTTGCCCTCTACAGCACCTTTGCGGTTGTGGCCTTCTTTGCAGGCTCCATTGCCAATCGGCTTGGTCTTCGCTACACCCTTACTTTTGGTGGATTCGGTTACTTTCTCTATGTTGCCTCTATTTTGTCCTACAACCATAACAAGAATGCTGGTTTTCTCATCTTTGCTGGAGCTCTCCTCGGTGTTTGTGCCGCCTGTCTTTGGACTGCTCAGGGAACTATCATGATGAGCTACCCTGATGAGTACTCCAAGGGCAAATTCATCTCCTGGTTCTGGGCTATCTTCAACTTGGGCGGTGTCATTGGCTCATTGGTAAGTAATCCCCCCTTTCAGCCATCCAATCCATAGCGAACACTAACCTTCTGTTCGAAGGTTCCCCTTGCCAATAACCTTCACAACAAGTCCAACTCTGTTCAGGATAGCACCTATATCTTGTTCATGGTCCTCATGTTTGTTGGCTTTCTCCTTGGCTTTGCTCTTGTCAATGCTAGAGACATCAAGCGTTCAGATGGCACCCGTGTCATCCTCATGAAGAACCCATCCTGGAAATCTGAACTCATCGGCCTTGTCACCGTTCTTAAGTCTGACTGGTACATTATTGCTCTCTTCCCCATGTTCTTTGCCAGCAACTGGTTTACCACTTACCAATTCAATGCCGTCAACTTGGCCAAGTTCAACATCCGTACTCGTGCCTTGAACAATGTTCTCTACTGGATTTCCCAGATGATCGGCGCCTTTGTCTTTGGTTATGGTCTTGATGCTCCTCGTGTTCGTCGTTCTATCCGCGCCCGCTATGCTCTCGTTTCCCTCTTCCTCATTACTATGGCGATCTGGGGTGATGGATGGTTCAATCAGAAACAATATGACCGTGCTGATGTCACTGAGACCAACCGTATGGACTGGACTGACCCTAACTATGCTGAACCAATGGTCCTCTACATGCTCTATGGATTCTATGATGCTGCCTTCCAGACCTGTGCTTACTGGTATGTTGCTTTTTTCTCCCTACTCTCTTTAACTTGTCCTATAACGACTAACAATCTCTATCCCTGAATAGGTTCATGGGTGCCTTGACTAACAACTCCCGCAAACTTGCCAACTTCGCTGGTTTCTACAAAGGCATTCAATCTGCTGGTGCAGCTATTGCGTGGCGGTATGTATTTTATCTTTGTATACATACTATTGATGTATCACTAACAAATTTGTCTATAGCATTGATAGTCTCGGTGTCTCTTACCGCGCGATGTTCATCTCTAACTGGGCTCTCCTTGCAAGCTCTTTGATCATCGCCGCGCCCGTTGTCTGGAAGAAAATCAAAGACATCACTGATATTATGAAAGATCTGAAGTTCTCCGATGAGAACCTGGAGGAAGTTTCCACCGCTGCTGCTATGGAGCTGCGTGGTAGGTAGTCCATCACTTACAGCTTTTGTTTCAGCCCCATCAAGCCTCCTGATACTTAAGCACTACTACCCTTACAGCTATAGGCTGTTCTCTTCTTTTTTTTACTCTTTGATACAAGTCCCGTTTTGATGACTTTATCTTGATCTTTCATCCTCATGTTTATGCTCAGGGCATTGGAATTTTTTCCTCTGCCAGAAGCCATCAAAGTTGTTTGTTCTAGCCCTTAGTCTTTCTTACAGCTAAGGATGAAAAATCCAAAAACATTTGCTTTATAAATCTCCTTCGCTTTCACCGTAGTTTTAAGGACAATCCTATATCCAATGATTTAAGGGTTGTTGCTAACCTTACTTCAAGGCCTAAGTACCCAGAAACTTTGTAGAAGTAATCCACATAGGAATATGGAGTACTTCCCTGGTTACTCTTTACATAATTCTAAGGAGGAGGAATAGTACTTAAACCAAGGACAGCTAAGGACATCAACAGGGGACATTTCTAAGAGTATTTTATATACATAATCATCGTATCATATCCTCTATCTCTAAGGGTCGTGAAGCCAAGCCTGACCGTCTATATCCATACCCAAATCCGTACTCTCAATTTCCTTGAGTTCTTCTAATTTTTTATCGTTATCATCAAATTCTCCCTTGATAAAATCATCTCCAAGCTCAGGTAGAGTGAAGGTAGCATTGATAGCATCATCTGTAGTCAAGAAATCTGTAGCAGTGTTTTCGTCAAAGTTGATCAACGCATCTAAGTCGTTTTGAGTAATATCCGCTTCGTGGGCGAGGGTCATGAATTCAGCTAGACTGGGCTCTGAGGGATCAGTGCTGGTGTTCAAAATATCATCCACAGTAGGATCGTGGCTTATATTTTGCAGACTTCCATTCTCACTGCTTGCTGAATTTGGCGGCGTCGAAACAACAACTCCAAAGTTGTTGGTGTCGACGGGCTGTTCGACATTACCTAGGTCGGACTTTAGGGACAAAACTGGATCTATGAAGCATTCTGGGCTCGGATCTGGCGGGGGCGTAAGGGTGTTCACTGGTTGTTCGGGTTTGACCCTTTGTGGCTGCTTCTCCTGCTCCGTTGGCTCGATGTTTATGTGAACGCCTGCTTTACGGATAGCGGCTTCAAGGAACGAGGTTGCAAAATCGGCAGATGCATAGATCTCGCGCAGACGTTGCAGGATTTGCATACACTGATAAAATCGTCCAAGGCTGGCAGATCGCAGGTTGATGTCACTTGACTTGATATCGAGTAAGTGTATAATGACAGCCGGAAGGAGAACAGTAACTCCGCTTGTCGGGAGGTATCGCGTCAAATCCAAAGTATGTAGCTCCTGAGCAACCTTTGTGATTTCCACCGCCGCAAGTCTGACTTTCGCTCGAGAAAAGGATTGTAGTTCCGCTTCGATCGTGGTCGTAGAGTTAGCCGGTAGGACTTGTGGTCGGTGTAGGGCACTCAGGGTAGTCAAATAGATCATCTGGAGAAGGCCACGGTGAAGGTGAAGCACTTCCTCTCCACGAGATAAGCTCCATGAAGTCGAAGGGCGATACACGGTCACATCCGGCTGTCCGGATTTCCAACTCTCAAGCTCAATATCACATGCTCTAACTTCACAAGCTTCTGTGGCAGTTTTCTTCGGCACCAACATCATAGTGGTTTCGGTTGTGCCGCCAAATTTATGGCCAAGCACAGAATACTGTGCTGACAGGACGTGGCTGATGCACAAGCATAATTTCGTTTTCTCAATGAACATCATGGCAAGGTCCTTCTGATACCTGACGTTATGGGTCAACTCGCAGTCTCCTAGAACCTGAAGAACTTCGGTGGAAAAGGGGGCGATATCAAAATCATCAATCGTCAGCAAGGGCATGTCGCAATCTTCGTCCTTTATTCTAGTAGGTCTTCTCATCCCCAGAGCAATGAGTCTATCGCGGGTATAGGTACTCCACCATATTCTCTTCCAAAGCTTCTGTCGTTTTGCATCCATGTTTGAAGTTGACGGGTCTCTGTGGAGGCCGATGGTATGAGCAAGAGAAAGTCCAACGCCCATCCAATGCCATGTGTCCTTTTGGTCATCCGGCATTTCATACCAATGCGTCATGAGAAGTATCGACTGGACAAGAGATATCCGATCGGACTCGTAATCAAAGTCATATAGAAGCTATGTCAAATCAGTAATTGGTTTCTCTAGTTGCCCGTGGAATTATTCTATACACACCCTTGCTTTTTGAAAGAAAGCTTTGCGAGCAGCCTTCCGCGACCCAAACCCAGCAGCCTGTAGATGCTTGATATCGACAAACGCAGTTCCGGCAAACATAACTGCCTGGAATAACAAAAGACTCAATCTCCTTGATGCATCATTTCGCATGATTACACGTAGAAAATCGTCCAGGTCGAGTAGAGGCATATACGTATGCACGTATTGGATGTAACTCTTAAGCAGCTCGTTCCTAAGAGAATCACTGGGGATAGTCAAGGCCCCCTTTCGTTCCAGGTAGTCGATGTCTTCCGTCAAGAATTTACATGGGAGAGGCTGGATATAATCTGGCAGGCTGTTCCTGGGGGAAGGTCGAGGAGGTGGGGAGCGCATCTGTCCAAGCCCGGTAGATATCAAAGGCGTAGCTGTGACCTTCGGTGGTACGGTGTAGAGAAATGGAGAGTTGATAGTTGTGCTGCTCGATAGCCGTCTCCTCCTTTCCTCATCTTGCATACGCTGTCTCTTCTGGGTTTGATCTTAACAGAGTTCATTAGTAACAGCCACACAGGGATAGAAGGAGGGTATCTCACATATCATATGAGGCACATGCTGTTCGTTCTCTGGGTATCTTCCCGGCGATACTGAGGGCCATGAATCAGAGAGAGACGGGAACAGCCTGTTAGAATCAGACTTGTTGCCGAATATAGATGAATGATCCGGCGACGAATCCTTCGGTGTTTCCACCGCAAGCTCGACATGATGTTTCCTATACAATCCTTTTAGCTGGCGTTCCATTCATGAAGGGTTTCGGTCTACTGGTGGTGAAGTCCAGCGGTTACTGACTTTTTGCGTTTACTCTCTGCAACGACACACTCGACATCATCTAGACGGCAATTGGTACATGGAGAGCCATTCTCAACAACATCACAACGAACTTTGCGAGCCCGGCAGCAACAGCAAGCCTTTGATGCTCTTCTTTTGACTGGGCGAGCCGAGTTCTGTAAACTGGCCGCGTTGGACTTGCGTTTATTCTTAGACAAATTGTTGTCTAGAGATTCGGGAGACGAGACCATGACGAAGAACAGTGTCCCAACGTGTTATTGCATGAACTGCGGCGGGACGGTGATAATGATGGTTACAGGCGTAGAAACATGAACAGAATGAGAAGCAGCAAAAGCGGACGTGTACTCCGTATAAGTATACGAGTGTATATGACAAAAGGGCGTGGTCTGTATCAACAACTTGCTTGGAAGGAAGAAAAATGTCAAGAACAGAACAAGCGTGGGGTATGGGTGGGATGGAGCTTTCTAATATATGGAGGCCTCGAACTTCAAGACATCGTCATAGCCCCTAGGTTTCTCGGACTTATACACAGGCAAAAGGGGGGGACGGCATTATTGGCCAGTAATGGGGCGAGACCGTACTTATACTTCTTCCCCAGACCCCTGTAACTATAGAGCAATTCGAGTTTGGGGAAATAATCTTCTTGGACAGTGGGGAAGGTTGTGTTTCTTTAGTGGAGATTGGAACGCTTCAGAAAAGACGGGTTCACCCCCCCGGCGAATGTCGAGTTCGGAATATGTCCTTAATCTTTCTGGGGATGCGCCTAGTTATGTACAGACAGAAGTGTTGCAGACCAGCTTTTGACGTTCCTGGATCGAGCTTAGGGATAGCAATGCTGGTGTTGCTGCTGAGGGGTTGTTTGTTTTTGGTTTTTTTTTTTTTTTTTTTTTTTTTTTTTTTTTTCGCTAGGTTTTTGTCACACGACATCTTCCACCCGGCCGGGCGAGTGCAAACTATCGGCCAAGCCCATCTTCGAAAGTTGAAAATGCGTACGAGTACCGTAGTAAGTAATTTATGGAGTACTCCGTTTCGATGGATCTATACTGCCGAGATCCCGCAATTGGGAATCTGGAATCTGTCAAGACAAAGCTACCTTGTGTTTGAATTCAATCCCAGATTGTTATTGGGACAGGTACTGTGCCGAACCCAAACCATGAATCATAATTCTGAGTTGCCCCTTAAGGCTGTAAAAAGGGCCAACTAACTAACTAGTTGGAGAAACCCCCCCAGAAGTTGGAGATATTCGATGGTGGCTGCGTAAGTGACGACATGCAGGATACCCCCCTCGTGGTGCATTAAAAATGCTCATGGATCGGACATGAAAAAAAAAAATGTCAAGTGGTCACAGGCAAGCTTGACGTGGAGCTGCATGCCACCCTGTACGACCAAGCTCCACCCCTGTAGATGTGCAGCACGCCTCGTGGAGTTAGTTTCTAGCACCATATCAGGGCTGGCGAAGGGGGGTGAGGAACCCAAACGCTTCTAGCAGAAAAGGCGGAGAGGGACCCCGATCGCCCAGTCCCAGTTCTGTCTGGCTCGTGAGAAGTCGGTCAAGTTTGAGAGGCTCGGAAAGAAGGCCGTTGGGAGTGAGTGGCGGCCCCTTCTGTCTGCCACCAGGTCAGGAGTGCCATGGTGACGGCGAAACCTCCGGCCGAGCCTCTGCCTGTGATTGGTGGCCAAACGCAAAATGGCATTGCTTACTCCGTACGTAGGCTTTCCGCAATACGAATGTGTTCGGTCTCTGTCAAGCTCTTGTTTCAACCCTTGCTCGGATCACGGCACCGTTCAGCCAGGGAGTCACAAAAGCTCAATAATAATGGCCATGCTCCTTTCTTGTGTGCCGGCCGCCAACGACCATCATCAACCATCCTGGCTGACGACGCGAGTCCTTAAAGTCTCGTCTATCGAAGCTGAACTGTCTTATAGTCATCTCGTAGGATGATAACTAGTTGATGCTGTGCGAGGTGGCCATCCTCAGTCGCGAGCAGCCCTTACTCTCTGTCTCGCACGAGTCGCCGTACGAGTCGCCAGTCGTCTCATCTCTCCAACTAGTGGCAGTCCATAAGTCACAGTTAACCAGGCAGTCGCTCCTTGTCCTGGCTCCAGAATGCTCGTCTGCCCGTCTGCCAAAGTCTTGATGTCGTTGTTTTGGCGTTGTTGGCGTTGCAGAAGAAACGAAAAAGGCAGAAAGTCGGTGCAAGTTCGGCACATGACCTCGTAGCCGCTGCTAGTCCCGGAAGGGCAATTGCTTGCAGCGAGATCGGAATCTCCACCACCACCACCACCACCACAAGCAACAAGCAACAAGCAACAAGCAGCACCAAGCAGCGGCAAAAGCATGAAGAGGCATGAAAAGCATGGAACAGGTGTCAGCATGAAGCAGCAGAGCAGAGAGGAGAGAGGACGGCCATGGAGGATTCATGCATGCAGGGAGTCACGGCGTTGCGGGCGGCAGATGCGACGACGGCCAAGGTCGTGAGTTTCCGCAGGCAGATTTACATATTTGACACTTGACAGTCCGGCTCACCATGCAGCGCAGGTTTGGTGAACTATATACGTCGACGGCCTCCTCCGAGTCGTAGTTACGCAAGCGTAGCTTTCAAATGGTTTCCTGCTGAGTAGTAACTGGTATACGAGTGCTGGTTGGTGTCAAAGCGGCCGATGTCGAAGTCTGGGGTGACGACGAATGATAAGCTATGGGGTCCTTGGCCAGGGGCCTCTGCATCGGCCTCGCTAACTGGTTACGGAGTCCCTGAGGGACGGCAGCCTCAGGGTTGGTGAAAGTGCAATTTTAGACCCTGTTGGTGGCAGGGCGGCTAGGATATTGCTTTTGAGGGAGCTCATTTCGCCTACGGAATGCCACCGGCTGGCTACCCGTTGGCCCGACCACTCCATTGCAGAGACAGCTGTCCACAGCTAACGACTTACTTAGCCTTCCAAGGCAGCGAGGTAGGTATAGGATGTAACTGCGGTTGGGTAGACGCTCCCGATCAAGAATGTATCCCGAGAGCAGTGACATCAGCTCGGTCATCTGCAGCTATATTATTATAGCTACTCGGTACTTCTTATAGCTCCTTATATTGCTCTCTCTATGGAGTAAACTTGAAGCCCAAGCAGTGACTCGCTTGCAGGATGGTCTCTGTCCAAAGACGGAGCCATGGGCCTTAATATGGCCAGCTAAGACCCGACTACATACTTAGCTGCTTCCAAAGGAGCTGTTCTTCCTGGCGGGCCCTTTCCACTGCCAGAGCCTTCTCTTTGTATCAATGACGGTCGCATCAAAGATAGTGGTTGATATTGAACGAACATGAGCTGTTCAAATCAAATATCATCAACCTTCGTCAGGCCAAAATTTGGTTCTCTCCAAATCCTATTTTTAGCATCACAGAACTAACCAAAAGAAGAAGAAGGCAGCAACATTCTCGCTGCAGCATAAAATGGTCGAGTCTCAGCGAGATGCTTGCGGAGCCAGACCTCCTGATATTGTATATTTACATTGTCAAACAGATAACTAGTTACTTGCCACGATGAAGATAGCAATAATCGGTGCCGGCATCAGTGGATGTGCGGTCTATCTCGCCTTGAAGAAGAGACTCCCAGCCGGAGAGGAACATGAATACACCATCTATGAAGCATACGAAACCTCAGCATCATCTCCACAAAACTATGCTGATGGAGATGTACATTCCTCGAGCTTCGTCGTGGGTGCCGGACTGGCAATCTGCCCAAACGGCTTAAGCTGCGTCAGACGGCTTGATGAAGATATATACCACACCATTACTAGGATGGGATACCCATACGCATACCAGCAAATGAAAAGCTCCCATGGATGGAATCTCATGAAGATGGAAGCCTCTGGCTCGAATCCAAAGATCAACTCTGTCTCGTTGAGTCGGCATGCCCTGTGGCGATCCTTTCGAGATCGTGTCCCGGATGATATCGTCGTCAACAAGCGAGTGGCATCAGTCGTTGCGAAGCCAGATGGACGAAATATTATCAAGTTTGTTGATGGTAGTCCAGATGTAGAGGCAGACTTAGTCATTGGTGCCGATGGACTCAAGAGCGTCACTAAGTCAGCTTTGTTTCCGGAGGATAAGGAAGACCGATACCCACCACATTATGAGTGAGTCTCTTTTCGACTATATTACCGAATGAACAAAGAGGCCATCTGCTCAAGTATGAGTTTGCCCAGCTAACAATGCCTCAGAGGAGTCGCTGGAGTAGGCGGGTTCTTCCCGGCTGACCAACTACACGACCAAATCGAGCCGGGTACCATGAACCTGGTCTTCGGCGGAAATGGGTTTTTCGGCTACTGCTACACCAACAGTGACAAGGATGAGCCAAATCGCCATATACCTCAAGGAGTACTCAAACCAGGCAACACGGTAATGTGGTGGTCTACATACGAAGCTAAAGAATGTCCCGATACCAAATCCATAGACAAAGCCACCATCATCCAAGACGTAAAATCCCGACATGCCTCGTGGAAAAGCCCCGTGGTGCAGAAAATACTCGCTTCAGCAGATATACAGAACATGTATCCTGTCTGGACTGTGCCGGAACTGCCTACGTGGGAAAGACATGGAGTTGTACTGATTGGTGATGCGGCACATGCTCTCCCACCTACTTCTGGACAAGGTGTGTCTCAGGCAATGGAAGATGTAGAGTGTTTCTCTATATTACTGTCTCATAGCTTGGGCAAGGAAGGCCAGGAATCTTCCGAGGAGAGTGCGCTTAAGGCTCGAAAGGCGAGTATATCGTGGGCAGCGAAGAAGTTCATGGGTATACGCATGCCTCGGATCAAGGCAATTATCGACCAGGCGAGGAAATATCAAATTCAGAAGCGGAATCTTTCTGTCTTCCAGGAATGGTTTATGTATTTGATGATGTACCTTATGAGTAAGTCGGATCTTTTGGGTGTTAAGGGAACAGGCACTAATGACCCGTTTATAGGTTTCTTTCCAGCTCCGCCTTGGGTCAAGGAAATATATTCGTATGATATTGAGAGTGAAACCCGAAAAGCCATTGAAAAGTCATAGCTATCGTTGGAACTTGTCCAAGGGGAAAGATTGCCCACCCAACCCTAGCCTCGTAGCCCGAATTGGGTTTATATATCTGTATAATAGGACCTCCCTACTCCCTACTCGTATATAATTTTTTTTTTTTGGTCAATTAATTAAACCTGGAAATCTCATTGCTGTGTGGTATCTAGGTGGACAAGCTAGTCAAAAAAAACAAACACCAACATAACAGAAGCATCAGACTCATAAACATCAAAAAAAAGGACCATAAAAAGGTTAGCAAGCAGATTCGTGATTAGTACTGTAGTTCCGGGCTTCTAATCAATTGCCACCTCTTCCCATTCTTTCAATCGAGCTCATAATGCCACTTCGGCCAGGGGTTTTCGCCATAGCGATGCCACTGGGAGCGGCTTTAGTGCCAGATGGAGCTCCAAAACGTGGGATTCGGGGAGTATGGCTTTGTGGAAGTTGACGGGGACGGGAAGAGGTAGAGCTCTTTAGTCCAATATTGCTGCTGCTGCTGCTGCTCGCAGCTGGCGTTGGCTGGGAAATAGGCATCTTCTCGCTTCTTTCTTCCTCATTTAGTTCCTCACACGGTGGAGTAGATGGTTTCTCTGCTGGCTCTGGGGCTGGTTGTGAATCTTGTTGCATCTGAAGCCACTCATCCACCACTGCAACTAGTTCTCCTTTCTCTGCCCTTTCAGCCTTGAGTTCGGAGCGTAGGGCCTCGCTATCTTTCTTGAGTGATATCATCTCTTGTTCAAGCCCCTTGATCCGGGCCTCCAGTACCCGTTTCTCAGCCTCTAAGCCTTCGTTCTCTCGAAGCATTGTGGCATCCCCTGGTGCGGTCTCCTCATCAGCAAGTCTAGCTTTTGCTCCATTCAGCTCAGACTGAAGGTACTTGATTTTCTCCAAGGCATCCTTGAGCTTGTTTTCACCTTCTTTTACTCTCTTCTCCCAACGAGCTTCATAACTCTTCTTCAAGGCGGCAACCTTTGTCTCGTGTTTACCCTTGTATAAGGCGTGTAGTTCACGAGCAACTCTTTCTACAGCATCTTGAACTTCTCTGGCGGTCTCATCTGAGCTCCTGGTGTCACAGTTGATCGGCTGAGCGGAGCCTTGTGTACCAGTACCATTGTTGCTCCGTGCAGCCGAAAGCTGGCTTTCTAACTCGACCAGCTTTCCCTCCATCTGTTCTCTGGCCCTCTCGGCCTCCTCTGCTCTATGAGCAAGTTTTTCTCTTTCTCTCTCGCCGTCAGCCATTTCTGCCTTGACAGATCGCAACACATCTTTCATCTCCTGACTCCTCCTTTCCCATTCAGCCTGTTCAGATTCAAGGGCTTCCTTTTTAGCTGTTTCATTCCTAACCTGCTCCAATGCCTCTCCAACACGCCGTTCAGCGTCAGAGACAGAGTCTTTGAGGCTAGCAACTTCGGCATCTTTTCCATTGAGAGTAGCCTTTAGAGAGGATATCTGCGACAAGAAGGATGATTTCAAGGATTCCAACTCTCTAGGAGTAATTGAAGGAATAGACCGAGGAGTCGCAGGTGGTGGTATATCAAAGTCAAGAAGAGAAAACTTGTTCGGAGACCTAAAATTCTCCCCCGGCTTTCTTGGCGAGTTTCGTCGAGCCCTATAGGGAGACTTCTGACCCTCAAGTGTACCGTTGGTGGGAATATCCAATTGGTCCGTAAAGTCTAGAAGGTTGGCGTCATCCTCAACGCGCATATACTTCCGTACAGGAGAACGTGGGACACTGGATGATTCTGTTTCGCTAGATGACATGCCTGGTTCTCTTTTGTTCAACGCTCGTTTCGCTGATCTAGGAGTCACTTGTGACATTTGATCTCTAACATTTGGGGTAAACTTAAGTGGAGAGTCGTCTCTGAGCTTGGAAAAGAGAGTCATGTCGGCGTTAGGCACTGCTGAAAAGGTACTGAGACTTGTATGATCTCCCACACTGTTATCACCATGGACACTGTCGCATAAAGAACTATCTCCTTCGTTTTGATGGCGGACAATGCTCATGTGCTCATGGGTATTTTCTTCCACAACTGTGGCCAAAGACTGGCGTGAGGACTCTGGTTCAACGATTTGTTTGTCCTCGGGGGTTTCACCCGCCTCAACAGTGTCAGCTGGTGTATCCTGTGGTACGTTTTCTTGCTCGTTCATATCAAGGTCATGTTCGGTGTAATCTTCGTATGGGTTATGTGTGGGCTCAATATGGCAGCTCTCATCAGCGTCAAAGAGCGCAGCTGGTCCCTCGTCCGGTCGATCTGTATACTCAATATTTATCGAGTCTTGAAAAGGAGAGCTAGGAGGATTTTGGAAGCCGGACTGGTCATGGTGGTGGTCCTCGTGAATATCAAAGACAGGGGAGTTCCTGGTTTGTTTTGATGGTGTGGTGTTTTCATCGTAGTACAAGTTATCTAGGTCCTCGGCGTCTCCCATGGGACTTTTCGATAGTGGTGAAGCAAGTGACTGAAGGTGTGATGGACGAGAATTGAGTCTCGAAGGTGATAGAGGTGACAGCGGACAGTCCATTGTCACAATCGATATTTCCGTCGTTTGCTGTGACTTTTTTTTTTTTCTTTGCGTTGTTACTTAAAATTCAGCATTGAGGGTATCCTGCATAGGATATCACAAAAGTCTATCAAGTGATGAAAAAAGCGATGCGTCGCTGATGGGCCGAGTGAATGTAATATATCTCCCAGTTTTGTCTGCCTCTTGTGTTGCATGAAGAAAAGAAAAGCGAGCTTTTGCGATTGTTTTGATAGTTTGGCCCAGCAACCGAGTAAACAGAGGATGACATAATTCATGACATAAGCTCGGAGTGGGGTTTATTGAAATTAGATACACACTCGATACGGCGCTAATACAAAAATTACAGCACGGTGCAAAGCTTGGCGCTTAAAGCTTAAGTAAGCGTGAACCTTATATGCGCCGCGTCTTTTTGCCTCTTTCGGTACTTTTCGACTTCATCTTATCAACATGCAAGATGCATGCAGAGTGCGTTGTTCACTCTCAATGCGACTCAGGATAGGCCAGACGGCCGGGATATCACGTCCCTGCGGGTTTGAGTGCGGCGGTTTGACGGCGGAAGATCGTCAGTTGCGTTCGTCTCATATGAACACCCAGCGGGGTCTCGAGACGAGTACCTTGTACCAGACAGCCGGCCTTCTCCACCAGCTAAGACCGGCTTCACACAATTTCTTTGGCTCAGTTGCCGCTTGCCCAAGGTCAGAAGCGGTACTACGTCACCGTGTAATTCGGCGGCTAAGGACCATGTTATCCATGGGTTCTGTGTACCAGTCAGACCGCCACTCGTGATCAGACTTTTTCTCATTTCTCCTGAACAGCGAACTTTCTTCCCACTTCCACAACTCTTAACTCCACCGCCAGCCCAGCAACGCACAACAAACACGACCAACCTGCACGCTTGCACAAGCCGTCTCAGTGATTTCTGGTCTCGAGTCCACCTGTTCTGGTTATTGAGAACCAGCCCAGGACAGACGAGCTCACGACAACAAGCAACCGTTGGCAGACAGACGTGACTGAGCAGCCTGACGAACACCACCTTTTCCCTAAACCCCTCTTCGCATCAATAAATATAATTGGCCTTCGCTGGCAATACTTCCCCAAGTTTTACCTTGATATTGAATCTTCCAAGTCGGCAGAGCGTGCAGTGTCTCGTCTTCCATCTCAACTGACAACAGGTTCTGGTTGAAAAGAGGGAACGGGGGTTGCGTGGGAGGATAGCCGTAAGAACCAGACTAGAATATATAGAACCATGAGATTAACACCTCAGGCAAGACACCATAACTCTTCTCCTCCGACTTCGTCTCGCGCCGACGACGCTTTCCCGACCGTCCAGCTATTCATCCTAGGTGAGTTGACGCCAATGGCTTGTCTCATTAATGGCCTTGAACTGCACTAACAAGCTTATAGCGGTATGTCGCTTTGCAGAGCCGATCGCATTGACCTCCATCTTCCCATATTCATGGGTAATGGTTAAGGATTTCAATATTGGAGACAAGAGCAATGCGTCCTTTTACGCCGGAATTATCATTTCCGCCTTTGCCTTGTCGGAGAGCTTGACTGGAATGTTCTGGGGAAGCCTGTCGGACAAAGTTGGTCGCAAGCCTGTTCTTCTCCTAGGATGTGCTGGTACTGTCTTGTCTCTTATGATAGTCGGGTTTTCCCGGAACTTCTGGATGGCTCTCCTCGGCAGAGTTGTTGGCGGCCTCCTGAATGGTAATGTTGGGGTTATCCAGACAATGGTTGGCGAAGTTGTTAAGAATCCAGACCATGAGCGTAAGTCAGACGTTCTGATATCATTTATTTTTGCTTACATTTATATACTAACATACTATAGCGCGAGCATATGCTGTTATGCCATTTGTCTGGTCTATTGGGACAATCATAGGCCCAGGTATATCCCTTTCCCAAAACACTCCTTTTTTTACCTTGCAGTAACTGCTAACTCTTACTAGCGATTGGAGGCACGTTTGCGCAGCCATATAAATCCTTCCCTTCGCTCTTCTCTCCATCAGGCTTATTTGGTACCTTCCCTTACCTTCTCCCTAACATAATATGTTCGCTGCTACTCTTTATCAGTATCTTTGCTGGGTACTTTTTCCTAAATGAAACGCATCCCGACCACCAACCCCAGCATACGCGGACTGAAGGTGCAGAACAGCATACCGATGAGGATGATAATGACACTATTGGTGCTCCACTTTATGCTGTTGCCACAGCGGGATCTACAGCTCACGCTGGTGCAGACTTGACTGCCAAGTCATATGGCACTTTCAACGAGGTTGACATGCACGAGGATGAGGAATGGTATGTCAGGCCAGATGGGAAGTCCCTTCCAGCCCCGGATGCGGGTAAAGTCTTCACAAAGCGTGTGACTATGCTCATAATCGCCTTGGGTATCTTCACCTATCACTCCATGACCTATGACCATCTTCTCCCGATTTTCCTTCAGGATCAGCGAGACGGACTTATCAATCACCGCCCAACCTCTCCGCTGGACATTCCAGGGGGATTAGCCCTATCCACGCAAACTGTTGGCTTGATCATGGCCGTTAACGGAGTTATTGCCCTGGTAATCCAGGCCTTCGTCTTCCCTGTTGTCACCGAATGGTTAGGCGTATGGAGCGTCTTCGTTCTCGTCACTATCCTCCATCCCGTGGCATACTTTATTGTGCCTTTCTTGGTTTTCCTGCCAATCCGCCTCTTATACCCTGGCATCTACACATGCCTTACGATCCGAAATCTTTTCTCCATCCTGGCCTATCCCGTGCTGCTCATCTTGATCAAGCAAGCCAGCCCGTCGTACAATACCCTCGGAAAAATCAACGGCCTTGCTGCATCCGCTGGAGCAGCCTGTCGAACACTTGCCCCGCCGATTGCCGGGTACCTTTATACTGTCGGGACCCGAATTGGGTTTACCGGAATTGCCTGGTGGGCTAGCAGCCTAGTCGCTATCTTTGGAGCCCTGCAACTTTGGTTTATGAGCGGTAAACCACACACAAGTGTTTCCATACTGGCTCGCCCACCTTGCTTTTCCAGACATGTGGAAACTCATCCTCCCATCATCCACGTCCATGTGGAAGAGCAAGAGCAACCGACGCCACATGAACGTCAGCCATTGGTATAATTAGGTTTCCACGGGGAAGCCCCGGAGAGTGATTCAAAGTGATTTCCTTTCTTTCTCTTTTTAATTTTCCAATTTTCAAGGAGATACCTTCATCGCCTATTAAAACGATTCCTGATTCAAAGTCAAGACTCGAAGATGGACTCTTTATTCCTTCATTCAATTTAGCCCAAAAACTTGTTGGAGTCATGGTTTTACTTTACATTTCAACGACATCCGCAGTTACTTTACGATGTTTATTGTTTTGCTTCTACAGGCAGGCAGCCTGTTAAATGTGAGAAGCACGGGTTCGGTTTCATTGTAATGTCATATATTATCATGCCAAATTGAATACATAATGATCTACTATTAGCTGTTCCCAAGTAGCTTTGATTTAAATATATCAAATATATAAACGATGGCTCTGGTGCCAGCAAAACATAAGATTAAGCAATAAAAACGGATGGTCATCGATCAATATAAACACAAATTTACAAAGCAGTCGTGAACCTGCAAATTTCGACATGTAGAGACCCTAAAGAAAAGCGCCGATTCACCCATCGTGTCAACAAGACATGCCTACCCAAGCGATCAAAATGCCAAGTTCAAATCATGACCAGCATAACTAGTTATCTGCCTTCTCCCTCGGATGAAATAGGGAGATAAGAACGCCTTTCTCTGAAGCGCTGTAAAACGGTACTCGGTTAGATGGAACAGCCAAAGAAAACCCAACAATCTTGATGGGAGTGGATTAGCTTAGCATAACGTACCTGAATCCATGTCTCTGCCCACGGCTTGACTGCAGCCCAGGCTAACAAACTCGCAGTTGCAATGATGAATATGAAAACAACAGCCTTGTCTTTATTTGAATCTCGCTCTAGATGTTCAATATTAACGTTAGCAAACGCTCCACCAACCCGCCACCACGCCCTGTTTATCCTCTACCGTAACACTCACGGAAACAAGTCGTAAAAACATTCTCTTCTACTGCACCCTTGCATTTCGGCAAATGCTGGTCTAGGCAGAACCGTCTATTGCAATCATTACAGCTTCGTCCCCCGTGGTCTTTCGCCTCGTCGTCTCCCTCGCCACCGTCCGGCGTGGGCAACTTCACCACCCCATTGCCTCGGCCGCTGATGAAGTCTCGAAAGGACAGTGTATCTGGTGACCGTGGATCTAGCGGTGCGACTGAGCCTGGCGGGCCGAGAGGTATGATAGTGCTGTTTGTCCAGCAAGTGCACTTGCAGAAGGACGTTGGTTCTAGGCAGATGAATTGCTGGTTAGCCGATCGGTTCGGATGGAGATGATACGAGGCGAGAGAGGAGCTGACGTACTGCCCGCGGAAACAAGGGAGAGCAACGGCACGATGAAGAGCAGCAACACCTGGAGCCGGATTCCTCGCAGTATCATGGTCGCAGATGTTTGGCTGGCTTTATCCTGCTGTTAATGTCTTTCTTTCGCCCTTCAAGAGGCCGCGAGTTGCGGTAAATGCGACGGATGAGGTGATGCTTATGTAAGATCTTATCTTATCAGTTAAGCTGACGATGGACGAGCGGAAGAAAAGACGACGATGAACAGCGGCCTACATGAGATGAAAGAAGATGAATGAGGGATGGAGGGTGGAATTTAGTGTAGTTGGTGTAGTTGGTGTAGTTAGTGTAGTTGTTTAATTCATGCGTCGTGGTATCTATGCTATTTTCTGCCCCGGGAGCTATGGCTCCTGTTCTCCCTCTGGCGCCTCTCCTTGCCTGCCTCTCTTCTCCTCCGTTTCCATGCTCGATTGTTATCTCCTCTATTCTCCCAGAACCATTGAGCAAACTCGCTGTCCTCAGCGGCTTCCTTTCCACGCTTAGCACCGGGCTTGGTGGGTGAAGAAGGCAGCTCCCTCTCCGCAGAGGGTGTATCCAGCCTGTCATCGTCATCATGTAAATCATTCACGTTAGAGTCCTCTCCCCAGAAAGTGATCTTCGTAGGGAGCGCAGTATCCGGTGTAGGAGCCAGACTCCGCATAGACCTGGACTGCAAGTCTTGTGCTGTAAAGGGAGTCTGCGGCTCAGTATACAGCTTGTCACGAGCCTCGTCCTCACTGCCAGAGTCTTCTGCGTTGCCGAAAAAGCTGAATTGGGTGTCGATAGTCAGCTGGGGGTTTGGGATTGAGATGTTAGACGGCTTGGGGCGCTTGAACAGTGCTTCTAGCGGGTGGACTTTGGGGGTATCTTTATTTTCTTCAACGGTTGGGGCTGGAGTTTCCTGCTCGACAGCCTCTGGTTTCTCAGTTTCAGACTCTTCAGAGCTAGATGTTCCAGTGCTTGAAGTGTCGGAACCGTCTTCCTCCTCCTCCTCCTCCTCCTTTTCATCAGACTCCGATTCAGACGAGCTATCTGACCCTTCTGAGCTGGTGTAGTCCTCGCTGCTGGAGGATTCGGCTGCTGAAGACTCGCATTCATCACTAGCAACCGGTGACTCTCCACCCTTCTTCGCATCTGACTTGGGTATCTGCTTAGACACTACAGACGTCGTATGAGCCGGTCTCTCACTCTTCTTTGGCGGCTCCTCCTTGACATTGCCCTCCCGGTCTACCCATCCTTTCCCTTCGACGTACTCTCCAGTAAGCTTCGAAGGTGGCACATTCTCCCCTGTCTTGACAAAGCTTGGATGCTTGACTGTCTGTTTAAACTCGTGGACCGTCACAGACTCAGCTCCTCCCTTCTTCTTCTTCTTCTGTTTGCTCGAGCCTGACTTGGTCTTTGCCGACTTGCTCGCCGGCGGCACAGTGCGGAACAAGCACTCTGAGCCACTCGAGTACTTTGACGGCTGCTTGCTCTTCTTTGCCTTCTTCGAGTCCTCGTCCTTCTTTTTCGATCTGCCCGAAGAGGAACGAGGCTCAGTCCATCCTCGCATTACTTTCCGCGACGCCGGCAGCTCGTAGCCCTCGATAACGTGGTCAATGGCCCTCCGCTTGAGAGCCACACCCTTCTCTGGCCCCGTGGATGGTGCTCTGACCTCTGGCTCAGCGTGCAATTGGCTGCTGGGAGCCGGTCTGGCCGCTTCTATCTTCAGCTTCCTGCCCTTGAGAAATGCGCCGTTGAGCTTCCTGGTGAGCTTCTCTGCCTCGGCCTTGGGGAGACTGACGAACCCGTAGTTGTTCTCCGGGTGCGTCTCTATCGTATGCAGCGAGATATCAGTGGCAAGCGGGCGTATCGAGGGCTGCAGCACTGTCTCGAGGATCGCGGCGTCTAGAGGCGTTATGTGCAGGCGTTTGACTGCGTCCGACATCCGCCCTGGTCGAATCTCTCTGCCGCCGGCTGTTTCTTTTCTGCCCTCCCGAAGCCTCCTGGTCCTCCTCAGCACGCTGCTCCGAGTCTCTTCTGCTCGTCGTGGTGTGTCCTAAACGCTGGTTGCTGCAGTTTGGCGCTGTGAAGAAGAAAGAAGAAGCAATTCACATGAAGCGACTTTTTTTCCTTTTCCCGCCAAGCTCGTGACCTCCAAAGCGCCAAAACCTCGAATTCTCCGGGCGAGCCGTCTCACTCACAGCGAGAGCGTCGACCAACCTCAACTCCTCGCACTGCACGGCAGCTCTGCATCCGCCACCATCCAGCAGCCGGCAGAGAGCAAGGCACTGTCCGTCTGCGTTGCTGCGTCCTACGCCTAGCTGAGCTGGCCGTCTCTCCGTACTCGCGCAGGCCGCTTGTCGACGTTGGTGCAGGGAGGTACTTGGACAGCTCGTAACTAACTACCGGACCCTAGAGCAAGGCGAGCCAGGGAGACAGATACACGACGGCCATCCCCCAACAGGACAAGGAGCTGGAACAGGAGAGAAGAGACCTTGAGAGAGATGCTAACCAGCCTCTCCCGGCTGATACGGACCGTGCCGGATACCTTCTTCGCCTCCTGATACGCCTCCTCGTTCGCATGGCAACCGGTGTCCCGTTGGGAACAACGCATCGCCTGCAGCCTCCGTTGCCCTTCGACCTATCCTCGAGACACCGTTAATGCCCCTTTGAACACCCAGGTATAAGCATAGGGAACTGCTGTTTGACCATAAGTCTGCTCGATTCACTCGGAAATCACCTATCCTTGACCGCCGCGAGATAAAATCAAAACAAACCTCTGCTCTCTGTCCATCAGGATGGGAAACGCAGCTACAAAAGAAGCCAGGCCTTCGGGCCTCAGGCATGGACAGTCGCGCACATACCATGACACAGATTCTCCTCATACTAGAGGCGCACAGGAGCGGTCGTTCCTTGGTTTATCAGGCAATGACAGAGGCACATCGTCTTCAGAACCACGGCGGGAGACAAGACAGGAACGGGAAGCTCGAAAGCGTGAAAAAGAACGAGCAGCAAGGATAAAGGAGAGAGAACGGAGTATGAAGACAGAACATGTTGACGGTGGCTATCTCGTTACTCAGGGTGTCTATGTTGGCACAGAGGACTTCAACAAACCTATTGTCCGACAGCTGATGGTATGATAAATATATGCCCTCTCCGGCAGCTATGTACTTGTATGACTGACAATCGATTGTAGATCGAGCGGCGAATTGCTCCGTTTTGGAGAGGTTTACAGGACTTCTCAACTTCCTGGGCAGAACATCAGATCATGGCTGCTGCTCGAGGCCTACCTATCCCCCCGGCAGACGAAGTCCCTCCAGAACTCGAGTACAAGGCACCGCCTCCAGCATCCCAGGAAGACCGCCAGAACGATAAATTCCTGAACACGCTTACCGTTCCAATAGCCTCTAGGTCTCAATCCTTCAACTCTGACAGCTCAGCTGGCGCACGGAAGACTCCTCCCCAGCCGCAATCCCCAGCCGGCACAAACCCATCTGGGTCACAATTATTCAGAGGACGAGCTAAGACTCTGGCATCGTTAACCACTTCATCCAAGTCGAATTCAAACATGGCACCGCGAGAAATCCAACTCCCGCACGATCCATTTGTGAACGGCCAGCCAATCGAAGTCTACCTCTACAAGGACCCCATGGAATGTCCGATCTGCTTCCTCTATTACCCGCCATACCTCAACAAAACCAGGTGCTGTGACCAGCCTATCTGTTCAGAATGCTTCGTACAGATCAAACGGGCAGATCCACATCCGCCTGAACACGAGCAGCCAGGAGCAAACCCGTCCCGGGACGCTGAGTCACAGACAAACGAGTCTGAACACCAACTTGTAACCGAACCTGCTGCCTGCCCCTTTTGCGTGCAGCCTGAGTTTGGTGTAACATACGCGCAACCCCCGTTCCGCCGTGGTCTCGCTTATGCCCCAGGACATGGCGGCCATCACCTGGGAGCAGTAGCTTCGCCAATGTCGTCGTCAAGCTCGTTGAACTCCGCGAATGCAAGCCCTGGTACGACTACGACACGACGACGTGCCACCTCCTTATCTGCGGATGCACCGGGAGTCATCACCACCGATAAGATTCGCCCCGATTGGGCGCAAAAGCTAGCTACAGCCCGAGCAAATGCCGCGAGACGATCAGCCGCTGCCACCGCTCTGCATACTGCAGCATATCTGATGAACAATAACAACAATAATAATAGCACATCCAGTTCGAATGGTGAGTCTAGAAACCTGGCAAATATTGGAAGACGAGCTCTCCTACGCCGAGGCACTGGTAACGACAGCCCTACTAGCCGGAGCAACTCCACCCATGTCAATGCCTTTGCTTATCTAGCCGAGAGGCGCGCAACCGAGCGTATCGATGGCGAGGAGCAATCCAATAATAACTCTGCAAGGGGTACATCAAGACGAGAACGGAGCAGAGCGGAAGAGATAGAAGAAATGATGATAATGGAAGCCATCCGCCTCAGTCTTACAACCGAGGAAGAGAGACGGAAGAAGGAAGAGAAAGAGGCGAAGAAAGAAGCGAAGAAGCGTGAGAAGGAAGCCAAAAGGGCTGGAAAGTCTGCAGCTCAGAATGAAGAATCCTCCAGCACCAATGAAAGCAGCAGTTCTACTACCGGCCTTACTTCCACTGATGCAGGGCTTCCAGAAAACGTCTCCTTGCAGGATAAAGGTAAAGGCGTAGCTCGCCCAGCTCCAGATCCGGTTCCAACTCCAGCTGAACAAGGGGAAGCATCGTCTTCATCTCAGGCGACTGAACAACCACCTAAATTAACCCTCAACACCCCCCTTGCTGGCGAATCCTCCGCGCACGCAGGAACGTCTCCTTCACCTCGACCACATCCACGCTCCCATTCCAGCGCCTCATCATCCGACATATCACTGGTTGAATCCGCATTCGACGACCAAAAGGACACTGGCACTCCCAACGGTTCGAACCCCAACATTGACGCCGTGTTTAATTTCCGCAGCCTCGCAGCCATGGTCGGTGATGCAGAGAACGAAAGAACCGAGGCTTCAAGCCAGCCGGTCCCAATTCCCGCCAGCGGCCAGGCTAGCGACTCCGGGAACTGTGACCCTCAACGCGAAAGCTCAAAGGCCCAAGATCCCCCCTACGAAGGGAAAGAAGCTCAGTCGCAGTCCACGGAGATCTCCTCCCAGTCTCCTATCAGTTAGATGCGGGTGTTTATACAACAGAACTTATATACACGGCAAGACCTCGACTTCGAACGGGTTGGTTTCTGCCCGACTCTCCTTTTCCCCGGGTGACATTCGTCGAACCCCGTTTTGTTTTTTCCTTTGTTGTGATCGTGATGGGCGGATGGTAACTATGAGACTGGTATCAGGGGAGCACTTTGCACTTTTTTTTGATCAAGGATAAATTGCATAGCTCTGTCTATGGAGTTCACGGTTGGAAACTCAGTGTCATTCTCTGTCTATTGGGTAGGATTTTGATCTTTTTCTTCTTTTCTTCTCTTTTTTTATTGTTTAAAATTGTTTTATTGCACTCACTGGCTTTCGCTGCCGGACTCCCTTTTTTAATTCTTGATTCTTTTTGTATAGATACGTTCTTCTAGCATTGCAAAGGTCTCTCTACTCGATGGACTTTCTACATCATTCACCTGGTGGTTGTCTGAATATATAACTATAGCGCTTGTCAACCCCTTTCGAAAGCCAACTGACCCGTTATATTAACCGATTACATGCCAGGGATGTGATATAGCTGTGTTCACCGGGCCCCAAGACCCCCATATGTCACCGTTGCTACCCTGATACAGGGTAACGCCGTCTGTCTCGCTCCAAAGGGATGGCTGGTAAGATCACCACTTATGCAGCCAAGATCAGAATAACTCGTTTCCTACTTCTTCCTCTTCGAAGAAACAGTAAACAAAAGGGCAGCTCGGGCTCCTGTTCGTTTACCTGCCTTTACCTGCCGCCGTCAGCTGCTATAAGAAGCCCAACGAGGACAGCCGGTGCCTAAATATATATACATACTATACACTCGACCGTTGCGGGCCTACGATATGTCGCCGGGACTGAACGTCGGATCACCAGGCAACGCCACCGACGAAGCTGCAGAGACCGAGGCAGCGCGAGCATCTCAGTCAATGTCGTCGCCGTCGCTGTCTCGAAGTGCCTCCAGAGCGATGAGGCCTCCTCTGATGCCGCATTCGACCGCCTCGTCCAGCGGCAGTGTGCAGGGCGACAACACAGGCGTTGGTGGCGGGCCGGGTGGGTGTCTTTGGCTACCTTACTTACTCCCCCCCCTGACAGGCATAAACAAGATAGTTAACTAACATGCAACAATACAGGCCCGCTGCGTCATCCCAGGCCCATGACTATATCAGACATCCATCTAGAGCTGGAAAAAGAGCAAGAAGCAGTGGTATGCATCTACCGTCGCCGCCCCATGACCGTGTTAGCGAGCAATAGCATACCAACCTAGACACAACTCGGCAGGTAAACCGTCTCACGCGAGAGCTTTCTCTTCTGCGTGCCCAGACAGCATCCGTCGCCTCAACGGCGTCGTCCACGTCCACAAACGTTAACGACCAGGCCGACGGGGCACCGTACAGCGCCGTAGCCTCCCCCCGAGCCACGTCAACCTCCCGCCATAGATCATCGTCGACTCTTAGCTCCCGAAGCATCGGCGGATCGAGCTATGTGCCCGGCAGCGCCGTTGCAGCGCTGACAAGCGTTGTCCCGTCGCGAGACACCGGAGCATCGTCCTCACGCCAATCGATGGACTTCCAGCGCCCGACTGCTAGCCGTGAAGCGTCTGGATCGTTCCCCCGCCTGCCAGAAATGGCGTCTCCGCCGCTACATTCACCGCATAGCTTGGAGGAGTCGGCGATGCGAGCTCACCGTCGGTCGGAGTCAGTCTCGAGCACGACTCGGTACGAAGAGGGTGCGCGGCACCGAGCCGAGCTGGAAGTGGTCAAGCGGGAGAACGAGAGTCTGAGACGGCGGGTTCGCGAGCTCGAGAAGATTCTGCGCGAGCGTCGTAACTAACAAGTAGCTTCGAAGCGAAGCGGGTTGTCAGGCCAGGGACAAGGATGCTGCTAGACCGGGACGTGTATTCCGTAGACATGGGCTGATTTTCAGAGACAGGGTTTCTTTTTGTGCGTTCTCAGAGTATTCAGTGGCCACCGTATGGGCCAGCAGTAGCAATTGACCAGTGTCATCAATCTTTCCTCTACCCCTGGCTATAGCCACGCCGTCCCAAGTGATATCCAGGACAATGACAACCACTCGACGGTACTCCCGTAATATAAGAATAACAATAGCCGCCCGCACCGCCTCGTTTCACATGGAAAAGGCGAACGTCATAGGTGGCTCGTGCGATGCGACGTCACTTGTGGCGCAGGCGGTGACTTTTTTCTGCCCCGCGCGCTTGTTTTCTGCGGGCGCTTCGACTATAAAAAGACAACAACAGCAGCAGAAGCAGAGAAGAAGAAGAAGAAAAAGAAGAAGAAGAAAAAGAAGAAGAAGAAAAAGAAGAGGATTATATCAGATATACTTACGCTGGGAATACTGTGACTCGACGCTGTTTAGCCTTGAATACGCCTGAATATACCTGAGTTTGCTTTAAGGATTATCTCGACTCAATATGTCTTCTACCGTGCATGTGGCGAACATCTCGTCCAAGACCTCCGAGAAGGAAGTCAGAGATTTCTTCAGCTTCTGGTAAGTCGGGGCGAGAAGACGCTGTCTCTTACGGGTCAATGCTAACGGGCGTCCTGCTTAGTGGAAAAATCACCTCGTTGTCGCTCACCCCAAGCAGCGGGGACGCTGAAGCCACCCAGTCGGCAACCGTCACATTCGAGAAGGAGACGTAAGATATTACCCACAATCCCCCCAAGTAAAACATGATAAAATACTAACAAGGGTACTGGATAGTGCCGCTAAGACTGCCCTCCTGCTGGACCAGACACAACTCGGCCCCTCTGCAGTTAAAGTCACTGCTGCACCAAGCATCGACGACCTAGCTGGTGAAAAGGCTACCACTGCTCACGGAGCCAGAGACGAAGCCAGCAACCATCTTGAGCAAGAAGACAAGCCACGCTCTCGAATCGTTGCAGAGTACCTGGCCCACGGCTACGTCATCAGCGACCAGGCCATCGAGAAGGCCATCAGTTTGGACAAGACTCACGGCATCTCTGCTCGATTCAACGCTGTCCTGAAGAACTTTGACTCAAAGTACCATGCTACCGATAAGGCCAAGGGCATAGATGAGAGCTACGGCATCTCTGACAAGGCTACTAGCGGCTGGCGTGGACTCAGCTCCTACTTCGAGAAGGCCCTAGATACCCCCACCGGTCGCAAGATCAGAGCGTTCTACCTTCAGAGCGACAAGCAGGTCAGAGACATCCATAACGAGGCTCGTCGTCTCGCAGACCTGAAGCATGCTTCTTCTCCGTCCCCTGAATCAGCCATGGGACAGACAGCACAGACTACTGAGGGTGCCCCAACTGCTCCCACGGGTGTCCCAGTCGGAGACCCCTCTGCCCCCAAAACTGCATCAGGAACCGCCGCCGATGCCAAGTAGTCGGCAGCTCAGCTTACCTTCTATTTCCCCCCCTGTTTCTTACTTTCTTCTCGGCTATGCTTGTTTTATATCCTTATAAATATGTTCACTTCTGTGCCTAGTTATGATATTTATGATATCTAATGAAAATACCAGTATCGTTCCAGTGAGCGATTTATCATGAATCAATCAATTGCTATACATGACTGCAGTATTTCCATTCACCATCGCTCACCGTATTGATTTCCCCCTCGTCCATTGCAGTAATCCGTAGAATCAGAAATTAATAGCCCGAAGATCCCAGCCCGTGAAAATCTTCGCTCAGTCTCCTGTGCTTCAACTGCGATGTCTCTGCAAGAGGATGCACTGGGTTGCTCTCCAGCCCTGTCACACCTGGATCTTTGCCGTGTGGATCGGACGGGTTATCGATCGAAGACGTTCCATGGCTTGGTTGTTCTGCTTTGCCGGACCAGGTTGGGATATCGCCTTGCTGGCTTCCGCCCTGTCTCGATGGAGGAGGAGACTGACGGCCGGACTTTGGAGCGGACATATTTTGTTTTTTCCTTTGCTTTTGGTTTGTTTGAGAGTTCGACGTTTGGAGTAGCAAGTATTTATATCGATGTGATAAATATATCAGATGGATATCAGATATGTGTATGGTTGATTGTTCTCTCTCTTTCTTTCGATTGAGATGTCAAAAACTTCAACATCATCAAGAAACAGCCTCCAATATATAACCATCCATCATATCTACATCCTTGATTTTTACCCGTATGACGTCAGTAGGTATATCAGTTCGAGAGCAAACACGTCTCGCCACGTAACTGGTACCTAGTCCCTATGTACCTTTTCCAGGGATATGAGCCCAGTAGCACCGGGATATATACATCTTCCTCCTTGTATTCCTCCTTGTAGGATATGCTTGCAAAGATCTACGTAAAAGAAGCAGATAAATATGTCATCATATTTGAGACTAACAAGATGAAAAAGCTGCTAGACATTTCGTCCTGGGATATAAAAAGGGAGTAGCAAACGGACAATAAGCAAAAGGTAAACCACCCCAAATCTAAAATGGGAACAAGGGGGAAAAAGGGCCGAATAAAGTAAAACATTCTTATCATTTTTTTTTTTTTTGTTTGGTTGGTTATATTTCAAATTTTTTCGTTGGTTGGCTGAAGAGAGTGAATTCTTTTTCGCAAAAATCATTAACATTAGATAGATACCTACTTTAAGTTTTCCAATCTTAAGAACCACCGTTTGCCTTATCTGCTTTCTCGGCTGTCATTGCTATTTTGGTAGCTTCGTTGATCACACCTTGGATTATTTGCTGTTCCTCGGGGTTCAAAATTTTGGTTAAGTTCTCGTATAAGTGTGGTTGTTCTTGTTGAAGGTCTGCAGAAGTATGTGGTTAGCGTGAACGGGAACAAACAGGTACGGAGGGACGTACTCATTAACACATCCTTGAATAGGCCGTATGGTTCAACCTTGTCAAACGGTGACTCCAGCAAGCTAGCTTCATATAGATCGTCTTCCTCCTCATCGTCAGGAACTTGACCGATTTTCAGGGCCTGCAGAGGATTGTTAGTATTCAAGCACATGTTGAAATACATACCCTGTCTTAAGGGAGCATACCTCTTGGTGCAGGAATTCAATGTAGGCAGAGCTTTCATCAGTCACGTCAACTTCCGGACCTTCAGATGCATCCTGTTCAGACCATTCCACATCCCGACCACTCCAATCATTGTCTCCATCATCATCTTCATATGGGAGATCTGCATCTTTGGCTGCTTCGTCTCGCACTACACACACATTAGTCCCGCACTGTATGTAATATATCCATAACACTCACATTTAATTGCATTTGGCAAAGTCTGGAAGAGACGAGTAACACCCTGGAGAAGACGTGGCCATCCTGGCTGGATGCTAGCTGGAACATCTTCGGCTCTAAGAGTCAAAAGTGCAGAAATGGCCACAATTGACAGTTTCTTGTCATGAACACGCTTGAAGTTGTCAATGTTGGAGAACCAGGTGCTGAAAAACTTGTTCGTCCACTGGCCGCCTTCTAGAACCTGGAGTGAGAGGCCGGGGTTATAGTAGATGGCATTGATGACCATCTCCATAAGGTGAATCAGATATGACTTGGTTTGGGTTTCTTCATTGCTCAAGACCTGCATGGCCAGGCTGATGAAGACAGGAATATATTGGTCTGCGTGACCGCGGAGATTTAGCATGATAGCCTCTGCAAGCTTACAGCCGCAAATTCTATCTACACCACCACTCTTTTCATCTCGGAAGATATCTTCTACCATACTAACGACGGCTGCGAGATATTCTGGGTTCTGAGCCAAGGTGGCGGCACCATAGGTCACGAAGTTGTCCAGGGCAGGTAGCATATCTAACGCGGGAAGGTGAGCAATTAATAGAATATTAAGGACAACGGATATACAAACCTTCGAGGTAAAGCTCCGCACCAGCCTTGAAAGTCTTGTGTATAAGCACAAATGCCTGCCACATACTGGGAGAGATGGACTTGGCAGTAAACGTGCAGGAGTCAATGATCTCAAAGATCTCATTGTAAAGATCTGCTAAAGTTAGTTATTGTTTCAGTCTCCTTGTAGAAAAAGTACTAACCAAAGAGCTTGTTCTCCAATGTGATTGTAATCACAGGCATGAGAACACTTTCAAGGTGCAAAAGAACATCCGGAGTGCTCTCAAGGGTGAGTATCAAAGTACCAATAGTCTGCAACACACCGATTGCCGTAATACTCTTGTCATCCAGCAGATCACCGTACATATCGTCCTCAGGCTTACTTGACTTTCTCTCAAGGAGACCCTGGACAATACGCATATAGGTGTCCCTAAGCTGCTCGCACAAAGCGACGGCGAAAGGCGTAAGTTCGGCGGAAAAGACCTCCACAAAGTCTTCCATGACATTTGTAAGAGCATCGACATCGACTTCATTTGCGAGTTTCAGGAGTTGTTGCATAATTTGAGGAATATTTGTTCGCATCGAAGAGCGGATGATGCTATGACGGATCAATGGTTGAAGAGAAAGGGCGGCCTCCACTCTTACAGGCAGGTCAGGATCAGCAAGACAGTCGAGGATGTTACGGTAAATTGTCATGAGGTTGTTAGGATCCTTGAAGTCCAGCTGCTCGAACTTCTCCAAGACATCACAGGCTCGTGCTCGCAGATATCCGTGTGGACTACGGAATTCGGGAAAAACGTGGCGGACAAAGAAGTACTCCACTTGATCTGCGATGGGGCTCTTTTTCCCCAGTATAACAGAGGAAAGGGTTCCGATCATCCGAAGAGCACCCTCCTTTTCTCTTGGGAGCTTCTGCCCATCGGGCGCAGCTTCATACTTGCTGACGATTCCATTCACGAAGGTAAGGATGGAAAACGTTTGCTTCTTCCTTGTCTTTGTCAAGGATACCAGGAAGTTTGTAGCGGCGACTCCTGGAACAGTGGCCTCCTCGTAGACGTTCAGCTTTCGATGCAAATACTCTGATGGATCAGTCTCAAACATTTCGATATCCTCGTCTGATAAGCATAAGATAGGGAAGATGAAATGAGCTAGGAGGTTATCCATATGAGGCTTGAGGATCTCCCAGGTAACCTTTGGCTTGATACATTCCTGGAGGTAGATAAGGGTATAGGACAGAGAGGGTCTGCTCAACCATTGGCCCTTGGAGACCCATTTGTCTATTTCCTGAAGATATCCATTCAAAATTTCGGGAGCAAAAGTGGTGATAAAGGTCTTTGCAAATTCAATGTACTCGGGGCCACTTGATTTTGAAATTGCAGAAGGATTACCATAGCTAGGTATTATGGTTAGCAGGACATACGAGTCACGAGTTTGCGCAAAATAATCGAAAAGGGGTAGCCCAATTGTATCGAAAAACCATGTTGATGATCTCCTTAACATACCGAATGAACAGGCGGTTCAGATTGGCGTATGACCACTTTTTGCACTTCCACCAGTGGGACTGTTCTCGTTCATCTGTATCGTCTTGCATAGAATTTGCTGGGGGCACCTTTCCTATTACTCTTAAGAACAAGGTACACCAACCGACCGTTGCCTGCTGAGTAGTAAGGGCGATGGGAAGTTCAAACTGCGACGTTGTTAGCAAGAACGGCCCTGCACCCGAGACAAGGGCAACGAATAAGGAAAAAAAAAAAAAAAAATAAAACAATAAAAAATAAAAATAAAAAATAAACCACATACATATATAGCATTTTTGAAGGCCTTGATGACAGTTCTTAGCATCTCTCCGGCCTCAACACTCTCCTCATCAATGAGACGAGTTCCAATATTCAACAACTGAGGAAACGAGATTTCAACAATCTTATCAAAATCGCCTCGCATCTCACCGCCCTTGAATCGATAAACCCTACATATCGCCAGGAGACACTGCAGACCAGCAAAAACAGAGTTGGCATCATTTCCATTCAACAGCTGAAGCATTATATCGATATAATCCGGCCATTTTTCAGGGAAATCGAATTGTAGAATTTTGGAGAGAATGGGGATCAACTGAACCCGGATATTAGGAGGCGACGAAGCGAGAACGGGAATAAGTCGGTTGCGCAACGATGGTCTCTCGTCCTCAGGTATCGACTTGTATATCGAGTGTTCTTCCTCCGGCGCCCATCCTCGAGTGATCCTATTCTTCAGATATACAACCGCTGCGCAATACGGTGTTAGCCTTGATCCTCATCCGACCAAGCAAGGAATTGCCCGGATCTGGTGATGCATCCTTACTTGAGAGTCGAACTGCTGGATCCTGCTCGGCTTCGAGAATATCAATAAGGGCGTTCGGGAAGCCCGGCTGGTTCTCTGCCTAAAAAATACGTGGGTTACAGGTTAGCTGTCAATTCAGCAAACAACACGCCCCAGCAGCCAGCACCCACATATTTCAAGTCCAACTCAGCCTGTCTCCTGGTATCCCCATTGCTGTCTAGGGTCGACTTTATACGGTCCCTGAGAGTAGCGACATCCATTGCGCGCAACCCGGTCCAACGTCTTTTTTTTAAAGAAAAAAAAAAAAAAAAGGTAACCCGTAGTGCTGTATACGCACGATCAGGTAGACTCGACGAGGGGCTACGCAGTCCCACTGACCTCGAGCAAACGGCGTCCGAGCAAAGCAGCCGGGGGGATATAAGGGCTGGTAGCGGTGCGGGTGCGGTAGCCTGGCTCTTGTATATATCTCAGCGTCTCTCCTCGCTTCTGACGTTGGAATTGAAAGCAACGAGAACGATTTGGCGGGGACGAATTATTTTTGGCGGTGCCTTACGCTGTAATTACGTACAGTAACGTTGGGCGATCTATGCTGTGTGCGCGGTGTATTTACAGGCCCGTACGCCGTGCCTTGTATTTTTTATTTTGACTTTTAAGCTTAAAAAATATATTTGAACCGCGCGAAGAAAAGGGGCAAAAGGGGTGTTTTGATATTGCACGAGAGCGCGGCAGACGCTGGGGCTGGAATTGAGATAGACGGCTAGAGGTAGAGTGAAGCTGCAAAGATCACATCTCGCTTGATCATCTCCTGCGCCAGCTGCATCTTGTTGTACAGGGATGGATCTCCAACAAGCTTGGCAGCGTTCTTGACCTCGCGGCAAGTTTCATCCAATCGACTAATTACCCGCACGATAGTGCCCTCCATGACGTCCGTGAGGTCCGTGATGCGGTTGAACGTCATCCCTCGTGCCCACTCGTACACAACTTCCATCAGGTTGAACCGTGGTTTGCTCGCAAAGTCGTTAGCGTCGTCGGATGAGAGCACGACCTGATGCTTGATCTGCAGGTCGTTCACCCGGTCGGATATTGCTATGATAGCTTCCTTGCCGGCCTCCAGACGGGGTGTCAGGTTTGGTTCGTTCTCTGTCTTCTCCTGGAAGACAAACGCGGAGAGGAGGGCTACGATTTCCTCTGGCTCGTACTCCGCCAACACGTTCTCAAGTATCAGCTCGGTGAGTACCAGTTCATCCGCTGAGTGGATCTGGTACCAGCGTCGCACAATCAGTTGTTGTTCAATAAGACACGATCGGTAACGACTTACCTCGCAGGCGACCTTTCCCTTGAGTTGAACTCGGCTGGCTTCGTCGACGAAGCCCAGGTCTTTTAACACTTGGATTCGTTGTTCATAATCAGGCAGGAGCTGGAGGTTTTGATCTGACATTAGCAGTTTCAGCTGCGAGATATTTTCCTTCACCTGCCATTCGTCATGTTGCATCTCAAACTATCCAGCAAGTGTCAGCCTATATCAGCTTATATCATCGTCCATTAGGACTAGGCTTACATGTTTGAGGAACTGTGGGCATTGAAGGCATGCACAGGACCTCGCAATCTTAACTTGTTGAGCCCTTTGCTCCAGCACTTCCCTGACAGACATGTCCTTGACTCGTTCCCAGTCAAGCTCATCCCAGGATTTGTCTGTCCACGATGCGCAAAGTTTTGAAAATTCCTTATCTGCCACTTTCAATGCCTCTAAGTGAAAGTTAGCTCAGCCTTATAGATCTCATACATTGGGTGACGGACCTTTATGGATATTGAGACACCAAGTTGGGCCGCCAACCCGCACCGTTGTACCTGTCACACACTCGAGATTGGCGATCGGTACTTTGCAACTCTTTAGAACCATGTTCTCAGGCGATGTGGGCAGCGGGTGGAAGTACTCCCTGAAAACGGGCATGTACGGAAGTATATCACTGGGAAATCTTCGAGATTCAACTGGGCCGATCTCGAAAACGTTCAAGGATGGTATAGGTCCACCGGTGACTCCCTCCTTCATCAGTACTCCAGCCGTCCTGACTCCATTCTATAGATGAAGAGTTAGACTTTATTTACGTATTCGGACGTATAACATATATTGCTTACCTTTTTGAATACAACCAGCTGTTTTGCGGCGTACATACGTTTGCCAACAGGAGAAGCCAGGAGCAGTGTATGCAGCTGAACTGTTAGACGTTCATACTCAACGCTTGCCTGGTGGCAGGCCGCAAGGTCAACATCACAGACTGCACAAGGCTCTCGCTTTATCTTTTCCAAACTGGCTTCAGACAGCTGCACTTGTTTCTCATGTTCAGGGAGAAGTGCCTGCGTAGCATTTTCGCTAAAACTTCGCTTAATCATCTCCTCGATCTTCAACGCTTCGACACGTAAAAGATTCAGCATCATGTTATACGTGAGTCTGAATTGAGATCGTAGCTTCGTCGGGTCACCGAGTATCATCTTCCTCAGTGTCGTGATAGGCGGGGCTTCGTCACGGCCGGATGTGACAATAATAACCGATCCAACTGTGTCAAGACCACGACGACCAGCCCTACCAGCCATTTGGGTATATTCTCCAGCTAGGAGGTCTCGGAAGCCCCTTCCGTCGTGCTTCCGGTATCCAGAGAAGACAACTGTGCGAGTAGGCAAATTTAGACCCATTGCAAAGGTCTCTGTTGCAAATAGGATCTTTACAAGTCCTTTTGCAAACAATATTTCGACAATTTCCTTAACGATAGGAAGAAGGCCACCATGATGGACGCCAACACCTCGACTAAGCAGTTCACGAACCTTACGGATCTGTGGGAGATCTCGATCTTCAATCCGGAGACGAGTCAACGATTTTTCCACGACCATGTGGATTGCACTCTTATCTGCAGCAGTGCAGAAGTCCTGATTAGAAAGAGAATCCGCATTCTCTCCGCATCGTTTCTTAGAAAAGACGAAAATGCACGCCGGAAGCATTTCGCGTTTTCGGAGATATTGCACCAAATGTACCCATACATTACGGTCCTGTGCAGCAGAGGTCCTGCCACCGCCACGTCCTGTCCTTGCAATATTGCCAATTCCCCGAGCTGATGGCTGCCCTCTGCCTCTTTGTTGAGGGCCACCCCGTTGCCCTGTACCGCGTTGACCACTTCCACGCTGACCCTGGCCACGTCCCCTCTCCGACTGATGCCCACTCCGAGCTGCCTGAGCCTCTGCTGCTTTCTGAGCTTTGACTTTATCACGTCCTGAGAGTATATCATCGGCATCTTTCCAGCCTTTTTCAATGAACCGTTTCTCCGAATCAACTATTTTGTATATTTCCTTTCCAGCCCAGAGATAATGTTCCAGTGGTACTGGTCGTTTTGGCGTTGAGATAACATAAATATCTTTCTTCTTTGTCCGTCCCACCCACGAAGCAAACTCGTAGGTGTTAGGTACCGTGGCAGATAGGAGGATGAGGCTAACGTGCTCCGGCAGCATGATGATGACCTCTTCCCATACAACCCCTCTTTCCAAGTCATTAACATAATGGACTTCGTCGAATATGACAAACTCCACGTCACGTATCAAATCGGCGCCTCGATAAAGCATACTTCGAAGAATCTCCGTTGTCATAATCAGGCAGCTTGCCTCTGGATTAATCTGTATATCTCCGGTTAAGATTCCAACATCATCAAATGTACCTCTGAAATCGCGGAATTTCTGGTTACTCAAGGCCTTTATTGGAGATGTATAAATCGCTTTAGTCATATGCTTATTTGCTAGAGCGATTGCATATTCTGCAACTACTGTCTTTCCGGCAGAAGTGTGAGCAGCGACAAATACGGAATCTCCATTCTCCAAATGATACACTGCTTCCTTTTGAAAAGTATCCAGTTCGAATGGATATTCCCGGGCCATATCGGGAACAAGCTCGTAGAAATTGGTTATCTCCTTATTCACATCCACGACATGAGCCCACTCTTTGCGAGACTTTTTCAAAGAAGACTGGATGAGTTGTCCCCTAGGCTCCAAAGCAGGGTATTCCACAGGTAGAAGTGCATCGATATCCTCTTCATCCTCACTAGTTGAGTCTTCGCCACCTTCTTCAACGCCTGGTTTTCTGGCAGTATCTCCAGATTCCTGGCTCGGTAGATGCTTAAGTTCAGTTTCATCTTCACCTTCAAGTGCTTTGCGGACTTCTTCTACTCCTTCTTGGGCATCTTTGGCCTCTTCGATTTTAAACTTGAGCCCACGGGTGAATCCAGGGGGTATCTCTAGTAAACCACCTTCAGAACCGAAATTGATAACTCTGTCAAGACCTGATGATTTCTTCGGTGGACTTTCCAGAGTCTGGCCTTCATCCAGCTCCGCCTCTGCATCAATGGCTGAAATGTCATCAACTGCTTCAAGGCCACCTGGTGCAAATGGGTAGAATCCTGCAGCTCCTCTGACGAAATCTGCACGACTCGCTGGTTTTCTTCGTAGAGAAGTAGAGTTCTTCGCCGTAGCACTTCCGGCTGGAACAGTGACTTCATGGTAGCCGGTGACTTTACCTTCTAAGCCTTCACGGTTGAACCTGATGATGGTCCGACTCTGGGTCGGTGCAAGCTCAAAGAGCTTCGAGTAGTCTGTTGGATAGTCCCATCGCCTGGTGTGACAGGTGTAAGCATGGTATCAATAATCCGGGGATATATTGCAACTCACCTCTGAAGTTTGTTCAGCCAGTGAGTGTTGAAGCGCGGAGACGGTATCAGAAACTCTCTCTCCAGCTCAGCTTTCAGCTCCTCTGCCGGTTGGATCCTGCGGCTACGCGGCTTCTCTACTGCATCATCTTTAGCCCATGCATCAAGGTCTCCATCTGGATCTATAGCATCCATCTTTATCTTGAGTTGCTGCATAGCAGCCTCTAGACCGTCCGTCATGGCGGCGCATTGAAGTCTACCGTCCCTATTATTCTCTGGCGAGCCAAAAATACCAGCTCTCGGTACAATATCAAGAAATAGCACCTGTTTCCTAAATTCACGCCGTTCTTGTTATGGTTCAACGTTTCCAAGCGCCTGAAGACGCCTTGATAGAAATTCGCTTGTTTCTTTCACGTGACTGGGTTTCAGCCTCAACTTCAGGAACGATATCAACCAGAACCCTGATTGATATAATTTGATTGGCAGCATTTACTATTCATCTAGCTAGTAATTTTCACGGCAGGAGTCACTCTGTGTGTGGTTATTATTTTCCTTTTCTTTCCTCTCATGTTAGTATTGAAAATGGTATCTTCCAAGGTGTATCCAATTTTCCAGGCCGAAAGGATGTGGAAGGCGAGTTGAATTAAATTGCTATATGTCTAGTTACATATCTCGACAACTCATTATCATGATTCTATACCCGTGAACTTTTCTCCTCTTCATGGCGAACCATCCAACTTACGACTCGCTCGAGCAACGGCTTCTTGGGGCCTAATTCACAAAAATCAGTTAATAAAAGCTGTTTAATACATTGTGCGGAACTTTCACTAACCTTGCTGTGGAGGTGGTTCCTGAGAACGCTCCTTTTTCCGCCCTGTAATGCACCCAAAAACGGTAGATGCGCTGGGAAGGATTAGGGCGACGGTCTGAGCAATAAAGAGATATATCGCAACCATATCCGTCTCAGACTCGATGTGGTTCCGAGCAACAATAAGTTCCGTCCAAAGAATAAGCATCCAGCCGAAAAACAACATCATGAGTGCGGATCCTAGCGGTATTTGGATGTACTTGTTGAGATACCACGGCATCTTCTTCCCACCCTCTCCATAATGGCGGTAATGATATGCAGCAATACCTAGCTGGATAACCCCAATAAGGAAAGAGAACGCCAACATGGAATCGGCGATTTGCCAGAGCAGGAAGAACGTGTGCCAGCCTTTAGTGAGAGTTCTCCATCCGAAGAAGAAAAACTGGTATTCTCCGATGCCTTCAGGGAGGTTTGTCTTCCAGCTCACCCAGGCGGAAACCGTATTTAGGATCATGACACCCGCTGAGCCTAGCGTGAGAATAACCGTGGTGATGAGATCGCCCGACGAGACGCCGCCGAAATATGTAATGGCGTAAATGAAGTTGAAGTAGACTGGTAATAGAGAAAGGGCGTGAAGTTGCTTTGCTCGTACAGCTTGGTACCATTGGATTTGTGTATACCAGTTATAGGCTAAGAAGCCAATGTTGCTGGGGCAGTTGTTGCCAATTCCAGAAACAAATTGGGCTGGAGTCAGCATCATGCTGGCGTAGAGCAGCCACCTGTTGGTGACGCTGAACCCCTGTACGACCTGGTTTGCGGTCATTTTGACACAGAGCCAACTCAGGGCAATTAACTAGCTGCGGGGAAGCCAAAGCAGGAGGATCTATCAAGCAGCCAGCCACTATGAGGCAATCTATGAGGAGATATTAGTTATGATTTTAAAACACAGGGTTTGTAGAGTAAGATTCTTGCATACAGTAAGTAATCAATTGGACAACGGTATGGAGAAGTGAAGCAGCGCTGGCGCCTATATGGTCTCGTCAACGCCGTCCTTGACCAAGGGAAGGTCAAGCTTTTATCCCTAGGCCCCTGAAGAGCCGCATCGCGTCCTATGAAGAGCGAGGCTGAGCTCCTCGTGCCCTCCATTCTTTACTGGCTGCAGCTTTGCCGAGACTGCAGCTTAAGCGACTGAAGCCCTGTCACCAGACCCTGTTGCTCGTCTGTGCCTTCGCCCCGTCCCGATATCGTTTTAGTGCAGCCATAAATAGAAACAGGCGGGAAGCCCTGAGCTGCGAAGCGAGCTGGTGATTTGCTGGAAACTGGTAGTATGCTTGGCTGAAAATGACCAGTCCAGGGTTGATGCAGCTAAAATTTGGAGAACCTGGCTAGTGGCGAGCGTTCGCAGCTCGATAGGGGGTATATATTTGCCTCTTGATAGTTAGTTGACTCATGTTCTGCAGAGCCTCGCCTACCCTTGTCAGAGCTAAGTAACTAACTAGATGTTACATTCATTCTTCAAGCGAAGAAACCAACAAGTTGCGTAACCCTGTTAGATGGTTAACTAGTTACCAGGATAAGAGGCTGGATAGTCGATAGTTAGCTAATCCTGGGGCTCTGGGGCCATACATTTCCTTGCCTGAAAAGGATCCAACAGTGTTTTTTCATTGAACTTACTCCTCGATGTATCAGACCAAGTAGTTTGAATAAGTAAATAAATCAGATTTGATTAGATTAGTGGAACTTTTAATTAGCAAAGACCGAGCAAGCATGAATCAAGACACAAAACGATTGATAACTGGGTAGAATCTCCGTTGAATAAACAATATTCAACTCCAAACCTACCCTTGTGTTTGTTGTTGGTATGAAAAAAGAATATATAAGAACCCCCAGGCCATACCTGTCCCAGCCAACTCAATGCACCAAAAAAGCACTATACAAAAAGAGAGATAGAGAGAGAAAGATGATATCGAACGCTTGCTAGCGGGGGAAAAGAAAGTATTAAAAAAAAAGAATCAGCCAAAGGAAGGAGGCTTGGGAAGCAGAAAAAAAAAAAAAAAAAAAAAAAAAAAAAAAAAAAAAAAAAAAAAAAAAACTAAAATAAAAGGCCGTAGATCAAAAACGAAATAACAACGCCTATCCAAACTGACAAGTTGGGTATTTTGCAAGCGGGTTTGGGCCACGGAGCCCTTTATAGAGTATATTTATTGCTGAGCGAATTTTTTCAGCTGTGGTGCCCATGCATGTTACCTGCAGGTAAAGGCCGGGAAGGTCTTGCGATCCGGAATATTGATATGGTATTCGAATATTCCCTGCACGGTGCCAATATATCTTTACCGAGAGTTAGCATTTCGATTCGATAAATGAGGACAAAGGCAAAGGGAAACTCACAAAGTCCGCCCATCATCACTCCACCCGACACCAGCAGTTCCCACGCCCCACCCCGATTCTCGACCGCCGTAAATTTCTCCAGAAAGATTCCGGATCCTAGGACTGGCTCGAATGTTATCGAGCTCTAACACACGGCGGTATTGTTGTTCCCATTCACTGAGCCGCTGGTTTTCTTCCACAGCGGCCTGGCGTTGGGCTCGTAGGCGCTCTGCAGCTAACGTAGATCTTAGTTCGGAGTCCATTGTATTACGTGGGTCGAGACGCTCACCAGGGACACGAGTGGGCCTATCAGCACGGCGGGGGATTGACCGTGAGCGTGCAAGACGCTGGCGTTGTCCTGTATTGGGCCGGCTACTACTCGACGATGTATCCTCCGGCTGCTGTGCTCTAGATCCACGATGGGTAGAGTTAGACGGGCCGGTCTGCACGCCGTCTTCGTTAGGTGATGGGATGCGCGGGAAGTCTTCCTCCATACTCAGATTGTCTGTCTCATCGTTAGGTGCTGGGACTTGATTGGGTGAGTAAGGCCACCTCAATGACATGCCTGGGTGAGGGATTAGTGCGGAAGATGTATGCACGGTTGGACGGGACGAGCTGTCCTGAGATAGGATGACGGAGTTGCGTCTCCGAGGGGCTCCTGTCCGGGGCCTTTCGGAGTTGCGAGATGGCTCATTGCGAGTTATATAATGATCTGGAGGTGGAGGAGGGGGTGGTGGAGGCGGCGATGCGCCTAAATACTGACTTGAGGGCCGCTGCTGGTAAGAATAAGAGGGATTGGGCAGAGGACTAATTAGATGAGGCAGCCTCTGGGGACCTTCTTCAATAGAAGACGCCCAACGAGCTGTATTCAAGAAATCGATAATCTGTCTCTCGCGTGCAGTTAGATCACGGGCCAAACTATCTCGCATTACTTGTGACTCTGCCTCGATTGCCGCTCCACGACGTCGGTGGCGGTTAGAGTCAATGGCTCGCTGTAATGCCTCCTCGGCTTCATTTAATCTGGAATGGGTTGCAGCATTCTCTGGTCTGTGAATATCACCATCCAAATCGAGGTCCGATTCCGGTTTGTCGAGATTGTCTGTTTTGACACGTTCAAGACTCGGCTCGTCTACATCGAGAGTTATAATTTGGCGCCTGGAAAAGCCCTGGCGAACATCCGCTATACCAAAGCGTCCGTGATCTTCAACCCAAACTAGGAGGTCCCAGGGCTGAGGAGAAAACGACATGCAGCGAATAGCACCACCGTCAAAGCAGGATCTGGAGGATCTAAAGACACAAAATATATCTTCACGTCCAGATCTTCCATCTGGATCATCATTGAATATGTCTTTGACGCTAAATACCGTGATGACACCAGCCTGAGATGCAACTGCACAAAGGTGGCTGGAAGGAGAAAATGCGACGGTGAAGCAACATCGGTCGTCATAATGAGGATCGGAGTCGAGCTCAACGCTTCGAAGGAGTGGCCAGGTCCATTCTCGGAGCAGTTTACCACCATCGGTTGAAACAGCATTCTGTTTATCAGGGGAAGGAATGGCTCGGTAGAAATATACCCGATTCTCATCGCCTACTGCTGCAAGCAGCTTTGAGTTGGGGGAAATAATGGCAAAGTTCATGCATACGGGATGACGGATTGTCTCGATAACTTCCATTCGCGGTAGTGAGAAGATACTCACTGTGGTATCATTATTGCTACATAGAGAAGTCAGCTTTGGTATCCTGACAAGAGTAAAAAGGAGACACAGACTGATACCAGGCTTACCTGAGAACTGCGATATCTTCATCGACGAATTCATCTCCATTGGCTGGAAGACGATGAAGGGTCACAGAATTGACGATACTTCCCCCGAGCTCACGTACACTGACATCTATATAACGAGTTAGAATCCCATGTCAGGGGAGGAATACAATATATACGGACAGTGCTCACTAGGCGGATAGGGGAGTGCCCTCCTCGATAACGAGGAATCAAAGTCAAGCGGAAGAGGAGAGTCAACATCGGCAGGCGAGCCAGGCCCAGCAGGCTCCGGCAGAGGAGAGGCTGCATCCAGCTTAATAAAGGCACAATCTCCACTCTCCGTGCCGCCTACGCCAATCCATCCATTTCCGGCGGTAAGGCATTTTGGATCGAATGGGACAATGGTGAGGATCTCTCTCTTGCGTGACGAGATGTGGATGGCGTAAATTATCCTCCCAACGGCTACATATATCCTATCTGGATCGGCTGTGCTGATATAATGGCGAAGCTGGTGGTGTCTAGATCCAGGAGAAGGGGTAGAAAAGTCAATAAAACCAGTTCCTCAGAACATCACTTCTACACACTAATTGCAACAGCTGTCAAAACACCAGCACGTAAAAGGAGAATATGGTCACTGACGTATTGGGGATTTTAAAGGGGAAGAAGCGTCGGCCGCCGGGTAGGAGAAGGGCTTCAGTGGGTCGATGCCTGCGCACAAATAACCGCCGTTAGCAAGGGCCTGCAAGTGGCCAAACGGCCCGCGGGGAGACACAGCTGCAGGAGACGCACAGTAACTCGGTATCAAGGGCCATGATAGACGGGCGGATGGGGGCACATGGAGGGGGGGCTTGTCTCGCCGGCTCTAGGCAGGTCTCTCGCGTGCCAGGCTCAAGCTGGCGGCCCGCGCAAACCAGACTCGTGGGCCGGCTAGATGCAGCAGCTGGGCAAAACAATCGTCTGCGAGCGGCTGCCCGTGTCTCAGGCTGGCCGTCTGTCTTGTGTCGGCTGTCTGTCCTTGTCGGCTGGCGTGTTCTCTCTTGTCGCCGGGCGGTTGGTTGCTGCGAAGGCGATGGTGAGGTTGATGTGCGAGAGGGCAAAAAGCTCGATGACGGAAGCCAAAAAGGAAAAAAAGAAAAAGAAAAAGCTGGGGAACTTTCCTTAAGGGGGAGGGCAGCTTGGCCCGAGCTTTTTCCCAAAAGGACGAAGACGAGGATCACGTTATAATCACGTGTATGTTGACTAATATATGACTAAAATTGTGACTAATAGATGAGTCAGCGCCAAGAAGTCGTTGCTTTTCTGCCGGTTTCTAACGCGACCGCCTTTCCCGATGCGGCCTAGCCCGCTTATCGTCCTGTTGGCTTTTTTTATCTGAAAATTTTTCTCGCAGCTTCGAAAAAACTTCTTCATCTCCAACATCAACTTCCAACCTCACCCCGTCGCCAACCACCACCACCACCATCAATCCCTTTCCTCTCTCTCGCGCTTCCTTCGCTTCATCCATTACGCCCCTTCACTTCTTGTTTGTGTTTGTTTTTGCTCCTCTTCACACATAATGCTCGCCTCAAGAATCTGCCGCGCGGTAAGTAGTAGCATTGCAAGGGAAGCTCTGCAGGAGCTCGAAAGAAGTCCATTGAACGCAATTTTTTGACTGACATCTAACCGCCTAGGCTCCTCGCGTGCCTACACAATTCATTCGCTCCCCTGCTTTCAGAGTCCCATCGACCCCGTTCAGACGATGGAACTCGACAGAGGGTGGTGAGGAGAAGGTCAAGGGCCAAGTCATCGGTATTGATCTTGGTACGTCTTGATCCCTATATATGTGATAGAATTGATTATGGGATTATCAATGGCCATGGGCTAACAATTGGCTGCTCACAGGTACCACCAACTCTGCCGTTGCCGTTATGGAGGGAAAGACCCCAAAGATTATGGAAAACTCTGAAGGTAAGCCAAACAGGCGGTGTTTCATCTGATCGACATACAAGAAATAAAGAAGTAAAGTAAACATGGACTAACGATCTACATAGGAACAAGAACCACTCCATCCGTCGTTGCTTTCACCAAGGATGGCGAGAGATTGGTCGGTGTTGCTGCTAAGCGTCAGGCTGTTGTCAACCCAGAGAACACTCTCTTCGCTACCAAGCGATTGATTGGTCGTAAATTCACCGACCCAGAGTGCCAGAGAGATCTGTCAGAGGTTCCTTACAAAATCGTTCAGCACACCAATGGTGACGCCTGGGTTGAGGCTCAGGGCCAAAAGTACTCTCCCTCTCAGATCGGTGGTTTCGTCCTCCAGAAGATGAAGGAGACCGCTGAGGGATACCTCAACAAGCCAATCAAGAACGGTGTTGTCACTGTTCCTGCTTACTTCAACGACTCTCAACGTCAGGCTACCAAGGATGCTGGTCAAATTGCTGGTCTTAACGTTCTCCGTGTCGTCAACGAGCCCACCGCTGCTGCTCTTGCCTACGGCCTCGAGAAGGAGCAGGACCGTGTCATTGCTGTATACGATCTTGGTGGTGGTACTTTCGATATCTCCATTCTCGAGATTCAGAAGGGTGTGTTCGAGGTCAAGTCCACCAACGGAGACACCCATCTCGGAGGTGAAGATTTCGACATCACCCTTGTCCGCAACATTGTCCAGCAGTTCAAGAAGGACTCTGGCATCGACCTCTCCGGCGACCGCATGGCCATCCAGCGTATCCGTGAGGCCGCTGAGAAGGCTAAGATGGAGCTTTCTTCCGCTTCTCAGACTGAAATCAATCTCCCCTTTATCACTGCTGACGCTTCTGGCGCCAAGCACATCAACTCTAAACTCACTCGTTCTCAGCTCGAGGCTCTCGTTGACCCCTTGATCCAGCGCACTGTTGAGCCAGTCCGAAAGGCCCTCAAGGATGCTAACCTTACTGCCAAGGATATCCAGGAAGTCATCCTGGTTGGTGGTATGACCCGTATGCCCAAGGTCACCGAGTCCGTCAAGAGCATCTTCGGACGCGAGCCTGCTAAGTCCGTTAACCCCGACGAGGCCGTTGCCATCGGTGCTGCCATCCAGGGTGCTGTCCTTGCTGGTGAAGTCACCGATGTCCTGCTTCTCGACGTCACTCCCCTCTCCCTCGGTATCGAGACCCTCGGCGGTGTCTTCACCCGTCTCATTAACCGCAACACCACCATCCCAACCAAGAAGTCTCAGACTTTCTCCACCGCCGCTGATTTCCAGACTGCCGTCGAGATCAAGGTCTACCAGGGTGAGCGTGAGCTCGTCCGTGACAACAAGCTCCTCGGAAACTTCCAGCTCGTCGGTATCCCACCAGCCCACCGTGGTGTCCCACAGATCGAAGTCACTTTCGACATTGATGCCGACTCTATTGTCCACGTCCACGCCAAGGACAAGTCCACCAACAAGGACCAGTCCATCACCATTGCTTCTGGCTCTGGTCTCTCTGACTCTGAGATTCAGAACATGGTTAACGATGCTGAGACCTACCGTGCTCAGGATATCGAGCGCAAGGCCCTCATTGAAGGTGCTAACCGTGCCGACAGTGTCTTGAACGATACCGAGAAGGCCCTCAAGGAGTTCGAAGAGAAGCTTGACAAGGCTGAGGCCACCCAGATCACTGAGAAGATCACCGCTCTCCGTGAAGTCGTTGCCAAGTGCCAGTCTGGTGAAACCACTATCACCGCTGAGGAGCTCAAGGCCAAGGTCGACGACCTCCAGACCTCCTCTCTTACCCTCTTCGACAAGATGCACAAGGCCCGCCATGAGGAGAGCCAACAGCAACAGCAACAGCAGCAACCACCACAGGGCGAGGAGAAGCCCAAGGATGGAAGCAACTAAAAAGTGAATCAGAAAAATCCCCTTGATACCATCAATTGAATTCTTTGGAGTTGGGACGCTTTGTTAGTCATACGGAGGGTCATGAGGTCGTCGGATTTGTGCCTCTTTTATGTAAACTAACATTTGTATTTTTATAAATAACGTGTGTAATATTAGAAATGAATGCTTAAGACTAATAAAATACCCCCTCTCACAAGAATCTATATATCAACAATAAAGCATGCCCCCCCCCCCCCCCACCCCCCCTTTTTTTTTTTTTTTTTTTTTTTTTTTTTTAGAAATCTCATTAATTACCGTTCATTAAAAATATGTATTGGGAGATATCAACAAAATACCTAAATACAACCCCCCCATCCAATCAATCATGCCATAGCAAAGCCAAACAAGACGTCCATGTCCACCCACTGCCGTCCACACTTCTTCAAGTACCCATCCACAACCGATTTGACTGTGTCAAACCGTGTCCTATTCCATGCAATAAGTGCTAAGATTGCCTCTCTCTTTTCTACCGAGGCCTCCTTCTCCGCCATCCCCTTAGCTTTCTCAACATCCCACAGTCCAGCAAAGTACAGCAGCTGGTTATATAGCTGCTTTTCACTATATTCATAGTGCATACGACCAAGACAACCTTCAGCACGTCCACGAGGCCCTAAACATCGTTGGCCGTAAACGCTCATTTGACGAGTTCGGTTGCCGCAGGCAGAGTCGTCGCAAACGAGCCAGCCTTCGTAGTACTGTGCGGTCTGGGCTCGGATTTGACTTTCTAGCTGTGCAACAATGGATATGACCGTAAATGCTTTGCCACATGAGGGTTCAGGGCATAATAGGCCGTTGGGAGAACACATATCTCGTGAGGCAACAAGGCCCTCAAACGTGGATTTTTTGCGGCAGAAGCGGCATTGGAGGTTTAGCCTGGCAGCTTTCTCAAATCTAATTGAGTCAGGGATTTGTGATTCAAGGGCGCATAACTCTGTTTCTTGCTGGCCGTGTGTGGCGTTGCTTGAGATTTGGTATTTTCTAACATCCAGGCCGAGACATTCAGCGAGTCGCGCAGCGTCTGTACCGGGAATAGGGGCACATAGTCGCTCAATCGGAGGGAATATCTGCTTTAACAGGTAGAATTCCACGTCTGGCTTCAACCCAGAATCGGGTTTGATGACATCTTGGAGGGTGTATGAGCGTTTAGCTGGTTGCAGCGAGGATGTCTCTGAGTCACCCAACGTTACTATATAAGAAATAACATCATTTGGGCGTACGGATTTGCCCCTGGCAAGCTCACGCAGAGCTACCTGTGCGGGAGGCATAGTCTCCTTGTTTGGGTATTCATCTGGTTTTTTTGATAGTTTCTATGAGATAGGTTAGAGAAAGTATATCAAGGTGTCAATGTAGAATAAGCTTTAGAGGCTCGACGTACCGTATAAATGACATACTTCTGGACCGGAATTGCATATTCATGCATCTTCTGCGCTAGTTCCCGCAAGTAATCATGGATTTTGTTAAGGACAACTTCAACATCATCTCCTGACAAGATCTCATGCAGTAACTTGGTGGAAACCTCCTTTGACAAAGCACAGAATTCTCGACGCTTCATATCCAAACCCTTAACTTCGAGATGTTCAACGTACTTCCCATCAACCTCTGATAAGTTAATTGCGGCATATTTCTTCTTTGCGTGCAGAAGAAGCCTCTTGAACACATTGTCAATATCAATCTCAAGAAGTCTGTATCTCTGATTGACCAAACGTTTGAATTCATTGCCAACTTTGAGTGCCTCCTGAACATTGTCTGTGTTAGTATTGATCATGACTGAATCGGTATCTCCGTAGATAACTCGAAGTTGGTTAGTCTCTGCAAGTTCCTTCGTGTTCCGTAGAATTTCTCGTCCTTTGAATGTTGTAAGCATGGCAAGAGGTCGGGCATAAAATCGTGATTGTGTATAACCCAAACATCCGTACATGGAATTTGCTGTTAGTTTCAAGGCTAACTGTTTGGTATCCCAAAGAGCAAGTTCTTCGGGAGTAGCACTTTTGTCTTTCATCAATTTTTTCACTTCTCTTCGGCGGCTGACAAGAGTGGCAATGAGACGTGGTAGGATGCCTAACGGTTGATCGCTATCTGGGACCTCGGGAACACTCTCCTCTCGGTCATTTTCAGACTGTGTACTCATTAGTATACGTGCTCGCTATGACAAAGCTAGGGTACTCACTGATGCATGTCGATCTACCGTTGTGAAGCAGATATTGAACTCCTGGATGATACTGGGGTACAAACTATTGAAATCCATGACGAGAACGTGTTTGTCGTACAGACCCTTTTCAGGTTCAAAGACGAGGCCACCCTTGTATTTCTCCTTCTTCTTTTTGTCTGCTCCATCTTCTTCTCCTTCATTTTCCTCAATCTTGATCTGGGTCTTGTGTCCATATTTGTCCGGGCAAATATATTTACCACGGTAAAACTCATGAAGCAAAATGTACTCATTTCGCTCGGCTCTAGTTCCGCTAAGTGTTCTAGACCAGGAGTTTCCAGCCAGGTTGGTAAGGACTTTAGTTAAAGGAAGCATCTGTAGCTTGAGAACAAGTGCAGCAATGAAGTATGTATCTGCTTCACAATGGCTGAGAAAGTTCATCAGCCCTTCTTTACTAGTTGCCCATGTTTTGAGAGCAGCTTCGGTGTCGACTTCTCGGCGCTGATCACCCTCGCCCAAGTAAAGTTGGCACATTTCAGTCAAGGTCCACGACTGACATTTCATCATCAAAGACTTGCCCATGTCATTAGCAACATCGCAAAGAAGTCTCCCTGCTAGAAGTTGTCTGTCACTGAAGAATCCGGAGCCTTTTGAGAAATTCTTAGGCCATTCGCCACGCTTCAGTCTGCCAATTCGGTGCCATCCAGGGGTTTTCTTCTCCTTCAATCGGCTGAGTAGGACGTTAAAATCCACCTCTTGAAGCTGATGGCCCATGATGACGTCTGGGTCAATTTTTTCGAACAAAGCCAGGAACTTGCTGAGAAGAAATTGTTCAGTTTTCTCGAGCATGACAGTACCACGCTGCTTTTTAGCTTCGGCTTCAAATCTAAGGGGGTAAGAGAGATTTGAAGGCCTCATAACACTAAAGGTCTTGCAAGGCAGGTTCTCAGGTGGTGTGGTATCACTGAGAGAAAGATTCTCATATACACGAGCCGAAGCAACGATAATCTCTTGCTTATTTTCCTTGACATTTAACTGTGTTCTGAAAGACAAGCTCATGAGTGTCAATGGGGGCGTTTCAATCTCCTCGGAGTCTGGAACTAATGAAATTTCGGCAGGATTTGTGACCTGGCACTCAAGCTTGCACCATGAAGCTCCATTGACCGCTGTGAAGTCTGCATCTTCAATTTTTAACCAGCAGGGACCCATGATATTCTTCCACAGGACAAATTGCTCAAAAAGAGCAGTATTCGTTCCGAAAACATGAGAAAATGTCTCGCCTTTCAATTCCATCGGTAAGGCAGGTTTCGTGTAGGGATACATCAGCTTGAGGTATTCGGCTTCTTTAGGAATGTCTGGCAACTCAAAAGCGTATTTTCGAGTGCAAGGTTTGATTTTATGCATCTCAACTTTCGATCTGCTCATGATATTATCCACCTCCCCATAGACATCTTCCATGTCAACCTCTTCACTGGTAGTTTGGCCACGGATATATTTGTATTCTCGGGGAAGGAAATATAGTTTCCTAAGAATATTGTCGACTTTAACAAAAGCACTCACGTAGTTGTTGTTGGTCTTATTCTTGACTTTTCCGAATAAGCAGAGACTACCGTTAATTTCAGTGTAGTCCAACCAGAAAAACCTCAAGCTACCGTCCTCCTCCACAGCTTCCTGACAGGTAAGTTTTCCGAATCGTTGCATATCAGTGACCGAGCTGTTGAGAACATTCAACTTGTTCGTTACATCATTCCAGGATGAAGGATTGATCATTTCGGTTGTGGCCCGGGCCGGAGAAGAAGCCATAGGATCATCGTATACTTCTTTCTTGACTTTTGGAGGCGGCCGCTTTCCAACCATGTTGACGCTTGGTGTATTAGCACTATGGTCCGCAACAGCTTCTGCTACATCCAGCATATCGTCGTCTCCATCATCGTCGTCTTCTTCCTTTTTGATTACAACTTGTTTCGATCTCGAGGTACCGGCTGTCTTCCGCTCCACTGCACTAGCAACTGGGGATGAAGGTAATGGCTGCTCACTCATAATGGCATCGTCGTCACCACCATCAAGGAAAACATCATCTTCAAATTCCACATCTGCTGCTGAATTATCTTTTGGGTGGGGACTATCATTCTCCTGGTCGATCTCGGTCTTCTTCACTCTTGGCTTTGGTTGAGCTGGAGGGGAAACAATCCGTACTTTTCTCCTGGTCTCGGACTTTACGGATTTCTTGACAGGAACATTCAAAGGGGCTATATTCGTCTCAACGTCACCTAGAATATCCGCAAGAAACGCTTCGTCATCAGCCGTAGCAACAGGCTAAATAACAGAAATTCGTTAGACACGGTCACTGCCATATTTTACCGAGGAGTGAAAGTAGAGGCACATACCTTTGGTTTCGAGGCCTGTTTGGTGAGGGTGGCCGTAAAATACTTATTAATTCCATTGTTTATTTCCTCCTTTTTCTTGTTATCTTCTTCACGCTTCCGCTTAGCGGCTTTCCCCCTGACTGGCAAGCCGTCACTGTCACTGTCGCTAGCTGCAAGTCGGGTATCATCCCACTCTTCCCGACCGTCGTCTGCGTAGCCCTCGCCATTATCATCAACCACAAAGTCATCGCGATCTAGTCGTTTTCGGACAACCTTCTTATACCCTTCCTCGTCAACTTGTTCGTAAATATCTTCGTCTTCTTGAATTTCGTAAGTCGAAAGCCGCTTCTTTCCAGAGGCACGGAGAGCCCTCAGCTCTTCTAACTTTTTGGCACGAGAAGACATGATGAAATTGAAGGCCTAAAACGAAAGAAAACAAATCATAAAAACGCAGTGTCGTTAAAAGAGTGTCGACTAGGCGAACACTCTGGTCATGATACCTCGTCGTCCTTGGGGGAAAAGACGAGCATTTCTCACAAATCGCGCGTTGTGAGATCCAAACCAATTAACAAACCTTAAAACACCGCGTTTCGCGTCAGTTTGACGCGCGCAAATAAAAACTTTAGTCATGTGACTAACCTTATTTGAAAGTTAATTTTTCAGCAATTTAAGCGAATAATATTATGAGAATAACATTTGCTCCAGGTCATTATTTCAACAGGAGCAAGAGCTCGTCTATAGATGGGGAGTGGAACGTGCCGAGCGAGATGAAGACGAAGACAGTCATCTACGTTCTATAGAGCACACTTAAAAGAAGTTGGAGTAATCAGGGGTTTGACATAATAGGTTTAGAGTCTACCTCAAAAGACAGATATTTGACATTCGTTAATACATTAAAACCTCATGACCAAACCACCCGTTAACGCCCAAAGTCCGACACCATTTTTTTTTTGTTTCGACTAGCTTAGTTCATCTGTTTGATGAGGGCGTTGATGTTCTCCTCACGGTTACCAGTGTCACCACCCTCGATGAAGTGCTTGAACTTGCGAGTGCGGAAACCACCAGTAGGGTTGGAAAGCTTGAATGGCCACAGGAAGTTGCTGGCCTGCTTGAAGTTGGGGCCGACAGTGTAGATCTCGTGGATCAAGTCTTCCATGCAGACAATGCCGTACTTGCCAAGGTTCTCCTCGATAAGCTGGTTGTCGGTAAGGGCAACACGCTGCTTGTTGATCTTTCCGTAACCACGCTTGTAGACGAGCTCACGGACGCTCTTGAGGTTGGGGTAGCCGTAGGCAATGTATGGGTCAACAATGGTCAACATCTCAGCAGTAGCCTTGGTGAGCTTGACGAAGACTCCGTTGTTGATCTGGAGAAGACGGAGAAGCTGCAGGATCTTGCGAGGCTTAGGAGCAATCTTGTTGATACTATACAGTTGTTAGAATGCAATGTTATTTGATTGAGAAATTGAATTGGTACTAACCCCTTGATACGGACAACGAAGACAAGCTTGGGCTGAGCAGGGACATAGAGGGTGCCCTCCTGCTTGCTCAAACGAGCCAAGCGGATCTTCTCGCGCTCAGCATCACGGTACTCCTTGACATAGGACTCGGCACGCTTGAAGATGACAGCACGCTTGTTCTTGTTGGCCTATAGATAACATTCAGTCAGTATAAACGTTATCCACCAGAGATGCTGCAATATATATTGTTTTGAGTTGCAACTTTCAGACCCGAAAGATGGTTAAAGTGAAAGCGACAGCATCGACCTGAAGGTCTAGTCGCATCGTTGGTGATATCATCACAATACAAAGCAAGAAACATAACATAGGCGCAGGATATGCAAAATAATGGTGTCAAACTAACCTTGCGGCGCTTCTCAAGTTCAGCGGTGCGGTTGGCTCTGGCCTTCTCCTGGCTCTTGCGCTTCTTCAAGAGGGTCTCAGGAACAAGGACCTGGTCCTGGGTTGGGACAGTGCTAAATGCCCGATGTCAGTATAGTCCGATCCACGTATAGTGAAATAATCTCGCCGAGTGTAAGAACTGCAGCTTATAGTGCCACATTCTCAACTGAAGGCGTTTAATAAAGACTCGACGAAATGTTTTTAATCAATGAAGACTTTGGATTGTTTTCACAGTAGGTACTAGCATATCCACGCATATACAGTTGGATTTAGCTTTCCCGGTTGCTTGAACTATCGCAAAATATCCTCAGTTGACAAAGCCCCATGCAATTACTGCGCGGGATAACTGTGCCTGTCTATTTTCGCAATCATATGGACAACCAATGCCTCATGCAAGGACCGGTATCCAATTCGCGTAGACCCGACAATAAATTTCAAGGAGAAAGCTATGACACCTTCAGCCTCAATGCCCCATTGACGTCTCCCTATAGACCTCCATTCCTTGCTATCTGTAGGCCACTTGGAAGGGTTTCTGAGGGAGCGCCGGGATTGTTCGAGCTGGTGCTAACATCAATCACAGTCAAGTGATACGGTGCAAGCGACTCCAGCGAGAAGGACGGACTATAACCCAACACTACACACACGGGACTGAGATTAGTGAGGAGAAGAGAGAAGGGAAGCATACGTAGAGGTGGGAGCCATGTCGAAAGAGTCTGAGGTCGACTTGTGCTGAATTTGCTGGTCGAAAATGTCGTTGAAGTCGCGAGGTCAAAAAGGAAGCAGAAACGAAAGTTTTGAAGAAGTTTTTGTGTTTTGTGGAAAGCAGAAGGCGCTAGTCCTGATTAGTCAGTGGGCATCACGTGGATGTTGCTTTTGGACTTTTAGGGCTAAAGTTGATGAGTCAGCGGTTTTATCGATAAGAACGAACGACGCAGGAAAGACCTTGAGGACAGCAAAAGAGGAAGAGAAGAAGACAAGCAACATAGCGCGAAGAAGAGAAACCCGACAAACAGGAGGTCACAGGCAAGTTACGAGACAATAAGCGCTCACTATGTCGTCCCGTCGCGGTGTTGGACTAGGAGCGTTTGTGAATAAGAACCAGGCTTCGCAGTCCTTTGCAACCCATGGCGCCAACCTGAAGTCAACACATGCGAGCTCTCTCCAGACACAGTTATCAGTTTTCCAGTCCCTCCTACATACCTTTGCCCTCGAACATGGAGAGACTATCAAGTCAAATCCGACCTTCAGAGCAGAGTTTGCCCGCATGTGTCATGCCATAGGAGTCGACCCACTAGCTGCCAGCAACATCAAGGGGAAAGGGAAACGGGGACTCGGCGAAGGTGGTAGTTTCTGGACGCAAATACTCGGCGGAGATGTCAACGACTTTTACTTCGAAGTTGCTGTCAGAGTAGTTGAGCTTTGCCGAGAGACGCGCGCGGAGAACGGCGGCTTGATCAGTGTAGAGGCTTGCCGGAAGGTGGTGGGAGCTGGTAAGGCTATTGGAGGTGGATTGGAGGTTTCCGAGTACGCCGGCTCTCTTGAGTGTGTGACTTATGTTTGGCTTAACTACTGACATTGTATTAGGGATGATATACTCCGTGCTGTCGAGTCTCTGGTACCACTCGGATCCGGCTTTAAAGTCGTCAAAGTTGGGAGCAAGACATTCATCCGGTCTGTTCCCAAGGAGCTTAATACGGACCAAGCCACCGTTCTGGAAGTCATCCAGCTCCTAGGTTTTGTAACGGTATCTATGCTACAGTTAAATTTACAGTGGGAGAAAGCGAGATCGAAGACGGTTATCGATGACCTTCTTGCGGACGGTCTTGTATGGGTTGATTCACAGGCTGAAGAAGCGGAATACTGGTCGCCCCAATATCTACAAGATAGCGGGTGAGATGGTCGTGTATTTGACTTGAAGCTGAAAAAACTTCCCGACTCACTAGTTGGCCTATCTTCTTACCCACACACGAGCCTATGTCGCCCGTGTTGAACACCGTTGGTGAACGCACCCACCGCTAAATACTAGGAAGACGGACGTTACCTGTTGCCATCCAACGATTGGAGGCCCTCTACCACCGCCATGGTAACGAAATGTTGAATACTGAAGCCTGAAACACCTGTCCGGTATATTCGGTGCCCACCTAAAGTTATGGATGGCCCGATGATAGTCAGCTGCGCCCGGAAGGCAGGAGTATTTATATTTAGAGTCAACATTCGATAGTCGAATATTGAAAAGTGAACCACTGAAGTTTTGATTTATTTAACCTGCCATTGATCGTTTATAATATGCATGGACATTTTTGAACCCTGCCAAATGGCGTAGATGCAGACTCAACCCCAAGCATTCACTGAAGACAGAGCCGGTACACGTAAATAGGAAAAGGAGTAAAAAGAAGACAAGAACCATTAAGAAAACGAAAGTAGGAAATGATGCTGACACAGAAAATCATAAAACACATCATTTCATTAACTTCTTGGGTGTCAAAAAAAGGGGGGCTTGGTGATAGAAGAAGGGGATTAGAAGGGATAATTCTTTCATGCTCGGATCGCTCCACCAAGGGCACCACCGCCGAACTGCTGGTTACCGGGCCTTCTACCTTGTCCTCCAATACCACCACCACGGCCACCACCACCTCGCTGTCCGCCTCTGCCACCTCGTCCACCACCTCGTCCGCCATGACCCTGGTCACGTTGGAACGCATTGGTCATGCCTTGTGTTCGTTGTTCAAGGGTCTTCTCGTTAGCTTCTAGCAGAGACATGGACTTGTCTGCAAGAGTAACGATTTGACTCTGGAGTCTAGAAAGCTCAACGCCCTTGCGGAAGACAATGGCGTCGTTGACTTGGTCGAGGGCAGCGCTGAGTTCTTCGTGAGAGATCATGCGGCTGACAATAGCAGCAATTCTCTTCTCAGAGAGCTCGAACATGGCGGCGAGGGTGCTAATGGAGAGGGTATCGTAGAATGGAGCGTAGGTGAACAGATAGGTACGTAGACCTTCCTCTTGGATTTGTTCGGCAAGCATGACTTTGATCTTGTCGGGCTGGGCCATCAAGTCCCAGATCTTGATGGAGTTGAGGGTGGCAGAGGCCTTCTTCCAGTCGCCGGCTGCAAGGAACTTGGCGCTCATGATAACACCATCACGGGTGTTCTCTGGTGGGCCGGTGAAGACTTGTCGCTCGTTGTAATCGAGCATTCTTCGGAATGTCTTGGAGATAATGCGGCGCTTGAGTTCGGGGGAGGAAGAGCTCTGGGCCATCAGGGGAACCTCAAGGAACATGCTGGAGGTAAGGTAGATGCACTCGAGGAGCTCAAGGTTGATGTGCATGTGGAAGGGGAGCTGGCGTTGACGCTCAAGTTTCTCCTGCTCGGGGGAGACAGAGGAGTATCTCTGCATGATGATTCCCTGAGCCAGAAGCTCCTTTTGTCGTCCACTTCCGCAAACCTCAGAGAGGGTGTTTTGGGCTTCATAGACAAGTCCGGCACGGAAAGCGCAGAGACCAATCTGCACAAGTGTCCGGTTGAAGAGGATCTGTGTGCTGACGTCAAAGTTGGAGATGTTCTCTGTGAGATGGGACATCAACATGAGGTCTCTGGCGCGGTGGTATTTATCATGAAGGGCGAGGAAGTAGATCTGGCAGAGCATAGCACGAGCTCTGATGATGCCGTCACTGTACTCGAACAGATAGTTACAAAGGGTTTGTACCAAGGCGGTGACATCTGTGCTCTTTGCTCGAGGCGTGATCGATGAGTCGAGCTTCTCAGGGACAACCTTCCAGGAGTTTTCTTCCATTATGTTGACAACCTGGGCAGGTTTGAAGTAGACGTGCTCTAGTCTTCGCATCAGAACTCTGTTCACGCTATCTTGTCTGGGCTCGGACTTCTCGATCTCATTGAGGTTCTCAACGTAAATCAAGGCACGAACAATGTTGTTGTATAGTAGCTGCTCGTCACTGAGTCTCTCAATGTACTCGGCTGTGTGAGGGTCGATGTGTTGCAGCGAACGGGTGAGCTCATCATCTAATCGTTCAACCAGAGAGACGATGCTTCCAGGAACCTTGAGAACTTCACCAGGAGCCAGCTGTGGCATCTTCTCATCATCTTCCCACTCTTCAGCACCTTCAGTGACAACATACGAAGGGTTCTCCTCCAGGGTCTGGAGCAGGGTTGTAATCTCTCGCTCAGCGAGTTTCCATTGATCAGTACCCAAGAAGTTGTTTACCGAGGTGGTGCTGAGGTCGAAACGAGTAGAGATGAGGGTCAGGAGGATTCGGATGGTGTGGTATGGTGTTGTGGCAACCTCGAGGAGTTTTTCCATAGTTCGGATCTGCTCCATGCGGTCGGTGTTTTTCTTGCCTCTAGACTCCACAACAACACGGAGGTGCTTGAGAATACTCTCTGGGGTATACTGGAGAGCCTTTCCACCACGGCCAACGGTCGAGAATCCAGTATCGTCTCCGATAAGAACATCCTCAACCCGGGTAGCGGCACGGGGAGCACGCTCCACAACCACGACTTCTTCCTCCTGGTCTGGTTCCATGTACTCCTCCTTGTTCTCTCTGTACTTTTCGATCTCGGTGACATATTCCTTATTGTTCTTCTTTAGACGCTGCTTGACAGTGTTGAAGCCCTTGGCGTTGTTGGCGTTCATTTTCTTTGTGGACACCTTCTGCTTCGCAAGCGTCTCGTTCATGAAGTCCTCCAGATCGGCAATGGCTTTGATATAGACCTTTGGAATAGGACCAGACTGGACAATCTTTGCAGTCTGCCTGTTCAGCTTATCAAACTCTACACCACCCAAGTCAGTTTTCTCTTATCAAGGAGCACCACCCCGCAGTCCACGGCCAACCATTCTGCAGACATACCTGTAGAAATAACAGCCCAGTCATTGATTCTCTCCGCATTATCAATGACCTTGATTGTGTGTTCCAACTCCTCTAGCCTCTTATCCTTCGCACTCTTCATGACCGTAACCCGCTCCTCATCTTCGTCCGACTCAACGGCGGCCTTGGTCGACTTGTAGAACTTGCTCGCACCCTGGAGACCACCATCGTCATCGGAATCACTCTCCTCCTCCGAGGACTCCTCCTCGCTGGACTCTTCTTCGCTGGACTCCTCCTCATCGTCTTCGGGCTTATCGCGATCGCTGTAGAGCTCCTCCTCGTCTGAGGACGAGCTTTCGCTGTCACTGCCGCCGTGGAAGAAACGAGACATCGTGCTGATCAGGACAGGCGTGCGGGCTCCTTGTTTCGTGTGCTGATCTCTCGACAAACCTGACGGTAACGCTGGAGATATCTGTGGTCTGGTCGGTGGTGGTTTCGTTCGCTCGCTCGCTTTCTTTTCGCTCGTCAAAAAACGACAAACTCGATAAAAAAATCTAAGCGAGGGTGGCTAGCCTGATCGGGTTAGCGCGGGTCATATAACAGCCCAGGCATCGACAGGCAAAATCGCCAACGACAGTGCTTCCTCTGGCATTTGATAGCTGCTGATAGCTGTTGAGCGCCTTTGATGGCTGATACTTCTTTCACTGATCAGGAGTAGCTAAAATTATTACTGAATTTGTCCTCAATATGCTCATTCCTTTTTCAAGAGTGCCTGTGTCATGAAGTCAACTTCATATACCCAAGTCCCCTGGACTAAAGATGTAGCTATAGCAGAGATCATCTATCAAGGCATGACGGCAGTTGATTCGGTCGTTGGTACCTAATCCTGGGTTGTGCCATATTCTATCACGATAACTACAAGAAACCAGACGCCGTCGAATGCTTTCTGCAATTGCGTGCCTCACTTCTGCTGTTTGCAGATGACTACATTGCCCACTTAATGGATCTATAATATATGGCCACCTAGCGGGTAAAACATCGCGGGGCTATTTCATATATCTATTCTGCTAGGCTCTGTACAGAGGGATTGAATCTCTTATCACAGAGCTTCATATCGAAATACTGCTTGATGGGTTTGGCATCTAGCCATTGAACGTGGCACTCACTCCAGCCAATCTCTAATCAAGCCAACACTACTCCGTACGTTCTACCATGGATTCGTCCTAATGTCGCAGGACTTTAGCTATAAAGCCTCACAGTTATCTGGAACCCAACCACTCAAGACCAAAGGGGCAGGAAGATATTGTCGTATGACTTCTATTGCCCCTTTTCACCTCGAATATAACTTGCTTGACCAGGATCCAAAGTAAACATCAGGAATACTTTTCAGAAGGGAAATACTTCGATCTATTGCCGGCTCATTTTTATCATTCTAGCTAGACTTAGATGTCAGAATGAACCTTTTCTTAGCTTCTGAATACCCTAGTCACTGGACGTGAGCATCTTCCTATATATCTACAACTAACTACACCCCCAGCATCTCTTTCCAATCTAGAGTGAGGCGGGTCGATATAATATGTTATGAGATAACATAACTACCAACTCCAACGCTATGGTTAACAGACTAGAGATAAAGGCGTAAAAGAAAAAAAAAAAAAAAAAATTCGAAGTTCGAAGAATGACGTATCTCAAAAAGTCAAACGGTAAAGCTGATAGAGAAGATGAAGCGAAGCAAAGTGGGAATATAGAAAGTATAAGCCTTTAATCGGCCCATCAAGCGGTTACATCCTTGTTTGTGGATGTTGTTATACTGGAATAGAAAACAAAAAAATAGAGAAAAAAAGACGACCACTTGAAGGTCAAGAGATATAAATGTTGATAAAATAGGGGAATAATAGAAGGGAATATATAAAGGTAACGGAATGAAAAGAAAAGAAAACAGGGGGGCATTCATATCTCCTTCTCCTTTTTTTAACCCTTTTGTCTCATTCGTTCCAGGAGAGGCATCATTTTCATCCACCAATACCTAGCCAACATACACAGAGCATAGCATTCCACTATATTCATCATCAGTGATAATTCTGTTCTTGTCCTTTCTCTCATTCGTCGGAGCTAATTGCCTCATCCATCGTCAACCAAGTTCGATTCAATTCAACTTGTTTATCCCAATACCCTAAAATCCAAGTGGTGCGGGCGTTCCATCGCGTGATATAAGTGTGTGACCTGTTTGGCGCGCGCAAGACCATTGGCTATGTGCACGTATATTGCAGATGCCTTGCGAAGAGTATATAATGTTTGATGAGTGGAGTGGAGAGGCAGGGGGCGGGATGTTGGGTAAATGTACATAAGTGAGCCAAACCCGGGATTCAAATCCAGGGAACGTTAACCCTTTCCAGAGCCCGATTGCGTTATTGGCTTTTTAGGGTGGTAGTTTGTTTGAAGCTGTACGGCCAATGGAGGTGAGCTATATCCCCAATTGGTACAGTTGGAATAAAATAAATGTGAAATGGTATTTGGAAAAATTTTCACGTTCAATCAGTGCCACTGGTTCTGGTTCTGGTTCATGAAGCCATCTCCCAGTGCCCCATCTTCGAGACTGCGGATGAAGTCTCTATTTCGGCCGTGTGAACCGTTGTTTCTTGCCCGGCTAGTTCGTCTTTGACCTGGGCCGGAAGCGTCAGGGTACCCGTCTGCCGGAGGTGGGTAGTACGCCGGGCTAGGCTGGAGTCGAATGGGTGAGTTGGGGTCCAAGTGACTAGCTACCCGTTGTATAGACGGTGGAATACCACTCTGCTGTTGATCCATTGTCGTAGCCCGTTGTCGACCTGCGCGGGTAGTTGCTTGCGCGTATAGGTTTTGAGAGGAGCCATACTGTGTCTGCTGCGGTGGCATGGACATATGGCCAGATTGCATGATGGGCATTTGATATCCCTGTTGTGTAGGATAGGGTGGTGGTGGTCCCTGTTGCTGCTGAGGCTGTTGCTGTGGAGGCGGGGCCGGGTGTTGTTGCTGTTGCTGGGAATTATACATGTTGTTGTAGACTGGTGGAGGTTGATTGTGCGGTGTGTTGAATTGGTTCATTTGAAGAGCATAAGCAGACTGGGCGGCAGCGGCAGCGGCAGAGTTTGCTTGGGCTTGGGCCGCTTGTGCCTGTGCAGCTTGGGCGCGTTGTTTGGATGCTGCTTCTGCTTGTTGCTGTTGTTGAACTCCGGGAGCAACAGACTTATTAATAACGGAGGATTTGAGGTGGACCGGCGGGACGAAGGGCTGGGTGAACTTTTGCTGCGTGATAAAGGGGTGGAGTTTGGCTTGTTGCGGAGACCATCTTTCAAGAGGGTTAATGGATAGGAGGCCGCGAACAAAATCAATGAATGCCACGCGGTTGTTCATTTCTGTTGATCAAAGAGTTAGTTATAATTCACCGCAACATGCTTGGGGCAATACACATACCTCTGTCAATTTCGGCCTGCTTCATGTTCTTTCGCGGCATTGCGTATGACCTGATGATTTCCGGCAGTGTGGTAGCTTGGAAGTACTTCTTGCTTGGCTGTTCCTTGGTGTTGTGCTCGCGAGAATATTGTTCCATGCTCTTCAGTCTAAAACTCTGTCGGCCAAACTCATCTTGTGTCTTCTCGAAGAATTCACCAGCCTGCTTCCCGTTCTCGAGCATCCATACTGGAGGCAAGCCCAGCATCTCTGTTATTCTAGCTATTTGGTTGTATTCCGATGATCCAGGGAAGAGAGGAAGCCCGAGGAAGAGTTCAACAACAATGCATCCGAGGGACCACATATCAATTGCCGAGGAATATCTGCAGGGATGTTAACAATTAATTCTAAGAGTGCATTGAGTAAAACTACTTACGGCAATCCTAGGAGAACTTCGGGTGAGCGGTAAAATCTAGACTGGATATAGGTATAGACAGTTTGTCGCTCGTCACACGCGGATCCGAAGTCGATAATTTTGATTATAGGGCTCTCGAGGCTTTTTATCAAATATGTTAGTTATCAATTGTAAATTTCAAGGAAAGCGGCAACGTACTTTTTTAGCAAGATGTTCTCCGGCTTTAGATCGCAATGTATCAATCTAGCTTTGTTCAAGAGTGCGAGCCCGTTAAGCAACTGTTGAGCGAACACCCTCACGAGTGTGGTACTCAATCCACGAAACTGATTCTGCTTAATCAACTCGTAAAGATTAACGCTGAGCAACTCAAACACCAAGCACAGATGTTGACGATGGATGAAGGTGTCCTTTAGTCGAAGTAGATGGTGGTCATCGTTCTTGTCTAGTTTGCTGCTAATCTGCTAACTGTTAGCTGCAAGTCTAGTCCGACAAACGTTAGCATCGACATACCAAATCCAAGACCGAAACTTCCATCATACTCTGATTGAAGTATGCAGTCCTATTCTTGATGACTTTCACGGCAATGACTTCCTGAGTCTTTAGATTTTGACACTTGACTACTTGTCCAAAAGTTCCTTGGCCGAGGACGTCAAGGATAAGGTAGCGGTTCCTAGTTGACAAGGAGTCAGTATGCTGCTGTGGACTCGACGTGTGCAATGTGTCAAGAGCGTCGTACTTGTGGTTTGCTTCCTCACTGCCGAGAATATCGTTGACATAAAGAATATAGTCGCTATCGTCGTTATCGTAGCCATCGTTCTTGACACCTTTGCTTGGCTTCGTCAGCACACGTCGAGGATTCCTAGATGATTCGTACTTGAAGGTCGGGTTGCAAATTCGATATGTTGCTGGTAGATGTGTTGTGAGGGCTTGTAGAGGCTAGTGTGAAAGATAAGATAAACAGATTAGCATTAGCGTCGATATAGCGATAAAGGTGAGCGCTGCGGGGAAGCATACACTGATGAACCCTCCCTCTGGGTTTGCTCGTCGGAAAGCTGGCTGCTTGTTGATCCTAGGTTGTAGCTCACTGATGCATTTGATACTCTGGAACTTTGGTACGGGACCCCTGCCCATGCCGACACTAGGACTCCCGCCAGCTGACTGAGGCTGATACGAAACGGGGCGATGAGATTTTGAGTCTTGGCCAAATGCGGAATGGAGCTGAAGGGTCGCCGACTGCGGATAGTATCTCTCCGGGCTCATATCGTTGGACTGCACTGGGGGTAGGCGTGGGGCATGCGGTCGTGAGGGTGCGGCTGGAGATGTGTTAGTAAGATGACGGTCAATGTAAGAGTTCGCTGCGTGTTAAGGAAGAGCTGGTTTATGAACGGTGAAAAGGAAACGGTCATCGTTAGGCTTAGAGTGTAGTGATGGAGGGTTGCTGAAATTCCAGTCCACCTTTGGCGAGATGGGAGGCGTTGAGGCTTCCTCTCGCTCAGTGCTGGCTATGGGCTGTATCAACAGTCCGCCAGCGAGGATAGGCAGAGAGTGAGGTGATTGAGAGTGAAACAGGACTGAGAACATACATGGTGGTGATTGATATGATTGCGAGGCCGAGTAGTTGTTTGCACTGGTCGTAGGCGAGGGATGTGAGCTGGACTTCGCGGTGGGAGGGAAGGCATATGTATTCTGGGCGGCGTTGGGACTCATGTTATACGGCAAAGTGGGCGAGATAATGTTCATGGGAGAGTATCTGCGGGCAGCGGAGGAGGTCTCTTCATTAGCGAGGTATTGCGACGAGTTTCTCTGGTGCGTGGGCGGTCGAGCAGAGTACTTGGCTCTGTTGTAAGGGTCCGCGTCCTCCATGTGGGTGTCATGATCCAGATCGCGAGTGTTGGGCGTGCCGGAGCCGTTGCCGTTGCCAGAGGGCGAGGGGACCATGGAGGTCGGTCTGAGGCTTGCAGGCACCTTAGACACGCTGCCTGGTGGTTGATACGTCTCGTACGTGAAGCCGCGAGGAGGCTGGTGTGTCTGTCCGTGGTCGACGGCTGAGTGGCCAGTGTTGGGAGTGAACTGGCCAGGCTTGTTCCCCGGTATATCGGAGTAGTTCTGCCACTGTGGTTCCATATTTTCTTGCTGCCCGAGGAGCTTGCAATAATAATAATAACAATAATAATAATATCCGCTCTATCAGCCTGCCTGCGTGGATTGCTGTACGTGCTCGTTCGCCTCTTGTTTACCACTGGGGTGGCTTGTTTGACGCAAAAGCGATTGCCAAACGGGACACCGGACTGAACTGCCCGTCCGTGTGCAGTGAGCAGAGGCAGCAGGACACCCTGATACTCTGTGTATTTCGGCTGTGGGTATGTCTGCGAGTCGGAGGAGCCGGCGCTGCAGAGGCGTAGACGTTGCGACTGGGGGAGTATTTCTAATATGCTAAACGGGCGGGCGAAACGTCTAGCAGCGCATCATCGAGCCGGCGAGACGTCGACAAGCTCACAGGCAGAAGTAATTGCAGTATCCACGGCCACTTGCCCGGCCATGCAGCAGTCTCGTAGACCTGGAGCAGATATTACTGAGCGGCCGCTCGATGGCTGCAGCGGGCAGTGGATGGCTTCGACGGTGGAGGAGCAAGACGGGCGGCGGTGGCGGCTGGGGGGGTGGGATGCGGCCCCTGAAAAAGGACTCAGCGGACGGGCGGCAGGATGAAGAAGCCCTGGGCCTGTCAGGCTGCTCGCTCTGGCTGTCCGTCTGTCGAGTGCTGCTGTCGCTCTGCGTGGTGATGGATGCGATGAAGTGGACGAGGACAGGCGAGGGAGAAGTTGAGGTTGCAAGTCCGCGAGTTGCGAAGTCAGCACAGGCGCTTTTCCCTCCCCGTGCAGCAACAACATCAACAACGTCAACCTTCACTCAACGTCAGCGCCTGGCCACGCTACCGCTTGCAACCACGCCGTCCTCTGCGTTTACCTGGATAGACTGGCCTTTTGTTGTTGGGCTTACGGGCCGGTAGTGATGGTAGTGACGATGGCTACAGACTGACAGGGCTTGCTACGACTACGGTGGAGAGACGCAGCTTGGGTGCGCCGTAGATGTACCTGACTCCAGCCCAAGGACGTCGAGCTGCCTGAGCAAAAGCAAAGAAGAACGAGGACGGAAGAAGACGAGTAGCAACAGGGGGTGAGGAACCGTCGGCGGCAGACTCGGTGGTGAGAAGAAGGTCTGTCACTTTGCTCGCCTCCTCGTCGAGTATACTTAACACCCCCATTTCTGCGGCTTCCATCTGGGCCTTGACAACCAACCCCCAAGCAACGGAGTAACAAATAAACGCATCACTAACAGTCTTTTTTAGACCTCCAAGACCTCCAAGGCAAGAGAGAACAAGTACGAAACCATGGCTCGGGCTGACTAATCTCGCATATTTAGTTAACTAGTGAGCTGCAGCCTGGAGAGCTTCGAAGGTGATAAAATGATAGCTGAGAAGTGAGAGAGATGAGAGAAGAGATAAAGAAGAAGGAAAGTGGAAGAGAAAGAAGGAAAAACGAGGTCACTGACGGCATGGCTGGTCTCTACTGAAGGACTAACCCCGGGGTAAAGAGCTCTGGTTGGTCGTCGAGTCGATATATCAAGCGTAACGGCTCGCCTCTCACAGGAAGCTAGCCAACTATCTACATAAACCCGATAATACATCCATATATTGCCAGCTCTGCTCGACGATGGCAAGGTTAGACCAGGATAAACGCCAGGACGGCTCGTCAGGGACCGCCACTGATGCGCCAGCTGAACCCTCACAGCAGGATGTCCAAGGAACTGACGAGTCGAGCCGCCTGCGAGCCCTCAATGCCGACATCAGAGATCAGGACGATCTCGAGAGAGATATCACACGCCAGGTGTGTTGGCTGTTGGACATGTTTCACCCTCCTGTCCCCTGGGCAGACCTTAACTAACCCTGCTCAATATAGGCCGACAAAATATTAAGGGAGCAGGCTAATGAGCGAGATATACGACGCCTTGAGCGTACCAGAAACGAGAAAGTGTACAGTCTTGCCCCGACTCCCGATTCAACCCAGCTGTACAAGTTGACAAATATATATGGTGTAGAAAGATCGAATCTCAGGTTCTTAGACTTCATCAGCGACTATCAGAGCCCATCGGTACTTCTGCCCGAGTAAAGTACGAGGCAGATATCAAGAATGCGGAAAGTCGCTTGACGCAACTTGAGACGGATCTAAAAGAGATACAGCAACGTATCGAAGAGCGCGGCGGAGAAGAGGATGCTGCTGGTACCAGTGCTGGGCGTGAGGAAGGGTCGGCGGCTGGGAGATTGCCCAACGAGTCACGGAGGGACTATCTCATACGCACAGGCAAGATTACTCCCTTTTCGCGCATGGGTGGGGGTGCTGGAGATGATGCAGGAACCACGCTGCAGAGCGCTTTGTTCGAGGCGGAGGATGAGCGAGACGAAGAACTTGCGCTTGAAGCTGCTGGTGAACAGCCCGTCGCTTCACATCGGCACTTGATGAAACCTGGGTTTGATGATAGCCAGTTTGACGAAGCTGTCCGCCCGACGAAGAGGCGCAAGGTAGCTGGTGGCTCTGGCGTGGTAGCTAGCTCGCCTATCGTTTCAGACGATGAGTACCTCGATGCTGATGCTGAAGAACCTGAGGATGAGGAGGAGTCTGTAGACGAAGAAGAGCTGGATTCAGATGAGGCAGCAGGGCGAGCTCGGAGGAAGAAAGGAAAAAGCAAAGGGAAGTCAAAGACTGCCGGTGCCATTGAAGACTTCAAGGGGGTGGATGATGGAGACGAGCGAGTTTACCAGTCACGACTACGGGATTGGGTTCATAGACGGTCTGAAGCCCGTGATCGCGCAAAATTAGAGACGCTTCGCCTTTCAGGGGAGGACAATGCCAAGCCAGAGGACGAACAGACGTCAGATCAACGTTTGGAAGAAGAATGGCACTTGCCGCATCCAACTACTCCCGATACGGAGCTGGATGGTGGCTACCGGCTTCCAGGAGACGTATACCCGTACCTTTTCGATTACCAAAAGACAGGCGTCAAATGGCTATGGGAGCTGTACCAGCAACAGGTTGGCGGCATCATAGGAGACGAGATGGGCCTCGGTAAGACAATACAGGTTATTGCTTTCCTGGCTGGTATCCATTATAGCAAGAAGCTCAAAGGTCCCATCATTGTCGTCTGCCCACCTACTGTCATGAAGCAATGGGTTAATGAGTTTCATCGCTGGTGGCCACCTTTCCGTGTCTCAATACTACACACCTCTGGAAGCGGGATGGTCAATATCAAAAGTGAAAGCCAAGCTGAAGATAGATATACCTCTGGCGTCTGGGGGGATCGAAATTCTACCACACAAAGAGGCAATAAGGCAGCTCGCCGCATCCTGAAAAGAGTCCTAGAAGACGGCCATGTACTGGTTACCACCTACGCAGGGCTGCAGACCTACTCCTCGCTTCTTATACCTGTAGACTGGGGCATCGCTGTGCTAGATGAAGGCCACAAGATACGTAACCCAGACACTTCAATCACCATTCATTGCAAGGAACTACGGACATCTCACCGCTTAATCCTTTCTGGCACACCCATGCAGAACAATCTTACAGAGCTATGGTCATTATTCGATTTCGTCTTCCCCATGCGTCTGGGCACCTTGGTCAATTTCCGAAACCAGTTCGAGTTCCCCATTCGAACAGGAGGGTATGCAAATGCCTCCAACTTGCAAGTTCAGACCGCAGCAAAGTGCGCTGAAACACTCAAGGATGCCATAAGTCCATACTTACTACAACGATTCAAGATGGACGTCGCAGCGGATCTGCCCAAGAAGAGCGAGCAAGTCCTCTTCTGCAAGCTAACTAAGGTACAGAGAGCGGCGTATGAGGCCTTTTTAGCATCGGGCGAGATGTCATCCATCTTGCGTGGACGGCGAGAAGCACTCTACGGCATCGACATGTTGAGGAAGATATGCAACCACCCGGACCTGACACAGCATAAGATCCTGTCCACAAAGACAGATTACAACTATGGCAGCGGCGCGAAATCGGGGAAGATGCAAGTTGTCAAATCCCTCCTGGAGCTGTGGAAGGACACAGGTCATAAAACGCTTCTATTCGCTCAGCATCGAATCATGCTTGATATCCTAGAACGTTTCATTAGAGGGTTTGACGGGTTTAATTATAGGCGTATGGACGGTAATACACCTATCAAAGTCCGTCAAAGCATGGTGGATGAGTTTAACAACAATCCAGACCTGCATGTGTTCCTCCTCACTACGAAAGTAGGCGGTCTGGGGGTAAATTTGACGGGTGCAGACAGAGTGATTATCTATGATCCAGATTGGAATCCTTCTACAGATGTGCAGGCTCGTGAGAGAGCATGGAGGCTGGGCCAGAAACGTGAAGTTACAATCTACCGGCTCATGACCGCAGGAACCATCGAGGAGAAAATATACCATAGGCAGATCTTTAAACAGTTCCTAACGAACAAGATTCTGCGGGATCCAAAGCAGCGCCAAACTTTCCAGATGAGTGACATACAGGATCTATTCACACTGGGTAACGATGGACCCACGGAGACCAGCCAGATGTTCAAGGATGCAGACATCGTGTATGAAGACGACGCAGCAAAGGGTAAAAATGCCGGATCTTCTGGCCGCCAGCAACGACGCCGGCAACCCGAGAATAAACCAGTGAAGGAAGAGGACCAGAAAATCAGCCGTGTGACTGGCGTTGCTGGGATGGAAGAATATCACGACGAAACCAGTGGCCCCGGTACCCCTCAACAGGAGAAGGAGGCAGAAGGAGAATCCAAGAGCAAGACAGACGCCCGTCTGATGGAAAATATCTTCTCTCGTTCTGGGGTCCTCTCAGCCGTTGAACACGACCAGATAATACACGGAAAGCGAGCAGTCAAAGCGGACCCGAAAATAATCGAGACCGAAGCCAAGCGTGTCGCAGCAGAGGCAGCTAGGGAACTCCTCAAGGCAGAAGAGGTTGCTCGCACCGTACCAGCTGGTACACCTACTTGGACTGGCCAGTTTGGCACTGCAGGTCGTCCCGGCCTCGACGTGGCACCGGCCGGTACATCGTCTATCTATTCTGGCGGCGGGAGCACTGTCCGTCGAGCCATGGGCGGACCATCATCTGCCAGCCTACTCGCTAATCTTGCCAGTCGAAGTTCTGCAGCAGGCGGTAGAGCAGGCACTGCATCCGGCTCTGGATCTCCTTCTGCCTCTGCCTCTGCTTCGGCCTCTGCGTCGAGAACAGGCACACCGCGAACAAGCACACCGACGGGGAGAGACTTTCTGGTGATGATACGTGACTATATCATCACGCATGGAGGAGCAGTGTACACGCAGATGCTGATCGACCATTTCAACCGATTCTGCGACTCTCCCCGAGCCACGGCCGAGTTCAAGGAGATCCTCCGTACGATAGCCGTGCTGGACAAGTCAGGGACAGGGACGCGGGCGCGAGGTAAATGGGTCCTGAAGCCTGAGTATGCTAAGAAGTGACTTCATCTTGTAGCCAGCAGCCAAATAAAACCCTTGATCATCATCCATCGTCCTCTTCATCTTCCCTCTCTCCATGTTTTCTATATAAAGCGAGCGTCGCCTATGAAACCTGCGTATCAGGGGTAACCGTATTGTAACTTATTCACGTGATACACACCACTTTTTGCTTCTTTCAGCAGAGTTTTGATTGTCCCAGCCGCGTATCGTACTGTCACGATCTACGATCCAAGAGCTTTTTTTTACTTCAAGACTCTGTCTCACTTTCTTTTCTTCTTTTTCCTCCTGCAACAGACAATAATAATATCTTCGACTCTCGCTTCGCTGCATCTTTTGACAGGGCTGCGTGTTTCCTTTCTTCTCAGCTCTTCACGTTCTTTTAGTCCCGCTCGTTCCTGTTGCCCGCTGTTGCTGTGTGTTCGAGCGTTCGTTACCCATAACTACCGGGTACTAATAATAATCACCACCTTTTGCCGTTCGCCCTTCACGGAGCCTCCTTCGTCACCGAGGGCCGACTCAGCACGATTCAAAGGCTCATATTACTATATCGTCAGCCTTACAGGTACAGGAGACGGATAGTCGAGATATCCTACGGTCATTTTTCAAAGTGCCTCCTCATCGAACAGCCTTCTAACGAGGTCGATAAAGGCTGCCAACCTAAGGCAGCCGGCAGCTTCACCAGAGTCCATTCAGTCGACCGAGAGTCATTCTGGTAGACGATAGTACGTCAGAATGAGGTCGTTCAAATTCGCCTTCGTTTTCCTTTCGCTGGTTATACTAGTATCACTCGTTTCAGCATACGCACCTGCGCGGAACACTGGGATTGCCATAAGAGCAGATGCAGCGTGTGAGTTTATTACGATATCTACAACTACTTCAAGAGTCCAAGCTGCTAACTTTTGACCCTCAACAGCCTCTTCAGGTGACTCGAGCCAGACAGACAAGCCGAGCCAGACAGGCGAGAATAACAGCGAGGCCACGGGGTCAGACAGCCAGAGCAACAGCCAGAGCAACAGTGACGAAAACACCAGCAACAAAGATAAACCCTCCCCAACTGATAACAATGGAAGCTCCAAGACAAGTGACAAGGGAACCAAGACGACCAAAAAGCCCAAGACTACAGTTGATCCCCGTCTTCCACCGGGTGGCATTGTGATGGTTACTCCTGGTCCCTTTGACCCATCGACCTACGTTAAGATCGGAGCAAACGCTACATTTGCATGGAACTACACCTCTCTCGAAATTACTCCAAGTGCCGTTGATATTGTTGCATACTGCTCGAAGAACGACCATTATTACACCATTGCTTCCAACCAGTCCGTTCAGGAAACCGGAAGCGCCGTCTGGGATACAAAGCCCTACAAAACTGCCTCTGTGCGCCTCTTAGTCGAACATTACACTCTGATTGTACACGACTCTAAGCGCGGCCCCACTGATGTTGCCCCAGCTGGTGAACTTGGTGTCTCCAGACCTTTCATCTTTGGAGTTTACGAGCCACATGACAACCCTAACCTCAAGAAGAGTACGCTTAGTCCTTGTTAGCCCCAAGCCTTTTACCTATACTAACACCTTTATAGAACGGACTATGGGCAGTGCTGCTATCTCGACCACCGATCGTCAAGCTGTCTGGTTCATGATGGGAATGGTTGGAATCACCATTGCGTCATTTACCTGGTTTGCCAGCGGACTAGGCTTATTTGCCTAAAGAGCCATGATTCCAGCCCTCATCTATTGACACGACCTTTGTTCCGAACTAAAAATATTTACAACATTTTAACTATTCTTTGAGCCATTATTTACTGATGCCCATCTGTTTGATTGAGATTGATATTGCGAGCGACGTTTTCTTCCATTTCCCTTTTCTTTTTTTCACCTATTCTTGATGCTTGTTTAACTACGGATCTAACAACGCCTTCGAAGATATAATTCCCCCTTTTTTCTCTTCTCCTTCTCCCCTTCGATAATAGTTCACTTGATAGGGCTGGGCTGGGCTGGTCGAGGCTGTATATAATCTGTCCGTCTGTATCTTTGGTGTGGAGTTTTTTGTGCTTCGGGTTTTGGTTGAAATAAGGACGTTTTTTCACGCAGAAAAAAATAAGAATGTCTTTTCAAAACAATACTAATAATCATTTCGGCCCTCTCAGTGATAGCCAGATCCATACCGCAATTAGGTTCCTGGGGCAAACATGTGGCTTTTCTTACGCCAGGCTTTCAAATTATGTACCTGCATTGTTGCTTGCGCGATCTGTAAGCACGCGCCTAGCTTTAAGCTCTGCGTGACAAACAAACCTGCATTTACCATGCGTGGCAGAGGGGGCAAGTTTGGCGATCAAGGGCTGTGGAGTTCAGCGGATGCATCCTGTTGGTGATGACATTTGTATTTTGCCCGGCTAGGCCTTAGCTTCCTGCTGTCAAGCTGCCAATTTGAAGGGGAGACTGGTATCCATCGACCGATGTTTGTTTTGCCGATACAATCAAAGTTGATTCCAAATTACGAGTATGAATAATCAACAAACTACTTCCCCATGACCAAATATCGACCCATTTTCAAAGTCAAAAGTAAACAGCGTGATATATGACTACATCACTATATTTGGATGTTTGCTTTTTGGCTAATTAAAAACATGAATTTAGATATATGTGATTAGGTAGATAGATGAACATATAGGTACGGAGTATGAAGGGGTAGTACTGAATAGTCATATGCTAAACAAATTGCGGTCCTTTGCTTAAACGACGAGCGGTGAGATGCAGGTATGTATGTGTGTTGTTATCCCAAAATGATAGATTAGTTTGCCTGGGCCTCCTGATGGCTATAAAAGTCCTGATGTAGAATGCGGTAAATGGAGATGGGAGGAAAAACAAGCCAAATACAGCGAAAGACCAGCTGGCCTGAAGATTCGCCTCTTTTCACCCGATATCTATCGATAGCCGAGTAGGATCATCGCAAGAAATCATAAGAATATGTTGTTCTATCGTCCACGTCACCAGATTGGCTGGATATGGCCCAAGGACCCTCAACCGGGAAACCCGCTTAAATGGCCGATGGGAAGAAGGTTGAAGGATGTCTTGACCAATAAAGGCCCGGATATGTTTATCGGGCGTATCGATAGAGCAAGCCCAACCCCACATACACCTCGATGGTCGAGATGGCACGATATATACAGCTATCCAGGCGATGGTGACAAGAGCATGTTACCACCTATCCTGCCATTTTCTGACCGAAAGCTGCAAAGATATGACTTTCGAACGAGAAAATATCGTAACGTGGATGAGAAGGCCTGGAGCTTCGTGGAATATCCTGATCCCGGTGAAACAAACAGTGTGAATACGCCAGTCACCGTCTGGGATGTGAATGGTATCAAATATTCATATCCCCATTGGCAGCTTCATTATGGAGAGGGGTTTGGAAATGCACACTAGAGGTTTGATGCTCTGTTGAGTGAGAGATCAGATGCATTGCGGATGGAACGGTTCCCAGGCCGTCTTGCAGTCACCGTTGGATGTAGTTACTGCCTTTGGTTTTCTTACGGTAGGAAGCTGCGCGTTGGAATTAATCATTTTTTTGCATGAGACGCATGGGGATCTCTTTATGTCCGCGTACGAGGCAAGCATATCCTATTGTAACGTGTTAAGTGAGATGTACGCGAGAGCTGATATGTATTAATCAACGCACCAGAAGATACTGAAGGTCCCACTGCCGCTGCCGTGACTGAATGCAACCCAAGATCTCAGTAGCTAACTTCGACTGGTTCTGCTGGTGACCAGTGCTGACATGCCACGTTTCTGAATTGTCTCCGGCAATGCCACTGGACATTTGAACGTGGAAAGTAGTCGATACGCTCTGTATGTCCATGCAAAACTTCTTGGTTTCGTCAGAGGGTATAATCTGCATACTGATACCCGGTATATTTTTGCTCTTGAATGATTCGACAATATCTTTCCAAGCCCCGACTGTAGATTCTAGCTTCTGTTTTTCAAGTGCGTCTTGCTGTAGAGACTTCATCTCTTCCATCTTCTTCTCTTCCTGGTCAAGGGATGCAAGGGCTTCCTCGTAATCGCACTCCCACATGTTGTTCATGTAGGGGTACTCACCATTCCGGTCCTTGAGCCTCGCATCCACCCGGTCCAGGATGGTGGTCATCTCAGGTGAATTCCAAGAAGACTTGAGGCCCTCAATCTCGGCCATGCAGCTGGGAACTGATTGAGACAGTTCCTGATATAGTTCTTGGGGGGTCTTTTGGTACTTGTCACACCCTGGAGGCTGGTTGATGATAGGTTTCAGAGGGCCTAGCAGACGCCCAGGAAGAAGGTCTCGCAGTTGGTTAATCTATGCTTGGTCAGTATAGATACATGCGTAAAAGCAAAGGCCCCTATAGACCTCGTAAATTTTAAGGCCCTTAGGGGCGGAGCGGTGCTGTATGTCCACTTACTCTACCGTGCATCTGCTGTAGGGTACAGAGAGCAGTCAGGAGCCGCCGCTCATCATCCCAGCTTTCTGGGTCCTTGGAGTCTGCCATCTGCAAGTCCTCCGCCGGTTCCGACTTGACTACACTGCCGTCTACCGCCATGCTCGGAGGAGGCGGTGCATTCGTTAGGCTGGCAGCTGTGTTATTGCTACCTGTCTGGGAATCCATCTGCAACGTCGCAGTCGGCTCTCTCTCGCTGTTTAATCACGGGTATCACTGGATGATTGGATATAAGGAATTATTCAAAAAGCAAAAAAAAGGGCCTAGCCACGGCTTTCCCGCTCATCCGCCCTGCCGTGATCCTCTACTGCTTGGTATTGCCGTCCGTTTTCCTTTTGCATGTGTTGCTCCAAAATACGTCGATGAGGTCAAAAAATAGATATCACGTGAATTAAGGTGCTTAGTAAGACCCGCCGCGGCCTTTCCCTGCGAACTTCCGACTCTTCTTGATCGCTGGCGAACTAACTAGTTAAGCGAGCTAGTCGAGACTCGCGGTTAGTTATCTCTGTTAAGGGCGGTCAACTTGCCTGAGAGACGACTTATATTCTGGGCTATATTTCCTCCTGCTCAGTGACGAGACAGGAGTTGTTGGCGGCTGTGCTGCAAAGAGGTGAGTGAAAGCCACCTTGAGGACCCACGGATTTGCCCGCTGACTGATATCATAAACTTGGCAGCTTGCGATCTCTTATCGGTGGCACGCTATCTCATGACAAACTGCATCCGACTCAAAACATTCCACTGCCTGAAGAAGACGGACAAAGAAGAGGACGACACTCAAGACGCTGTTCGCTGTTTGTGCGGTGCGAAGTTTCCACCTTAGACCGCTTTGGTATCATAGGGAACGGGGTTTACTCCAAGTTGTGGCTGGGCTGTGATGCTGTCATCGCAGTCTTTGCAGTCCTCGCCGGCAACCAGTACATCTGCTTTGGCCTCAGATGCTGCCTCTGGAATACACCATGACGGTCTAGGAAACCACCAGACAGATGGACCTTGCTATTCAACGCTGGAGAACCGCTTGCGTTCACGATCCATCCAGTTCAACACCTCGAGGACAGATGCAGCACTGCGGGAACGGTCAACAGCCAGCTCAAGGAAGAGCAGCTTGAGGAGACTACCATCTCCACCGCCTCCAAGGTACGTGAGTCTTTCCCTGAGCTGTGGATTGCTTTTCGCTTTTTGTCTGTGTTTCTACATTCTATTCTATTTATCCCATACCCGTCAGAGTTTCTTGAGCGCTCTAGGCAAGTGGAATGAAGTGCGGCATGGCCCCTGGTTTCTAGGCATCTGCTTGAGTGTCTTAGCTTGCAAATTCTCTATCGCATGCTCGCGATATACATGCTATGTATTTGTGTTGGTTTGCTTGCATAACGCTTCTAAACTCAAGAGTTTGAGATGTGGATGCCCCGGCCCGCCGCCAACAAAGATCGATGACCCGTGTCAACTAGTGTCTTACCCGATTGAGATATTTTTTTTTTTCTACAAATACCTTCATTATCTTTTCCTTCGGCGAACCTTGAATTTTGAATGCGTTTCTCTGGCTGATGAATCGCCTGACCATTACCTGTACTAATGATCACCCCTTATTCTCAGCGCCTATAACCGTGGAGTCTCCTTTGATACCTTTGACAACCGAGATGCCACCGAATTCTCGTTGACGTTGAACTACAAACATAAAGATTACAGGAATACGCGCCGCAGTCGGACCTTCCTTTGCGGCACTGACCAGAACGATTATTCGGACTTTGCTCTGGAATGGCTTATCGACGAACTGGTAGATGACGGAGATGAGGTTGTTTGTCTACGGGTTGTGGACAAAGACTCCAAGATTGCGAGTGATTCCGGCGTTGAAGAAGGCAGATATAGACAGGAGGCAGAGAAGCTACTTTCGCAGGTGATTGCAAAGAATAAACACGATGAGAAGGCCATAAGTTTGGTCATGGAACTTGCGGTTGGTAAGGTTCAGGAGATCATTCAGCGGATGGTACGTTGGTGTCTATCTATACCAGACAATGCATGTAATAACTAACCTTATCGATTAGATTCAAATATACGAGCCTGCAGTACTTATTGTGGGCACCCGAGGCCGGAGCCTTAAGGGGATGCAGGGTCTACTTCCTGGTTCTGTATCGAAATACTGTCTGCAACAATCACCTATTCCCGTCATAGTTGTGAGGCCATCGAGTAAGCGGGAAAAGAAGAAGCAAAAACGTTTGGCTGCAGACCCTGCCAGAAAGAGTTACAGTCAATTTTTGAAGATGAGTGAGTCCCGAGGGGGCTTGGGCATTGATAGTTCACCCAGTGGGAATAGCAGCACTTCCAAACTTCCTGGCGAAGAGGAAGAGACAGGCGAGCCTTCAACCGTAGCCAACACCATTATAGCTTCCTCCACCAATGGAGACACCGAGGAGAATGGCCATGATCCCCAACCTTCTACGCCAAAGGGCTCCTCCGGCGATGCCGGTAACGACGATGACGACGACGATAACGCGGCCGGAACCAGAAGAAATTCTACTGTTACAGAAATTGAATCACCTTTAAAAAGCCCTTCTTGTCCTGTCCTGGAGAGCCCCAACATGAGCGCTAATGAAGATGAAGAGGACGTTGAAGACGAGGATGATGATAACGATGGAGGTGAAGGTGATATTACCTACACAGATACAAGTTCTCGGTTGACTTCTGCAACGTCGATTGCAGATACAGACTCCAAGGGTGATTCAGCGGAGGAGACATCCGCATCTCAGTGTGGTGATACGCCAACAAACATGGAAAGCAAGGATCGTACGAGCAATAGCAATGGCAGTGCGGATGAGACCCATGATGGTGGTAGTAACATCGACCTGCCTAATTATGATGCTGCAAATGCTAGCTCCACTGAGGATTCTGCCTTAGCTCATGTCCCCGACCTTGCTGGACAACCAGTTGATAAGTCTTCAGCAACAGGGGCAACATAGTAATTTCGATCTGGTCCTGATGCTATAAAGCCATCGCCACAAATCACTTGCTGCATTGGTTATATTTCCAAGTTCCACAACAACCTATACATTGATGGCCATACACCATACCACCCGACCATCGCTTCGATATACATACTGCGCTGGCTTCCACCCTCTAGTTGGATACAAGGTCCAAATGCCCCCTCCTCCCCTCAAGGTTTTTCCTCTCATGCAGGCATCATCAGATGCTAACCCCTTAGCTCGACGCTCCACGTCCTCTGGTTTTGTTCTCTTCCCACGTAATGCAACTGTGCAATTTTGGCGTTCAGATGGCCGGGAATTGATGCCGGATATCCAGGCTCGTTGTTTCTCTCTTTTCTTTTTCTTTTTTTCTTTTGTTTCTATGAATTTTCTGTAAGAAATTTAAGCCTTTCTTTCGATTTCGCTCCGTAACTCCGTAATCCACGACGTAAACTTCGTATATCCGATTCTCATGTACAGCCCCAGCCGGACGCGACGGGCTTTCCCTTGCCTCGTTCTGTTCTCAATGTATTCAATGTACTCCGTAGACGTTTCTTTTTTTTTTTTTTTTTTTTTTTTTTTTTTTTTTTTTTTTTTTTTTTTGTTCTTACTTTTTATTTTTCTCAAGGCAAAAGAAATTCCACTGGGTTCTCATGTATATGCAGTTTACCCTGTCACAAACCTTCGGGCCATGAACACATCCTCGAAAGTCCTATCCCTGTCTCGCCTACTCTGCATATCATGGCTGAACTATTTCAAAGATGTTTCCCCAACCCACATTGGCGCATGTACTGGATCTCAAGCATCTGGCGGCTGTTGCTTGCGGGCTCCTCTGGTTGGCTTGTTGGAGGAGAGACGAGGAGGGGGGAAGATGGTGATGACTACCAGCATTCGTGTTGCGCCTCAGCCCCCTCACACCGACTGGGGCTTATTATCAAAGGATTGCGTCTTATCCGCTTCTTATCCCTTTTCCTCCCCTGACTGCTCAAAATTTGGTCTGCTTATTTCATTCAGGGGGGAAAAGCGAGGTTTCTGGTTGGTCCGATCACGTGAAGAGCGGAAAGGGGATCCTCCCTAACTAGCTAATTTCGACCTCACGCCTTCAGCCTTCGTCCACTCACTCCCTCACGGAATATTATTATTCGTTTTGGAAGATCTTTCAAGCTCGAAATTTCGTTTCTTTTGCAAGTCAAGTCCAGACGGAGATATTGAGGCCGGCCTGGCGAATAATGACAGGCCCAGGCTGCATGATTCATCCTGAAGCAATACCTTGCTTGAGGGCTGTTGACATCTCACAGGCCAAATGATTGGTACCATCAAAGGCCATTCCAAGCCACCCGCTCGAGAAGCCTGCATGGACCGTCATGGGGCCGGGCCAAGGAAGACGCATTGACTTATCCATCGGATCGGGCGGACACATCTGCAGAAGCAGGTCAAGAATAATGTGTGGAACAAGTCAATTGAGGAGGGGATACATGCTGGAACTGACATGGATCCATTACCTGGGTCAATTGCTCCCAGTGGAAGCGATTGGCATAGAGCATCTAGGGTCAAATAATAATGAGATGTGTTTCTGTCATGCATCGAAGACCGTATATCCGTGCCACAGCTGTCAACCCCAAGGCATAAGTACTTATGCTGTGGAGAAAGTGAGAAGGTTGATGCAGACTCGAATGCATGTTTCTTTGGAGTCCCTGCAACTCAACAGCCACGTCGATGTTCGCATAATTTCGAGGTACCGTCTACTTGTATCCTCAAATCAGGTCATTGGAGTGAACAAAGTAATCAACTGGTTAGCTTTTGGACTAATTGACTAGTTGGTCTCGTATAAAATCCCGACCTTTTATACTAAACTCGGAATAATCAGGCTGGACTCCTCTCTGTTTGCTCAATTGAGCGATGCTTACGGAGGACTCCGTATAGTTTCTTGTTTTCCCGGTCTTGTTGACTTTTTTCAGTATTTTCATTGATTTTATCTTCCTCTCTAACTAACTAACTTTTGCTTCCATCCTTCCCCTTTCCAGCCTATCGGATACGGCCATATGAATAATTTTCAAAGATTCCCTCCTGGTGTGGACTCGAATATTGACTTGACTAGTTGAAGCTTGCTCAGCGAAGAGCCAATCAACACTCATATCAACCCTGCTCAAAGCAGAAATACATCAAACGGGCCGATCCCTTGGACATGGCAATGATGAATTGAAGCCAATGGCCTGTTATTATTACGATCTTGTGTGTCCTTGCCTGTCTAGCGTTCGTTGTTTTTGTTGAAGCGTTGTTTTACTTGCAGTGCATCTTACACGTCCAAGTCTTGAGCGTGGTGTGGCGCATGGTGCTAACTTATGCATCCCAAGGGTATTCCTGGAATATGGCTACTCCATGCACCCAATGTTAGGAATGTTTCTTGCAATTGACCCACAAAGTACTCCTCCCACCAGCTAAGCTCAGGAGCTTCCAGCTGAGATTCAAATTTGGGCTTTTTCCATCTCGAAGATTTGCGGATTACAAAATGAATGGGCTCCCGGCCTCACCCCTCCATTGTTAGACATGGCAATGCTGATGTTTGTCTGAATCTTTTTGGCTACCAACGGCCGAACACTCTCAAGCGGCAAACATTCGTTGGTTTTGAACAGGACAATCATCTCAGCTCGACTCGCGGAGACAGTATGGCACCCTATCTCTCAACACAAGCGAGTTTCCCCCTACCTGTCGATCAATTCGAAAACCACCCAACTTCTAAAGTCCCGATTGTTCAAGTTAAAGAAGAGCTTGCGCAATTTTGCCTTGAGCTGTCCTCGGATCTAGAGGACTTCTGTGCCAAATCCGGAATTACCTCCCTTCAAATCCTCCTTGCAGCGTGGGCGATTACGCTTCGTTACTACACTGCCTCGGAATCTGTGACAATTGGGAGTATAGTATGGCATTGCGACGGGCCATGTTATAACGGGCAATATGAGGTGGGGTTGGACGATGATACGCCTCTACTTCGAGCTGTTGAACAGTTTAAGCACCAGCCAGACTGTGTCTCTCGTGATAGCAATAGCACTTCACCCGACACATTAATGGTTGATACTTTTGTGATACAAAATCTTTCAACCTCGGCGCTTCCATTTAATCACAGCCCTATCTTTAATATAAGAGGGTGTAAAATTCCCACCTCAGTAAGTGTCTTATACTGTACAGAACGTACAAATAATAACGGTGATTATCTAACATATACATAAATTGACAGCATACCATCATCGTTGACATAATCAACAATGGACGCAGGGAGCAAGTGGAACTAGACATATACCTCAATGAATCATGGGGGAAGCACATAGTCAATATGTTGAGGACCTTTGAGCAGGTTGTGGCTGAGATGCTTTGCAAACCTACCGGAAAGTTGGGAGATTTGGACCTATGCAGTGCCTGGGATATTACGACGCTGGCTACCTGGAATGGTGAAATATCAACTGAAGGATCTGACAAATGCGTCCATGATATGATTAGCCTGCGTTGCGCTGAAGACCCGAATTATACCGCCATTCAATCCTGGGACGGAAACATGTCATACGGAGAGCTTGATGAGCTTTCGTCTGCTTTAGCAGTACGACTGATAGCTTCACATCCAAGCGTTGGACCGGAAACATTCATCCCGTTGCTATTTGAAAAATCTAAATGGACTGTGGTATCCCTACTCGCCGTGATCAAAGCTGGTGCCGGATTTGTACTGCTAGATCCCTCTCTACCACTAAAACGTCTTGAAGATATCTGTCGTCAAGTCGAAGCAACCGTGGTCATTACTTCTCCTCAGCATTCTGTTCTTGCTAGCACTTTGGAAGCCCCAATGTTTATTGCCAGCGAAAAAACAATTGGAACACATACTCCGTTGGATTACCACCTAACTTCGGCTCAGCCTTCAAATCCACTTTATGCAATATTTACTTCCGGCTCCACTGGAAATCCGAAGGGAATTGTCATCGAACACGGTTCTTTTCTTTCTAGCGCCCTTGCATATATTAAGACTGTGGACTTAAACCGGACATCCAGAGTCTTGCAATTTGCATCTTATGCATTCGATGTTAGCGTTTCTGATATCTTATACAGTTTACTATCTGGTGCTACACTTTGTATCCCTTCGGATGCCGAGCGTAACAATAACCTGGTAGAATTGATTGACCGTTTGAAGCCGAATTGGATGGACCTCACCCCGTCTTTCTTGAGATCTCTCTCACCTGCGGACCTTTATACCGTCAGGACCATTGTTCTAAGCGGGGAGGCAATGACTCAAGATGTCATTACTAAATGGGATAGCGAAGTACGCCTACTTAATGTATATGGGCCGGCTGAATGTTCTATTCAGTCTACTGTCCAGACTGCTGTAGCAGCTGACCCTGTAAACATTGGTCATGCCATCACCGGAGCCTCCTGGGTAGTTAGTCCATCAGACCATAACCGTTTGATGCCGATAGGCGCCATTGGAGAGCTCCTGGTCGAAGGGTCCCACGTTGGGCGAGGTTACATAGGCAACCCAGAAAATACCCAGAAAGTCTTTATCAAAAGCACAGAATGGTTACCAGAGTTCCGAAAAGACCATCAGGCGCTTTATAAGACCGGTGATTTAGTACAATACCAGCCAGATGGCTCTATGCGGTATATTGGTCGAAAAGATACCCAGGTGAAGTTACGTGGGCAGCGTATTGAGTTAGCTGAAGTTGAGCATTATGCTCGCGAATGCTTTAGCGAAGCAAGGGATGTTGTGACAGAAATGGTTAAACCTCAATACGAAGGCGGGACCCCGATGCTCATTGCATTCGTCTATTGCCCAGAAGATCATATTGGGCGGAATGCCAGTGAGTCCAGAGAGGAAGCCATATTTGCCAAACCGGACGATTGTTTCCGTGACCGCAGTGCTAATGCCCGGGAAAAGATGGCCAATAGCCTCCCCAACTATATGATTCCAACTATATTCATCCCACTAGCCCGTGTTCCCCTTTCGGCTACTGGGAAAACGGATAGAAAGCTCCTACGATCTCTAGCTGCTGCTCTACCTCGGGTTAACCTGGACTCTTACTCTATGAATATCAACAAGTCACGAATACTACCGTCAACGGATATGGAAAAATGTCTTCATTCAGTTTTTGCAGAAGTCCTCAACCTGGCTCCAGAAATGCTCAGCATTGATGATGATTTTTTCCGTAGTGGTGGGGATTCCATTACTGCTATGCAGGTCATCACTCAGTGCCGTAAACAAGGGATTGTCCTAGCTCTCAGTGAGATCTTCCGTTTAAAAACAATAATGAAGATTGCAAAAGGGGCTACGTTTGGGGCTACGACCACCCTCTCACGCCAGCAACAAGAGGACCACATCGGAGTTCCATTTGGTTTATCTCCGATTCAAGACATGTATTTCGAAGACTGCCCTGAAGGGCACAACGACTTCAACCAAAGTTTTTTCCTTGCATTTGCCCGCCCTGTTGGAGAGGTTGAATTGACGAATGCCATAGAACGTCTCATCACCCGACATTCAATGCTTCGAGCCCGTTTCCATCGGTGTTCGGAAGGCAAATGGACACAGAGCATTTCCCGGGATGTACTGGGTTCATACCGTTTAAGGAGCCATCAATTGTCACGTAGGGAGGAAGTGACAGCTATTATGGTCAAGAGTCAAACGAGATTGAATCCTCAAACCGGTCCCCTTTTCTCAGTGGACCTCATTGAAATCGCAAACGACAAGACCCAATATGTATTTCTCGTGGCACACCATTTGGTCATCGATCTAGTGTCTTGGAGAATTCTCCTTGCTGAGCTGGAAGAGGTCCTGGAAACCGGGGCCATTTCACAAGACGTCCCCATGCCGTTCCAAGCCTGGTACCGGTTGCAATCTGAGTATGCTCAGAAATATTTGCCGCCGCAAAAGGCCCTCCATTTCAGGCCAGTACCTATAGAAACAGATTACTGGGGCATGAAAGGCAGAAAAAATATTTACGGCAATGTGATTCACGCACATCTGAAAGTCGATGAAGGATTGACGTCTAGATTGCTAAAAGATGCTAATCTAGCATTTGATACCCAGCCGGTAGAGATTCTGCATGC